GCCCGCCGGTAATCTAGATAGGGTTACCCCAGAGCCGAAGCTATAGAAGTAGTAGTAAAATCTTCTTAATATAGACTAATATAAGATACGATACTAATAGTCGATATAGATAGTAACCGTAGTAGTAGTAATAGTAATAGTAGTAACACCCGTAAGTAAATATTATAATATACGTTAAGATAATATAATTAATATACTATATAGGCCCGCCCGCGCGACCTCGACCCCTCTCTCCCTCGGCGCCTTTCTCCTTCCGGCGCCCGCTACTCCGGCTACTTTAGTAGCTCCGGTTCTTCCTCCGTTATAGAATATACCGGCGTAGCCCGCCCCGTAAGTTTATACTCTAGTTAGTATTTATACCTTAGCTAATATATAGTTATAGCGTAGTACCTACTAATACCTATAACTACGTAAGGCGTAGTTTAGTAGCTATTACTAACTAGCCGCGCGTGGCGTATAGATTACCGGCGAAAGCCGCTAGGGCGGCCCCGCCCTACGTAGCGACTACTACTAAGAAGTAGTAGTCGAAATTAGACTACTCCGCTTCGGCGAAAAGCAGCCGTAATCTCTTAGCGAATATATCCTATATAGGACGTATTATAGAGACTACGTTAGATAGATAGCTCTTCGGGGAGGACCGCTACTCGCTCTATTAGTAGAGCGATCTAGAGTATTAGATATATTCGAAAGATATATCTAACTATATCTCTAAGGTTAGAGACGCTTATACCCGATATCGTACGGCCCCTTAGAGGGGAGCGTATTCGAAGTCGGCACGTAAAAAAAATCCGCGTAAGTTTACCCGTAAGCACCCTAATTCGAAAGAACCGGGTAGTTCTACCCGAAAACTACCGTCTAAGGGCGACGATCCGGGTTCTAGCTCTAGCGAAACGGGTATAGCGGTCTAATTTATACGGGCTCGGGCTACGTCGATACGAATAAAAGTAGTAGTAGTAGTAGTAGTAATAGTAGTAGTAGTAGTAGTAGTAGAAATAGTAGTAGTAGTAATAGGGGTAGTAATAATAATAATAATAACGATAACGAAGACGATAACGACGATAACGATAACGAAAACGGTAGTAGCGATAGCGATAATAATAGTAGTAGAAAAATTAAAATTAATTCTTTACGACTATATATATAATACTCTATAATATATACCGATAACCTTAAATATACGCGATATACGAATCTACGAAGTATTAGATTTCTTATATCTATAATAATTTAAGGGAATATACTATCCTTTAGATCTTAGTAGTTACTTAGTAGTTATCGATCCCGGTACCGCGATATATACTATAGAGAATATATAGCTTAGTAGTTACTTAGTAGATATAATTTCCGGCTATATATACTAAGTTCGCGGAGAATATATAGCCGAATAGATCTTAGTAGATACTTAGTAGTTATAGTTTCCGACTAGGTATAATAATACGCGGAGAATATATAGCCGGATAGACCTTAGTAGTTACTTAGTAGTTATAGTTCCCGACTATATATACTAATCCGCGGAGAATATATAGTATAGTATATCTTAGTAGTTACTTAGTAGTTATAGCTTAAGACTTACGTTCGAGCTATATATCGTTATCTATATACGGGTTAATAGTTAGATCGTCGATAATATTAATCTCGTCCTCTACGTCTACCCTTAGATTAATATAACTTTCGTTTAGACCGATAAGTCGCGTAAGCCTAGCCAACCCCGGCTAGTCTACGTATAGTTAGTTAAACCGAATAACCTTCTCTTCTAACTATATAAAATCCGTAAGAAACACGTCTTCTAAGTCGAATATTCGAGAGATACTCGCTAAGTTCTCGGGTAACCGTAGCGAGCCTATACCGTCGAGAAATAGCTTCCGGGTAAGACTAAATATCTCGTTTTATATTATTATAGTAGTATAGCTTCCGCTCGTATACTTACCGAAAGCTACCTCGACTATAGCCTTATAGCCACGTACCTATATATTTAAGAGATAGATTCGACTAAAAACTATATCTTTATTATACGTAGAGTTCTTAAAGCACTTTATCTTAATATAATATACGTAATTAAGATACTCTAGTCTAAAATCGATAGGCTTCTAGGTATTAGGTCTATTAATCTAATTTATAAGACCGGATAATAGGATAGTAGCTTAGAGGTCCGATATCGAGATAGCTAGTTTAAGAAGCTATCGATAGTATATTATCTCGTATTCGTAATTATATTACGTAGCTCCGAAGAATAAGACGATTAATAAATCTACTAGATACTATAATAGACTAACGTCTACGTACTTTACGGTATATCGTATAGCTAATAGTAATTCTACTTTACGTAGAAATTAATAAAGGGTACGAAAGCTAATATCCTCGTATATTAACCTATTCTAAGTATTCTCGGTGCTTAAGTAGCTTTAAACGTCGTCTATAAGGGTAAGAAACTAATCTAGTAATAGACGAGAGAGCGAGCTCTTAACCCTATCTATATCGCTAAGATCGGTAGTATCGAGTAACGCGCGCTACTATATAGTAGTATAGAATAATATTACTATACGAGTCGTATAGCTTTAGATAAAAAGAGGTTCGAGCTAGTAATACTTAGCGTTATCTCGACTATATTAACTACGACCCTATAACTTAATATTAGACTTAATATAGTAAACCGTCTCTTCGCGATAGTCGATAAAACCCTAGTACGTACGGACGAGCGTATTTACGAGGTTTATTTAAATATAAAACTAAGTAAAAATACTAAGTAGCTATTAACGTCGATCGTAATACTCTTTCGCGCGATACTACTAGCCCTTTATACTCTATATTAACTATAACGTAAGTTAGTCGCTATATACGAGCTAGAGGCGATTCTCGAAATTCGTCGGGCTCTTTAGTCTAAGATATTATAGAAATATACTATCGTAGATATTATAAATACTCTAGATAGTTTCTTCGTTCTCGTAGATCGCGCTAAGCTACTAATATAACGTCTTATATATATCTAAACGATAGATATTCGGTATTAAAGGGCGAAGCGACTGGTAATTCTTAAAGATATCTCTAACGGTATTTAGAAAAATCCTCGCGATAGTATCCGTTAGAAGACCGCGTATAATCTAACTATCGATATTATTAACGTCGGACCTAAAGATACTAGGCGACTCTACTATATCGCTCTAGTAGAGTTCGACCGTAGAATCGTATATATCTTAACGTAGGCCGTCCTTTAGTATTCCTAGATATATAATAAGCGCGAAAGTTATAAAATTACGTATAATCGTCTTATAGCTAAGATACTTATCCCGTATTATACTTTTAAAATTAATATTATCGTAGTATATTATAGTATATAGGTTCGCTACGTAGCGCTTAATCTACTTCTATATATACGAATATTAGTAAGATTCTTACTTAGTAGTTACTTAGTAGTTAGGGTCTCCGGCAAATACGGGTAAAACTAGAGAAACTACTACTTAGTAGTTACTTAGTAGTTAGATATCTTCGGTAAACGCGGCTAAAACTAGGAAAACTATAACTTAGTAGTTACTTAGTAGTTAGGGTCTCTAATAACCGTAGACAACCCGGAAGAAGAACGACTTAGTAGTTACTTAGTAGTTAATATCTCCGAAACGTATATATAATATATACTAAGTACTAAGAGAAGATCTCTTAGTAGTTACTTAGTAGTTTAGTTCTCTAGTAACGTAAATAAGAAAGTCGAGATATATACGTATCTTTACCTCTTCTACGATAGTTTCTATTAACCTCTTCGCCGATATATACCTATAGTATATATTTAAACCGCTAAGGGTCTATAATACCCTTTACTTCGTTCTAGAGCTTATTAGATACGCATCTAACGCGGACTATAAGAAGTTTAAATTAATCCGCTAGCGCGAATAATAGACTATACTAGTAATAGTATATATATACCTCGTAATCGCTACTATTTAAGGTTTACCACTATAGCTAGGTTAATAGGAGCGTTAATTAGGTATAACTCTTAAGAGTATACTATACTATATAGGAGTAATATTCTATAGATTCTTAATAGTACGTTCGATATTAAGACTCTTAAGGTCTTTACTATAATTAAAACGACCGTAGTAGCGGTTAGAGGGGATACGTAAATTACTATAACGAATAAGAGTATTAAGCTCTTTACGATAGTCGCTAATAGTTAATAGCACGAGTGCTTAAACGACTAGATTTCTAAAGATATTATATACTTTCTTTTATCGCCGGGCTAGTATTATATTTATATAAGAAGATAGGTCGATATCTTTACTAGCCTATATAATAGCGAGATATCTAAAGCTTATACTAATCTTCTATATTATAGTAAATACCTTTCGAAGCCTCTATCGTATATTATATTATATATATCGACCTCTCGTACGCCGACTACTAAGCGGGGTATCGTTAACGTATATAAGGTCGTTTATATCGTCTCTCGAGTTCTTAGAATCGCTAGAGCCTAGGCTAGGGCCGAAAAGAATATTATCGTCGTCGTTAGAGTTATCGTTAATAGCGAGAGGCCTATTAGAGGATATATATTAGTAGAAGGGCGAGCTTAGAGAAGGGCTACTTAAGAGGCTTAATAGCTCCGCTAATATCCGCCCGATAGGATTTATACCTATCTATAGCTATAGGGAATTAATTAGGCTATCGATTATATATACTATTAGGGCCTTACGATAGTATTAGTAGTAAGAAGTATACTACTAAAGACGAGGGTATCGTTTCTTAGTAGAGATATAACGAATATACGTAAAGTTAGACCTATATATACTTAGACCCTTCTACGAAGGAGGATGACGATGCGATCTAATTAGCTAATATACGATGCGCTAATCTGCTATATTATGCTAAACCCAATTCAGGCGCTTGGCATCCTCCCGCAAGAGAGTCTGATTTATGAGATAATAAGAATGACGTTTTCCCTGTCACGCAGCTGCCTGTCACGCAGCTGCCTGCCACACCATCATCCAACACACACCGTCAACACCTGCAAGAGAATGCCCACAGCACTTGAAGAGCTCCCGGTAGAGCTCCTAGCACATGTTATCATCTATTTCTCCACAGCCCAGGCCCTGCGCAACCTGTCTTTGACCTGTCGCAAGCTGCACGCCTTCATAGAACACGAAGGCTGGAAAATCTTCCTGCGCAGCCATTTTCCCTCCTATCCTGCCATCAATCAGCCCGCGCGTCTCCTAGCACACTCTTTGACAACCTTATCAAGGAACTGGGACCGGAAGGCTTTTGTTGGTCGCTACATCGAGCCCTCTGGCTCCATCGTCTCCCTAAACACCGGGCAGCCGTTGTCTGAATGGAAGCGGCCGCGAGGGCAGACCATGGGCTTCCAGCCTAGCCTGGACTCCTATGAAGAGCTTTCCGATGGCTCTGACTACGGTCGTCGAGAAATACTTGTTTGGGGTGCTGGAACCGATCTGCTTGTCCGGGCTAAGGAGTCTGGCCCAGCAACTGAAAAACTATGGGAGCAAGTCTCACAGGCAGATCGGCAGCACTATTTCGATCAGTATCACCACAGAACCAGCTGGTTTACTTTCAGGATACCCGGCGCCTATGAAGGCAGAGACGACATCACTTGCGTCAACATTCTCCGGCCTGTCCAGCGGAGCGCGACACCCCACCCGGATGCTGAACAGGTCATACTTGGAACAGCTAACGGTGACTTGAACCTAGTTACTTTCACGCTTGACGATCCCCCCGCATGGCGGCGTGAGATATACAACACCGATGGGCGCCCGGTCAAGGCGGTCCATATCTCATCATCGGCCAAGAACCCTCTGCTCGCAGCTGCTTTTGCAGATTCGACTGTCGCGCTATACCCGTTGCACAAGTCTGCGGATACAATAGAGCCGATCAGCCATTTGCAACCATTGTCTAAACATCATACGCCTTCTCGCATATGGTCAACCCGCTTCCTGTCCGCCGAAACACTTGCGATTGGGTTGGGCCCATCGACAGAGCCAGTCCACGTTTACGAAATTACACCGTCTGGATTTTCAGACAGCCCAATACGCAAGTTTGGCATCGATGGCACTGCTTGGGGCGCTGTGGATAGAGTGGATGTGACCACTGACGGCGAACCCAGGCAGTCGTCTGTATATCCAATATCACCGCTACCGTTGCCGCATTCCGAGAAGAACGATCCCAATGTCTTTCTGAGTGGTGGTTACGACGGAATTGTTCGTGTGCATGACATGCGCTCACCTTCAGCATATGAATCATGCTACTGGGATCCAACAGATGATGGCGCGGTATATGCTCTACAAACCATTGCGCGCGAGAGGCTCGTAGTTGGCAGCTCGCGTCATAGTATCATCAAGTTCTTTGACATGCGCGTCTCTTCTGGCCGGGTCTTTCAGTACGCCCATGTTGGTGGAAAAACAGGCAACGGCACGCACACAGATGGAGAAGCTGGTACCGAATGGCACGGCAGTCATTACGGCTGGAACCTCTTTCTCAACCCGCGAAACCAATCCAGGCACAACCAGCGTCGTAATGACCGTCGATCCATCAACTCCCCCGTCTATACCCTTACGTCCCCGTCACCTTTCTCGCCCTCCGTCTATGCCGGGGTGGAGAACAACGTGGTGCAACTTGACTTCACCTCAATCTCTGACAGTCATCCCGATCCCATGTTCCAGCATTCACTGGTTCGCATGGGAAAGCACAAGATAGTCAATGTACAAAAAAGTTGGAACCCGAGAGGCGACGTCCTCAATTTGGCGTCGTATGAGCAGGGCACGAGTGGCGCAATGCGATTGCGGGTACAAGTTGGTGTGGGTAAATACAAAGGGGCCTTGGAAGGATGGGACGAGCGGTGGCGGGACAGCAGTGACTTGTGAGGCGCACGCTGTTCGGCGGGCAGTAGCTGCAGTCAGACACGGATTCAGCATCTGTTGCTTGCAGGTCTTCCGAACCGCTGTACCCTTTCGTGTTTGATGTTCGCTGTACCACCATGCAGGCGACCGCTCCTTTTGGAATGACGACATGCTGCCCCCACCGTTGGCCGGTCGCACAGAGTTCTGTGTCGTCGGTATTGCCCCTATTGGACAATGCAAGGTTCCGGACGCGGCAGACTTCGGTTCTTACGGGACGATCCCGGAGGCGATCCATAAGACGGCTCGCGGGTCTTAATTCTCCGTCATGAGATTACTACTACAGAACATGACATAACAACCGAAGAGATGGAAAAAGGGATACAGTGTGGGAACCTGTAGTGACGGCCGAGGCTTATTTCAGATATTTTCATAGCAGTTTTCGGCTCTTGCTTCAGAGGTGGTCAATAGTATGCATTTTCAGGCCAGGTCTTTGCCTTCTCTGGCCGTACGTAGTATACTCAAGATCATTGAAGACATGGTCATAGACCTTCTTTGCCGAGCGCCAGCCTTAAAGACAAACGCACCCCAAAAGCCGATCGAGGTCGCCAGGTGCGGCTCGTTACTACCGGAATCTAGCCGTCAAACCGAACGGGCAACACATCCACCCAGTACCCTGGACCGGTGACGTGCACACTCCAATGGACCCGGTACGGACCAGAGAGGGAGGCTCTCGGAGTTATGTTGTGCTACAACAGCGGATTGCAACATTGACCTTCGACGACAGCATTTAGGCGGATTGAAAGATGCCGTAGGATACCGGCATTTTCACTAGTATTATCGTGCCACTTCCTTTAAGCTTTCCTGTTAATTACAGTGTTTCACCATGAGTGCAAGGGGGGTGAGTCTGGATCAGTCTCCGCAAGGGAGTCAATCTGTTCGCTCGTCGACATGAGCGGAACGATTTTGCCATGTGGCGGGTCCGCAGTGCTTCCAGCGGGAAGACACTTGACTAGGGGTCGCTGTCAACATTGCCAAAGTAATAACGTATTGAGCTACAATACAGGGCCATGGGTGTTTGGTTTAGGAAAGCAGCGGCAGGGTTGCACTGCAGCATGGGGCTCTCGTTCGGATGTTCGGAATTGGCTGTCGCGTTTCTTTTTTCGTCCTGCCTTTTTACCGGCGTGCTGGCTGCTTAACATGAGGCGCCCTTCTCAGCCGCACCCCATTCCCAGACACTGACTAGTGGCCAGAGGGTTTGATGGGCTGGTTCCTGGCGGATTGGCGACGGGGGTTAGGCATGATGTCGACCAGCCCTCGTATGCAGATCGAGAGGTGATGCCAAGGAGATGGCAATAATGAAATGGCGAGATGCATGAAGGGCGGAAAATATATCACAGTTAGGGGTGTTAAGATTGCCGGCAGAGGGGGTATCGCTGCCGGCACTGCCGCTACCCCTGTTTTTGCCGGTTCTGCCGGCAATTGGCAGCGGATTTGTAATCGCCACGGTAGGCCAAGCGCCCCCTAAGCTAGGCGTAGCCCCCCGTATAGAATATCGTATACTAGTACCGCTACCCGCGGATATCGTAAAATTCGGTGCCGTTCGCCTACGGATATCGTAGTATTAAGTCCTCTTATCTACTATTATACGTTATTTACTCTACTCTTTTATAATATATCTAATCCCCAGCCTTAAAACGCGTAGATTCTACGCTAATATAAGCTTCTACTAGACTAAGAGATAAGGCGTAAGTATCTAACGGCTCGTTATTTATATTACCGTGCCTATACGAGGTCGTTAATAAAGATAGACGAGCTTAAGACTTACCTATTTAATAATTACTAGGTATATTATATAAAGGCCGCGGAGGGCCTACTACCGCGCGAGGACTAAGCGCTAGACGAGTCTCGCTCTACGTAGAGTTTTATCGCGGTAGAGGATTCTCGGTAGACTTATATAGTAGTATCGCGGCTTACCCGTAGTAGTAAGAAGCGCCTCTACTAGCTTACCGCGATAGCTATCTTTAAGACTAGCCAATCGTTTAATCTCTTTAAATACCCGGTAATAAGGGCGTATCTTTAGGCGCTAAACCCTAATTATATACCGCCGAATCGTTAGAAGATCGAGAGCTTACTTAAGCCTACGAAGATACGGGTTAGTAGTAGTATTAAGAACGCGATTAAGTAGTAGAAGTACCTTAACTTTATAACCGACGAGAGTAACGCTCGTAGCGGGGCTCGTATAGTAAACTCTTCGGTCGCTTTACCTAATAAAAGCTCGTTTTATATACGATCGCTTAATCTAGGATCGTTATCCGCGACGGTAGCGAATCTATAGCGGTTATAGCGAGAGGTAATACTCGCTACGGCCGGCGGTAGGCCTAAGCGGGTAAATAGCCTCGCGGTAGATACCTATAATACTACGAGAATAATACTTAAGGTAATAGCGAAAGACGACGAGCTTAAGTACGTATTTTCTATATTATACGACTTCTATAGACTTTAGCTACTTATAAGGGACTAGCTTACTAGAATTAACGTATATAGAAACGTCTTTAACGAGGCTAACTATCTCGTAGAGTATCTACGTAAGGCGTCTAGAAGCCGTTAGCGATTAAAGAAGCTATACTAGCTAGCCGGATAGAAGTCTTACTTACTCGTTCTTAGTATTCTTATACGTTAGGGGTCGTTTAAGGGCTTAACGTAGAGCTTAGTAAGGCTTATAAGGCCGCTACGATAGTTAGCGGTAGATAAATAAGCGCTAGATAATAGTAAACGGGGCTAGAGAGTACTTAGCTCGAAGCGCGTAAGAAAGATCTTACTAGATACGTTATTTTAGGCGAAGATTTATTAGATAGATAAACTACTTAGTATTACGTATAAGTAGTAGGTAATATCGGAGTCTAATTCGGCGACGCTTAGTAAGGTAAGGTAATATTATAGGTATCTTATCGGGTTGGATTCCTCTTATCTAGCGGCGATTCTATTAGCTAGATAGCTAGGATCTATCTAGATTAGGCTTAGCGCTAACGGGTATACTTAATACTAGGTTATCGATCGTTAATATCGTATCCGCGATTACCTATAACGTTACTAATACTAGGGTAACCTTCTCGAGCTAGAGGCTCTTCTACGCCTCTAGTAAAGCCGCTTTAACGTCTAAATTATACCTATTTACTAGGCGGCGAAGGTATTAGACTACGTAAACGAGAAAGCGTCGCTTAGCTACCTCCTAATAGCGATAGCGGCTATAAATACCTTCTTTACTAGCTACGTCTACCCCTCCCGCTTAGACTCGTTTTACTAGTAGTTTAGCGACTTTAAGTATCGTAGAGGGCTCTTCGACTATCTAAAGAGCTAGATATTCGCGTAGTCTAATCTAATAGCGTTTTAGGACTACGCGACTTACTTACTAAATCTATAAAGGCTAGCGAATCGTCTTCGCGTAACGATAGTTAATTCGATACTCTCTAAGCGCTTATTCTCGGCGATAAACCTTATTATAACTAATAACCGCACTAGAATAAGATTATAGACCCTAGATTCGCTTATATATATTTTTATAAATAAGCCTATTCTTCGCCGCTAAGGCGAACTTATCGTAGCGCGTAAGTAACGCTAGACCCTTACGCGCGAGGAGGCTACGAGGGATTATAATAAATAATAAGCGAAGTAGTTAGAGTAGCTATAACTATAGAAGAATTAGCTACGCTAGCCGCGGACCTAGTATACAATCGATAATATAATAATAGATAATATAGAGGAGGGCTTAGAGAAGCTTCTTACGCCGCCGCCGCTTTAAAAGAAGGATAAAGAACTTAATACTACGGTAGATAAGATATTTAATACTATAGTAGGCGGTAAAGAGGCCGCTCTAGATATAGATTTATAGGCGATCGCCGCTACTATCGTTTAAGCCGGTAAGACGGCGTATATATCGCCCTAGTAGAATACGTAGTAGTAATATCTACCCGACTCTATACGTCTTAGCTAATTTAGTAGTAGCTTCTAGTAATTTATACAAGAAACGGAGGTTTTAGTAGATTTATAATCTACTTAATAAGCCTTATAGGCGTCGTAGGCGTCGCTATAGCCCTTATCGTAGCCCTCGCCGTAAATACTACCGCTATATTAGCCTTCTCGGTAAGTAGTACCCTCGCCGGTGCTATTATCGCAGTAATCTATATAAGATAATAACGTATAATACGTTTAGTAGATAGATAAGTTATATAAGCGGTAAAGAATAAGATAATAAGAGAAGAATTATATATAATAGTCCTTAATACTATAAATAATTAGCTTATATGCGAATATCCGCTTATAAGGTAGGGTATACGCTTAGATAAACCGTTCTAGCAAGACGGCCAGGAGTTGCGCCGATTTACAGACGCCCTACCAAATTAGGTGAGGGGTAAAAACCGTATTGCCGGCAGCGCGAAACGGCTGTCGGCACTACCGCGTCATTGCCGGCAGTGCCACCCCTGCCGGCTGCCGCGACACACCCCTAATCATAGTACATGGCATGGTTTGTCTGGACATATTAGATGAAACGTGGGGCTGCGGGCTGCTGACTCGTCACATGTGGGGGTCGGCGGCAGCGCCCGAGTGGCGGTCGCGATGCGGATGCAGCAGCAGCGGTACGTACTGTGTAGTTGGCGGCGCAGGCGCAGGATCAGTGAAAGCATGGTGCGGCGGCAGCGCTGGGTGAGGGAAAGGATGGGCAGAGCTGTGGAGCCGTGGCCGGCGGTGGCAGGGTGGCAGGGCGCAGTGTGGCAGCAGGCACTCAGCAGGCACTCAGCAGGCAGGCACAGGCAGGCACAGGCAGCGCCCGAGCGCAGCAGCCGGGGAGGCCCAGCGCTCCGACCACGTGACGCGCAGGGCGAAGGCGCGAGGGCATAAGGGCGTTTTAGAGGCGCACTTGCAGCCGCCATCCACCTAGCCCGCCTCCTGGCACACTGGCACCATCTTGCCGCAGCTTAATCAGCGCCGCCGAGACAGCGGAGGGTTGCGTGAGCCGCGGCCCAGGCCAGCTCCAGCACCCTAGCGCTGCTGAAGTCCTGTCGCCGCGATGCAGACCGCGCAGTCCCGCCGCTTACATGCCTTGTGTGTCGCGGGACGATGCGAAGATGGATGCGGAGGACCCTGAGCGTGCCCTGCCGGCTGCAGCCCAAACTCCGACCGTGGCTCGTTCTTCCAGTATGTCGTGCCGCCACCCAGCTCCGCAAGCTCCACCACTGACGACCACTGACCACCCCCTGCAGCCAGCCCCGATGCACACGGCAATGCCTCCTCCACCAACAAGCCGCCGCGCAAGAGGAAGCGCAAGCCGCGTCCGCCGCCTGCCCAGCCGGGCCTGCGCTGGCTCAACTCGACCGATCCCAGCCAGTTCCGGGATGCCCGCGTGCGCAAGACCGTCCGCTCGCATGTCATGTACGATCACGCTGCCCGCAAGAAGACGTCCGCCGAAGACCCCATCGCCCTCGTGCACCTCTGCCGCCACTCGAACGCCCCGGCTCACCACCATGACGACGCCCTCGTGCCCGCGCCGCTCGCTGCCCGCCACGCCGCCGAGCCGCCCGCCGAAGACGGCAACCACCTGGCAATCTCGCTGCTCGACCGCCTGGCCTCGCACCTGGACCCCCTCGGCCAGCTGCCGGGTTTCGCCGCTCCCAAGCAGCATGTTCGTGAGCTGCAGCAGTTCTGTGAGTCCCCGTGAATGCTACGTTACGCTGCGTCGGCGAAAATCCGCCATCGGCACACCTGACAAGCCCGCAGGCGTCGAGTACTTTGCATCAACCATTTACCGCGTTGCACCAATTGAGAATAGCAACATCTTCCTGGCCGGCATGTGCATGGCATCTGCACGCCTTGACGTCCTCAGAGGCCTCCCCCGCGAGAGCGCCACCACTGCTGCTGTGAAGCTGGAGGCCGTCCGGTTGCTGAACCACAGCCTGAGCAATCCAAGCATCCAGCTGAACGACGAGACCATTATGATTCTAACCAGAGTCCTGCACAGTGAGGTCATTCATGGCAATTTCGCCGTGCTGGAAGTCCACAAGAAAGGTTTGGAGAGGATTGTGCAGTTGAGAGGCGGCTTTCAACGCCTCTACAATGACTCGCCGGCATCGCGTTGGCTCTGCAATGCCATAGTGCAGTATGTCCGCTCTCTACATCCATCCCGCTAGCTTCCTCCTCTCATATCAGACCTCTTTCGAGGCAGAGCATTCGACTAACACATCCCAGCGTGGTGTATCAAGCATGCATCCACACAGAACAGCAGCCTGCGCAGATATTTCTGGATTGGAAACCCGCTACTTACGACCTCAGCGTGCCCCCGGACGAGCAAGAGGCCGACAAGGCAATACATCTCCCAGATAGGATCTGGGCCTCGCTTGTCAAGGACTATCGATGCTCAAAGTACACAGCAGAGCTTCTAGAGGATCTTCGGGAGGCCGTTGACCTAATCCTGTCACCCAACAACACCGAGGAAACTGTGTCTGGCGGAGAAGGCTCCGCCAGACATGATGCACAGTCCGTCCAAGCGCGCTCTTTTCTCATGAACCGCATTCTATCGAAGCCATCAGCAGAGGATCCTGAGAGCCCCGTCTTTGGCGACTGGTATTACGAGTCCCTTCGCATCCTATCTCATATCTACGCCAACGCCTTCTTCCACATGGTCCCCTTCTCGGTTGCTGCCATACTTGCCAGCGATACCTTGATCCCGTCGCGCCTACTGTCTGTGCCGGAGCGTCTCAAAGCAACGATTGAGAAGACGCATCCCGATCCTAATCATTGTTGGGGACCTTCAATGACTCGAGTCTTACTATGGATGACTGTTGTGGGAGGCGCCGCTGCAAATCCCTTGGCATCCCAAGTCACGGAACGAGACGTCAGGGCCAAACTCTGTCCTGGGCTTGAGACTGCGCGGAGATACCTCATATCTCTCGGCCTCAGAAGCACAATTGTGCTTGCATGCCAGTCCCCATACTCTCCAGCACACGTGCTAGATGTCCTACGGAAAGTCATTCAGATCCAGGGACAACTCCCCACACAGAGGCCAGAGATTGAGATGGCTGGTTTTGGAGACCGCACACAGGGGCAGGGCCCAGAGCTCCAACTTACAATACCCACCGATGCTATGGGCTATTCCGGGGAGAACAGAAGAGGTTCGGCTGAGTAATTGGATGGCTCATTATCATTATCATCGCCGCAACGGCCATGTAATCTCTGATATCTATTACTGGGGGGGGCCATATCCTGCTCGGACAGTGTCTGATGGACGTGCGCGTCATTCTAGCACTCAATTTTACAGACGCCAAAAAAAAAACCTCACAAAATCTTGCTACTGCTTGGTTTCGTGATGGATGATTTCCTGAGCGCTCGGGTCTACCTTGACGTCATGGATGTTATCGGGCAGTTGACCCAGCGCACGCTCACCAAACAAGAGATCAATCTCCTCGAGGGAAAGCTGCTTAGTCTCCTTGAAGAAAATGATGATGCAAGGCAAGGTAACCACGATATTCCAGGCGATGAAGACGAAGTAGAACTATATGTCATCAGCACATACGACCTCTTAGGAGATTTCACTCGGTGCTGCTTACTTTCCAGCCAATGGCTCCGAGACCGATTGGAGAGACCTGGCTCCAAATTGTCGAGACCAGCCAGTTTCCAATGCCGGTCGCAAAGGCGCTGCCGCGTGCTCTGATTTGCATAGGCATGATCTCGGAGGCATACGTCCAACTGATGGGGCCGAAGGAGAAACTGAAGATCTGTTCCGGACAACGACGTTATTAATCGAGTTTGAAGCCTCGTCGGGATAGGCGAGACCTACGCAGGTGACCAAGAAGATGAAAAAGACACCGCCGATCGATAGTCCTTCGCTTCTTGCATTGGGGTTTTTTGCGTTGAGGATCGCCTCGCAGATGAGCGCCAAGGTAATTGCTGCGCTTCCGAAGATCAACGGCTTGGGAGTAAGGGTTAGCTAACGGCCGTGCACCAAGGCTTTATCGGCGTACCTTCTTCCTTCCAAAGCGGTCCAAGAAGAATGTGATGAAGACGAGATCTGTGAAAACGGTCAGGATCAGGATGTTTGCCACGACATTCAAGGCGGAACGGCACATACTGCAGAGCGGACCGACGCAGTTGTAGATGCCGGTGACCAGCAAGTTGCGGGATCCCTCGATGCCAAGGTTCTCGTACATGATGGTCTGATAGTAGTTGATGACGTTGATACTTTTTCGCGCGTTAGCCCATCTTTCAGCTGGACATGCTCGGTTGATACAACGTACCCGGTCATTTGGGTGAAGACTTGCACGGCTGTGGCGTGCATGAGACGGATCCTCCATTGCTTGACGGTGAACATGACGCGCCAGCCGCTGTAACGGGCTGGTCAGTAAGTGGAACCTGCAGCATTCAGGGACGTTTACTAACGGTGCGGTGATAGCCTTTTCAGCGAGGATGGTGGTTTTGATCTCATGGAACTCGCGATTGATCCACTCCTCGTTCTCGCCATTGTAATGGAGCTTCCGGAGGACACGCATTGCCTCCTCATCGCGGTCCGTCTCCAGCAGATGGCGGGGCGACTCGGGGAAGAAGGGCATGCCGCACATCAGGAGCACGCAGGGGATGGCCTGAAAGGCAAGGGGGAATCTCCTGCACCAATCTGTCAGCCTCTGGGAACAGCCTGTGTCGACATGACTTACCAAGAGAACGAGCTGGTGCTGGGAACATGGTGGCTTCCGTAGCCGACCCAGGTGGAGACGATAAACCCAACGCCGATCATTTGCTGCGCAATGCCGACGATCAAACCTGCAGGGATGTCAGGACCGAGATTCCCATATTGCACTCTCAACGTGAAACCTGCCTCTCTTTGCGGGATGCGCGCACTCGCTCTGGTAGACGGGTACACTCATGGAGAGGATGCCAACGGCCCACCCGGCCAGGATACGGCCAACCAGCATCATGGCCAGATGCATAGCAGCGCTCTGGAGAATGGCGCCGATGCAGGCAACCGTTGCCCCAATGATGATGGTCCCCTTCCGGCCAAAGCGGTCCATGGTCAGACCGCCCGTCAAACTGCCAAAGACAGCCCCACCGGAAAAAGTGGAATTGATTGCGCCTATGATCGGGGAGGTTTTTGTTGTGTCGAAAAAATTAAGGAAATGCGGAGACTGGATGACGTCGGTCATGACTGCAAGGCCGTCAGTCCGTCTGAGAATCAGCAGTTTTGGGTGGTGGAACCAGCTGCTTACCACCAGAGTCGTAGCCAAACAGGAAAGATCTGAGAGAGAGATGAGCGAATTGCTGCGGTCCGGTCCGGACCCACTCCCGGGAGGCTCGGGAGGCTCGGGAGACTCACCCTGTGGCCGCGAACACAGCCAGCGAGATGTTGAACCAGAGGCCCATGTTGGCGGATTCTTCAGCAGTGGCTTTGGGCAATGCTCCCGCCGGAGAAGGAGAGGGCAGCGGCCAGGTAATAACGCTTCTCGCAGACTCGCGTTACACCTGATTACCCGGCGGTGGCTCGTTCTAGGTGCTCTACCATGCCTAGTTGGACGCGGAGCGACCAGCACCCATGGGCAGATCGCAGCCATGGTGCCATGTCATCCCATGGCATTCCTTCCACTCGCCGCCTACTCGCACACAATTCCCCCGCACTCGGCAGCCAAGCTCTCCCCAGACACCACCTTGGCGGCCCGTGCGTCATATATTCCGCCAATGGGGGGCCCGCCCTGTTTCAAACCCCCGGTCACTTCAGAGTTTGCCGCAGTCCGGGCTCGCGGTCATCCGACCGGGGCTGCTCGTAAATTGGGACAGCGAGGCTCTTGTGGTCGAAGCGACGTGACTGCGGGGCAATTCTGCCTAAACTCCACCCGGCATCCCTCCCTGCTGCCCTAATTCCCGCCGTCTTCCAGGGACTGAGATCCGAGAACACGAGCTTGCCGAGCCGCAAGCTAGCTTGGGCAGGCACCGGGTAGCCTGCCAGGCACGGCCGTGAAGTTATTTAAAAAGCTGCGCGGCGCCGCCGGAGAGTGAGTGATCGAAGAGGGAGCCCTTCTTGTTCGCCGGAGAGAGAAACCGATCCCACCCGCGTTCGGTGACCTCGCTTCCCTTGGATTGTCAGACCACGACCATGGTCTCGAGCTCGGCAGCCGTTGTGGCCGCGGCCGTCATTGCCGGCGCCGCCGCCCAGAATGTCACCGCCAATGGCACGGCGCCCCTGTACAAGAATCCCTCGGCGCCCGTCGAGGACCGCGTCCAGGATCTGCTGTCGCGCATGACGGTCCAGGAAAAGGTGGCGCAGCTGATCCAGGGCGACATTACCAACTTCATCAACCAGACCACCGGCGAGTTCAACGCCAGCGGTCTGGTGTGGAACATGGAGTGGCGGGCAGGCCAGATCTGGACAGGCTACCCGATTCCTCAAGTCAGACCCACGCGCCTGCAATATTTGATTTCCTTTCTGACAAGCCGCGTAGCAAACGATTGCGGAGGCCGGCAAGATTGCGCAGGACTACCTCCTGCACAACACTACCCTGGGCATTCCGGCGCTTGTAAGTCGATCCACCAGAGCATGCCGCCGTGTCATCCTTGTAGCTAACACGAGCGTGACAGTTGCAAAACGAGGGCATCCATGGAGGTGAGGCTCTTATCCATCGCATTTGCTGGTGACATGGACCTAATCAGGGGGGGGGTTGCCCGCCACAGTCTCTTACTTCAACTCAACCATCTTCAACAGCCCCATCGCGCACGCATGCTCCTTCAACCCGGATCTCGTCCGTGACATGGCCGACGTGATCGCGCAGGAGGCGCTGGCGCTGGGCATCAACCAGATCTTCGCGCCGGTGGTGGACCTGGCGCGCGAGCTGCGCTTCGGGCGGGTCGAGGAGACGTACGGCGAGGACCCGTACCTGGCGGGCGAGATGGGCTACGCGTACGTGCGCGGGCTCGAGGCGCGCAACGTCAGCGCCATGGTCAAGCACTTTGCCGGCTTCAGCAACCCGGAGCAGGGCCTCAACACCGGGCCGGTGCACGGCGGCGAGCGTGAGCTGCGCACCACCTGGCTGCCGCCCTTCCACCGCGCCATCATCGATGCCGGCGCCACGAGTGTCATGTCGGCCTACCATTCTTGGGACGGCGTCCCGGCCGTCGCCGACTACCACACCCTCACCGAGGTAAGTTCGTCGCGTAGGGGAGAGAGAGAGAGAGAGAGAGAGAGAGAGAGAGAGAGAGAAAGGGCTGCTGACATGACGGCGTGCAGATCCTCCGCGAAGAATGGGGATACGAGTACTATGTGAGCTCCGACGCCGGCGGGACCGACCGGCTGTGCAAGAACTTCAAGATGTGCAAAGCGGATCCCATGGACAAGGAAGCCGTCACCATGTACGCGCTGCCGGCGGGCAACGACGTCGAGATGGGCGGCGGCTCGTACAACTTCGAGACCATCATCGACCTGGTCGCGTCGGGCAGGCTGGACATGGACACGGTCGACACGGCCGTGGCGCGCACGCTGCGGACCAAGTTCGTGCTGGGCATCTTCGAGAACCCGTACCGCGCCGTCGCGGCCAACGAGACGGCGCTGCACATCCACACGGCGCAGTCGGTGGCGCTCGCGCGCAAGCTCGACGCCGAGTCGATCGTGCTGCTGGAGAACAAGGAGAGCGTGCTGCCGCTCGACCCGGCGGCCAACATCGCCGTCATCGGGCCCATGGCCGACTTCATGAACTACGGCGACTACGTCGTGCAGGACTCGCAGTACCGCGGCGTCACGCCCCTGGCCGGCATCAAGGCGGCGTCGAGCGGCGGCACCGTGACGTACGCGCTCGGCGCGGAGCGCTGGTCCAACGACGAGTCGGGCTTCGCCGAGGCCGTGGCCGCGGCCGAGGCGGCCGACGTGGCCGTCGTGGTGGTGGGCACGTGGTCGCGCGACCAGACGGAGCTGTGGCAGGGGCTCAACGCCACGACGGGCGAGCACGTCGACGTGCACTCGCTGCGGCTGGTGGGCGCGCAAAACGCGCTCGTGCGGGCCGTCGTCGCCACGGGGCGCCCCACGGTCGTCGTCTTCCAGAGCGGCAAGCCGGTGACGGAGCCGTGGATCTCGGGCGCGGCGGCGGCCGTGGTGCAGCAGTTCTACCCGTCGGAGCAGGGCGGCGCGGCGCTGGCCGACGTGCTGTTCGGCGCGCACAACCCCAGCGGCAAGCTCGCCGTCGGCATCCCGCACGACGTGGGCACCACGCCCGTCTTCTACGACTACCTCAACTCGGGCCGCAGCGTCGACGCCGGCGCCGCCTACGACAACGGCACCCTGCTCTTCGGCCACCAGTACGTCCTCAGCACCCCGCAGCCGCTGTACCCCTTCGGCCACGGCAAGAGCTACGCCGACTTTGCCTACTCCAACGTCTCGCTGTCGCGCCCCACGGCCGGCCCCGCCGACGTCGTCACCGCCTCCGTCCGCCTCACCAACAACTCGACCCGCGACGGCCAGGAGGTCGTCCAGCTGTACGTCAGCGACCTGATTGCCAGCGTCGCCGTGCCCAACATGCAGCTGAGGGGCTTCAAGAAGGTGCTCGTCAAGGCCGGCGAGTCCGTTGACGTGGCCATTGACGTCGACGTGAGCAAGCTCGGCGTGTGGGACATTCGCATGAAGTACGTCGTCGAGCCCGGCGAGTTTGCCATCTACGTGGGCAGCTCGAGCGCGGATCTGAGGGGGAATGCTACCTTGACGGTAGTCTGAGGAGGGGGGCGGAAGTGTAATAATGTCTTATTTTTTTCACTTCACGCTTCGTGTTTTTGTAAATATTTTACAGACATTTTCAGAGATTCTGTGCTTGTTGGACGCTTTACACGGGTTACACATGCTCTCTCTCTCTCTCTCTCTCTCTCCCTGGTCACTCCATCTGGTGATTACATAGAAAATGTAGATGTGGATATGGTTCTGGAAGATAGTCCAACTTACTCGAATCCTCGCAGATTTCGAAGTCCTGGTGCATAGATTACCCGTCATCAGTGAGCACGGATTCGTTTGCTCAAGTCCACTGGAGTGTTCCCACCTCTTTCTTAAAGGATGGGGAGAAGTGTTGATATCTGCGAGGCGATTCTGTGCAAGACGTTCTTGCTTGAGATATTCGCGTTCGTCGATCTTTTCGTGCCTGCGGAGCCGTTTCGGGACCAGATTGGGACCGTCATGGTTTGGTCGGGGACCGTCAGGATTCGAGCTTGCGCAGGGTTTCCAAGTCAAATCCTGACGGACCCAACCTACTAGTCCCAGTGCACGGACCACACATTCCGGCATGGTGTTTGCTTTAATTCTCGATATTTTCGAGCATTTCACAAATCCAAGTAGCCATGAGCAAGGAAGGGCCTGTCTCACTAAGCTTGCTAGCGCGTTGGTCTGATGTTAGCTAGGGGCAGAGGGGAATGCTCGAGATTTCCGAGAATTTAGCAACATGTTCTCCGGTCAAAACACTAAAGATGCTTGAGAATTTCGAGGATTATAGAGAGCTCTGGGACCAGTTTGGGACCGTCAGGATTCGACACGGAAACCAAGAAGCTCCAATCCTGACGGTCCGAGCCGTGAGGCTGTCGGGTCCGCGAATCCTCCAGAATTCCGAGGATTATGGAGGGTTCTGGGACCAATTTGGGACCGTCAGGATTTGAGCTTGCGCGTGGCTTCCAAGTCAAATCCTGACAGTCCCAACCGTGAGGCTGTCGGACTCGCGAATCCTCGAGATACTCGAGGATGCAAGTGATGGCATACAATCCAAGATGGATCACCTGGAGCGAAGTCTACGAGCGGGTCTCAATTTACCTGCTTTGATCCATGACTTAAACCTCTGTGAGATATTGCCCAAGCGGCGGGAACTACGACAATCTCGGTACTCACGTCCGGCTTATGAGGATTCCAAGACCGCAAGGCCCAGAACGTAGGTAGTCCGGATTGGCAGAATCAGTCCCGTGACCTCCGACCTCACAACTTGCTGTTGAATCTCGATCCTGCTACTAAAGTTCAGCCGGAACTAACGGTATTGGGAAATTGTTCGGTCACGTGACGGCCGGAGACATAAACCACATCAGCCGGAGACTTTGCGGAGCGCCTGTGTGGCCGAACACTGCGCGCCACCCCACATGTCTTGATCAACTGTTAGCTGCCGGCTAAAGAGAGGTCCACGGGAGAATCCTCCGTGTCAGCCGTGGCTTGCCAAAGTGACCGAGAAGGGCCAACTCTCCATACATAAAAGGGCAAGATGGGTGAGGCCATGGAGCATCGTCATCATCACCATCAACAGCTTACCTTCAGAAAACCATACCTTTTGAGACCCTTCGAACCAATTTCCATATCCACAAACTCACCGACAAAGTCGAAACAGCCACAATGGACTGGAAAGACCCTAACGTCGCGAAGAAGTACAAGCCGGGAGAGGTCATAACGGGCGCCTTCGCGCTCCCGCTCATCAAGCAAGCCGGGCTGGATGAGAGCCTGTCCGGCAGCGATGAGCTTGTCACGCTCGACAACGCGTGCGGTACGGGCATCCTGACGGTGCACCTGTACGACACGCTTCCAGAGCACGCCAGGGAGCGCATCAACCACACGTGCAGTGACGTCTCTCAGGGCATGGTTGACACGGTGCAGAGCCGGATCAAGGAGAGCGGCTGGAAGGGCGCGACCGCTAAGATCATCGACGCGCAGGTACGTTTTCCTCGCCGCCTCCCTTCTTCCCCTCTGCAGATTGCTGACTGAAGAAATTGTCGGGCAGAAAATGGACATCCCCTCCAACACCTTCACCCACGTCCTCACCAACTTCGGCTTCGTCGGCCTGCCCGACCCGGGCCAGGTCCTGCGCGAGTGGCACCGCATCCTCCGACCCGGCGGCACGTGTGGATTCACCGTGTGGGAGTTCGTAGGCTGGTACCCGCCCGTTGAGGCGGCAGTGCTATCGCTAAACGGCCCAAAATTCCCGACGTGGAAGGAGTTCTGCAAGGCTTTCTCCACGACAGACGACCCGTGGGAGGAACGGTCCTTTTTCGAGCGCGGCGTCGGCGAAGCCGGCTTCGAGGGCTTACGCGTGGAGCGTTTTGAGAACCGGACGAAGCATGCCAATGCGCGCGAATTCTGCGACCTATACGGCATAATGTGCAGGTCTATCGCGGAGAAATTCTGGACCGAGGAGGAGAGGGACAAGTACACGTCGCTGTTGGATCCAGCAATGGAGAAGGCGTTGCAGGAGCAGTTTGGAGAGGGCGAGTTTTCGCTGGAGTGGAAGGCTTGGATCATCACAGCGAAGAAACCTTTGGAGAAGAATTAGGGTAATGGATTGCGAAGGTATTACGAGCTGGAAGGAATAAAGACGTTGCAATTTGCCTGTATGATCTGGTGTGAAGGAATGCGGTTTTGGTTTTTGGTGTTCCTTTTCTGTTGGTCCAGAGAAGTGCTCTCGGCGTGGTTAATCCTCAACCTCGTAGTCTCCCGCCAGGAGGATGTCGTCAGGGACTGAGGATGCCCTAGTCTGACATCAGCATCCATGATTCCCAGGGCCATGTCAGATCTGTTGCTGAAGTAGGCATATGCTGGGAGAGGGGTAGCTTACCCCGGTGTACCTAGCTCAATGTCTCGCCGCCACTCAAAGCTCGTCCCTTCACAGGCTCCGCTGTAGTATATATTCCAGAGAGGGTTGTTGTAGTTCTTCACATAACAATGGAGAGTGCGGCGAACACTCAGCACGATTTTCCTGTCTGCGCCGTGCCACTGTACACGGAAACTTCGCATGGAGCGGGAACGTGAGCCTAACAACTCTTGGCAGGTAACATCGTATAGAAGACCCATCCTGACGCCGTTTCCCGGGGAAATGCTCGCGTAGTCCAGGTCATCACCACCCATGGCATGGGTTACAAGCATCAGATTGAGTTCGGCGACGGGGGGCTGGGTGACTAGCATGCGCCGCCAGGAGGCCTCAGAGCGCAGAAAGGCAAAGCGTGTCGTCTCAGCGGCCAGCGGTAAGGTCTCGAAGGTCTCGGGGTCCCAGAAGGGCGCGGAGAATCTTGATCTTGGCGTGCTACGGTCAAACCAAGGCCAAAAGGCTAAGGCGAGGAGGGGGTTCCGCTCCCACGCTTCGGTGGTGGGGGTATCGTCTGGAGAGTGGAGCAGCTTCACCGAGGCTGACGAAGGCGGCGGGGCGGCGGTTGCGGGAAGCGGGCGAAAGAACAGGGCTTGCTGGAGGGTGGGCGAGCTGGCGATGGCGGTATTGAAGCCCTTGCAGACGCGTTGGGCCAGTAGGAGGTCTCTCATGGGAAGCTTGGATAAGACGAGCTCGAGCAGCTCCGGGGTATTCAGGACATCATCCATCTTAGTCATGGTGCTGTGTGACGGAGCGTGTTCGAGCAGAGGGTTGTGTGTCGCGATGCGGGGCCGTGCAGGCTGCTGTTGCCTGGCCTGGCCTGACTGGTGGCCCCTGCGCCGTGCCACCTGAAGAAGAGGGAAGCTGCCACGGCCACGCGTCCATTGTTCCTGCACAGAACCGGCCAGTTCCTCCTGTGGCCGATGACCATCTTTGGGGAAGTGGATGCAGATGAATCCATCGCCGCCGCTCCGAAAGCCGATTCCATCCACGCAGCTTCTGATGACGTCACTCTCCCACCCTGCGACTCTCAACACCGCGTTGCAGCTCAAAATACGGCGGTCCCTGCACTTGCTCGGACAGCTCGGTCCTCGGGGGATTGATGCCGCCAGCTCGCCGCTTCGGGGGATGATCTCCTAAGCGCCAAGGTTCGGTGTAGTCAATCAACCGAGTCCGTCTCACCCGTCCCCAGACATTCGCCCCAGTCTTTTTGCGGAGAAGACATGGGGAGTAAGCTTTGCGGATGCCGGGCGGCGTTGCGCTGCGGCAAGCGCTTCCCCGGCCGCCTCGGTGGGTTGTTCTCTCGACCTGGATCCCTTTTCCTTAATGCTATCCCTCCCGCTTCCTGCGTCTTTCACTCCGTCGTCTGAAGCCATCATGTTTGGGGCAAATTCGAGAGGCCGTTGGCTGAACTGGGCCATCACGGGTATGTATCCGCAAATTCCTTTGCACATAGACATGCTAAGCTTCCGACAAGCCGCCTCTTGCCAAGGCTTCCTCCTCCTGGGCTACGATCAGTGAGTAACTCTGGTCGCTGCACACGACTACCAATCTACTGACTTCTGCTGTCCAGGGGTGTCATGAGCGGCATCATCGGGGCGAACAATCGGTTCGGAAACGACTTCAACAACCCAGACGCGAATATGCAAGGCCTCATCGTCTCCATATACGACGTAAGATGCCCGCCAGCCAATGGACAATCGCCGAGGCTAACGAGTCTAGATTGGATGCGCCTTTGGCTCGCTACTGTCCTTCTTCTTTGCCGAGAACTACGGCAGAAAGAACATGATCATTGCTGGCGGAAGCACTATGATTATAGGGACCATCATCCTCGCCTCATCAACAACCATCGCCCAGCTGCTGGTCGGACGCATCGTAACCGGAATCGTAAGAAGACATCATCCATATCTCGGGCATCCACTGATGGTTATGAACCAGGGCAACGGCTTCAACAGCTCCAACATCCCAGCCTACCAGTCCGAGCTCGCCAAGCCAGCGAATCGAGGCCAACTCCTTAGTGCCCAAGGCACCGTCACCATCGTCGGCCTCTGTATCGCCTACTGGGTGGATTTTGCCCTGTCCTATGTCTCCGGTCCCGTCCAGTGGCGGTTTCCAATCGCCTTCCAAGGCTTCTTCGCCATCTGTCTGGTTCTACAAATGCTGCCCCTCCCAGAGACGCCCCGTTTTCTGATCGAGAAAGACCGCACGAGAGAAGCAGCCGACGTGCTCTCGCGGCTTGATGATGCGGCCGTTGATGACCCCGAAGTCGTCGAGACGGTGCGCACGATCCAGACGTCCATTGAGAAGGAGACACGCGGTGGGCCGTTCCAGTATAAGGAACTAATCACAGGTGGACCGCTTGGTAATTTCCGGCGTATATGCCTGTGCCTGGCAGTCAACGTCATGCAACAATGGACTGGATCTAATTTTATCAACTACTGGGCGCCGACGGTCTACGAACAGAACATGGGCATGACGCGGACTATGTCGCTTATCCTTGGAGGCTGTACGTCGCTGACGTACCTCGTCGGCAGCTTCATCCCGCTTTGGGTGCGTCTTTCCTGCTTCCCTTTCTCCCCCCTCCCCAGTCCAGCTGTACGTAAAAAAAAAGGTACTAACCTACAGTCGTAAAATAAAGACTGTCGACAGATTCGGCCGCCGCGCTCTCCTCATGTTCAGCGCCGCGGGGCTGTGTCTCTGCTTCTCGCTCGCCAGCATCCTGCTGTCGACGGGCACGCGACCCGCGGCCTACGGCGCCACCGCCATGGTCTTCCTGTTCCAAATCTTCCTCGGCATCGGCTGGCTGCCCATCCCCTGGTTTTACCCTTCGGAGGTGACGACCACGCGCATCCGCTCCAAAGGCCAGGCTCTCGGCTCCTTCATAAACTGGTAAGTAACAACACTCCCCATTCCCGCGATCATCACCTATCTCCTCCCCACTTTTACCTTGCATGACTAACGTCTTCTTTCTCTCTCACGCACAGGATGTGCGTCTTCGCCGTCGTCCAAATCACCCCCATCGCCACGCAAAACATCCAGTGGCGCACCTTCGTCATCTTCGCCGTCTTCTGCGCCCTCTGGGTCCCCATCGTCTACTGCTTCTTCCCCGAGACCAACGGCCTCGAGCTCGAGGACCTCGACTACCTCTTCGTCAACGGCGGCGTCACCGGCGGCGTGTGGGGCGCCAAGGGCGGCCGCACCGTGCACAGGCGGACCGGCAGGGAGGAGGCTGGCATCGAGGGCGGCTTCGGTGGCGGTGATGTTAAGAGTCCCGAGGCTAAGATGGTGGTGGAGGAGGAGGAGGAGATGGGGGCGGCGGCGGCGCCAGCGGATGATGTGGCGAGAGATGAGGTGAAGGCTTGAGGACGAGCGGAGAGGAGAGGGGCGTCGGGTTGGGCAGCGCTGATGTCCCACCGGCCCCTCACCATCACCTAGTTAATCTGGAATTGTAGTGAGGTCGAAATTGTAAATAGGAAACATTCGTTGTGGCATAGATAGGGACGCAAATTGATGGGCTTTATTGTCATCACAGATCTTGGGACAACACTTCCTCTCTTCGTGGGTATTGAAAGCAAGTGCCTAGACGTAGATGCGGGCCTTGAGCCCTTCAACACCTGCATCTCCTTGCATGGTTCGCCCAAGGCCTACTGCTGTTACATATTGGATATATGGATGAAAATGTACCTTAAAGTGCATGCGTTTCACAGCTAGACTTCGTCACCGCTCACCTTCCCGTCCCTGTGCTGCTTCCGTCCAAGCTCCCCAGTCAAAATCTACAGCTGGCCCCCAGTCGCCATATCCCTCCTCCCACAGATTCACATCGCCGGTATATTGCATCCCGGGCAGTGCTGCGTCGATATCGAATAATGGCTGCATCGTTGCCTCTGGCGGTAGCTCGCCTTCGCTTTCAACTGGCAAGACCAGCGCCGGTGGTGCTGTAGACGGGCTTGCAACGGCCGGCACTGATGCACCAGGGTCCACTGCAGTCATACCGCGCAGTCTGATAAGCAGCTCGTGCCTCGCCCGTATGTGACCGTTGCCTTTCTCAGCCATGCCGTGAAGGACATCGAGGGCCTTCTCCATGGCAACGTGGTCACAGTCGTTGTGTGGGAAGGCGAGGTTGGCCATCACTAATACTATCGCGGCGCTGAAGATGTGCTCGCCATCCATGAAACCATAGGTGGCTTACGGAGGGTCAGCGAGGGCTCCGCGGGATAATTGGATTTTGGTAAGATGGAGGGGTTACGTACCAACAAGGTTCTGTTTGGCGGCAGCGTGCATCATCGTTGTGCTATCACGAGCTGCTGCTACACACGCCTCGATCACTGCGATGGTTGTAGTAGAAAGACCGCTGCGCCAATCCTTTTCCTTCTCTGTAGCAAGGTTTGCGAGCCGTCGTTGCACGACGCGGAAGAGAAGAGGACGAGCCGTCATATTGATGCATTGATAGTAATGTAAAAATGTTGAAACAGATTCGCGCGAGATATCACGGTCGAGGCGGGATGCATCAAAGTGGAGCGGCTTTGGTAGATCACGTCGCCAGTTGTTCAAGTCGGTCATGATGTTGTAGACAGAGGTGACAAGGCTTGAGCCTGTCTTCGGGCTTTTTCGGTAGATGCCTGAGAGGTTTAGCTTATCTAAACCATTTGCTGAGGTGGATTGACATGGTCCTCACCTTTCATGATTTTGCCGAGGATTCGCGATAGTTCGGTGTAGTGGAACAGTACAGTTGCAGAACTGATCTCGGGCTCGTGCGGTAGCCTTGACGGAGGTAGAACGCCGATATCCTCGTCAAGGATGGTAATTGGATTTCCAGACTTGGCGCACAGTATTCTGGCCTGATCAGCGGCGAGTTCGGAACGGTTGAGGCTTGGTGACTCACCTGTCCATGGAGTAGACGGACCACCACAGCCGACGCCGGTGTTCTCTTGTCCCCTCGTCCATCTCTGGGTCGACTATCTCCTGATGGAGGCCAAGTGAAATCGCCATCCTGAGGGCGAGGCCGATCTGGTGGCGTCGGTTAGCGCAGTACTCTCATGAGCAGGCGATGAAGTCGGCCCTACGTAAAGGAACGCAGCGTCGCGACGATTGAGATTCTGCATGAAATAGCCGACCAAAGAGAGGACCTCGACGAATAAGACTGATCCTTCATCGTGGGTGTCAGGCAAGAAGTGCAGGGCCTGCATGAAGTAGTCGAATCCGGGTGGGCCATCGTGTCCATCCCATTGGTTCACACTGTAAAGCTGGCCATAGGCGAGAATGACCAAGACTTGGCAGTATTCAAGACACGCCTCCCGGTCGGACAGATCTGGGGTTCCCATGTAGACCTTGTCGAGTCTCTGGTCGAAGACACGTGGTTCAACGAACGAAAAGATTGTGCCAATGTATGTGTACTGCGCATGATACAACCTTTTAGCAAAGTCGCGCGGAGGCAGCTTTGGGACTTCGGCTACAGAAGGTCGTCTCTTTGGCCAAGCTGCTGGATTGTATGTGGGATACTGGACTTCAATTGACAAGTCCTGGTCAAAGCGCCGGAAGGTTTCGAAGAAACTACGAAGTCTAAGGCCGAAGCTGGTTGACGATGAGTTTCCGAGGTAGTCTAGAAATCTTGTCAGTGATCAATAAGGCGGTAGGGGAAGGAGGATGGTTACGCCTCTGGCCGGAAGGGGTGATGACAAGATGGGTCATGCCATCAGTGAGAGGATTGTTGTCATCAAAGCCATCCGTCACAGCGTCGTCTGCAATGGTGGAAGAGGCCGGCACTGAGGCTGTCGAGGGAGCGGTAGGCGAGTTTGAGGGCGGGTTGCCGGCTGTGGGTCCAGTGAGCTCAGTTATGCGAGAGTACAGAAAGGCGACTTGCACTCGTAAGCCTTCAAGCGAGCCTCCAAGTCACGGAGGTAGCTGCAAGAATAAGCGCGGGGCGAAGTGGGGATAAGGTGGTGAGAAGCGTACAATTCGGGGACGGGGATTTTGCGCTCTTGTTCCAAGTAGACGCATTCGTTGTTGGTGTTGGTGCATGTTCGGCACCGCGGGAACTCGCCGCTGCATTTCGTTTTCCGGCCCCTGCAGCGCTTGCATCTGCGGAACAAAATGGTAAGAGAGTTGACGAGAGCACAGAGAGAGCGGCTGAAAGCTCACGCCAGCGAAGTTCTCCGGTAAGGATCAGTGGCCGTCGGAGTCTGGCGGTCCCGGGTTTTGGAGCGGTGCTTTGCAGAAGGCATGATGGGCAGTGGCGATGGTGTAGGTGGGTCCGACGGCGGGGACTGCGTGACTGGGCGGATGCTAGACGAGGTCAGGGCAGCAAGAGGCTCAAGTCGCCGACAGCTGAAGGGGCTGTGGAAGCCGGGCCCGATCAGCGGGGAGAGGGCAGCGGTGGTGGTCGCGCCTGCCTGGGTCGATGCCTGGGTCGATGCCTGGCTCAGGCCGACGCAGGCCGATCGCTTGTGCTGCGCTCCACCCGCCGCCGTCCACACCTCGCATCCGCCAGCCCACGCTTTCCCCTCCTCAGCCATGCTCACCCGTCTCGCTCCAGCTGCGTCCTGACGTAGCGTCGAGCTCGCGCCACACATGCCTGTCGCAATGCCTCCCAGATGGCTCAGGCTGTCCGCTCTTGCGCTGACGTCGGCACAGCCAAGCGGCGGCTTATCGCGCCGGCCTGACTGTCACGGATGCTCATCCCGATCTATCAGTTCCCCGTTTCAATGTGTGACCGCCATACGTACCAGCGATAGCCGCTTGCCACCCCTGCAACCCTGCTGCTGTTAAAGACGGCCGCTACTCCGCTCCCAGCCCGTTGTCCGGCCGCAACTTTATCGACAGCCGCCATCATGGAGTCGCCTGCACAAGACCCGGAGTCCAAGTCGCCCGTCTACGATGCCAAGCAGGGCCCCCAAGATGCAGAGCCGGGGGACTCTCAGCCGTACATCGATCCTGCAAAGGAGACGAAGCTGCTGGCAAAGCTCGATGCTGCCTTTACCCCGGTCATCATGCTGGTGTATCTGGTGAGTTGCCCCGTCTACCACTGTGAAGAAACTCTAGTACTCATACCGCGCAGTCATGCTTCCTCGACCGTTCCAACATCGGTATGCTCCAATTCTGCCTTCTTTCCGAGCCTCTCCAATTGGCGGTTCGCTGACGTTGTAACAGGCAATGTCAAGACAGCAGGAATGCCTGAAGCCATTGGTGCGAGCGCCCAGGAGTTCTCAACCGCAGTTTCCATCTTCTACGCCACATACGTCGCGTTCGAAACCCCATGGGCTGTGCTACTCAAGAAATTGACCCCGCGTCTTCTCATGACCAGTCTCTGCATCGTCTGGTCCCTCGTCACCATCTTCTCCGGCTTCATCCAAAACATCGGCGGCCTTTACGCCACGAGACTCATTCTTGGAGCCTGCGAGGGTGGCCTCTTCCCCGGCCTCAACCTCTACTTGACCATGGTCTATCGCCGTGAGGAGCAGGCCAAGCGCGTTTCCTACCTCTTTGTTTGTACAGCAATCTCTGGGGCCTTTGGTGGGCTGCTGGCATACGCCATTCTCCACATGGATGGTGTTGGGAACTTTGCAGGCTGGAGGTATACACGTCCTCATTTTCCCAACTGCTTTCATGCTAATGGCAACTAGGTGGGTCTACATCATCGAAGGCATATTCAGCATTCTCGTGGCTATCGCTGTCTGGTTTGGTCTCCCAAATGACCCCTCAAACGCTTACTTCCTCAATGCCGAGGAGAAGGAGATGATGCGTGTCCGCGCCATCCAACGTCAGGCATACATGGGAAGTGAGGAGTTTGACTGGAACGAAGTCAAGCTTGCTCTGAAAGATCCTAAAGTCTATCTCAGGTACGTCTGGTACCCTCGACATAATCGCTGATGCTGACGGTCCTCGCAGCGGTGCTATTCAGTTCTGTCAAGATATCCTGCTATATGGCTTCAGCACCTTCCTTCCGTCTATCATCCAGGGAATGGGCTACAACACCCTCCAGTCTCAATACCTGACTATTCCTGTCTACATATTCGGCGGCATCGCTTTCCTGAGCTTCGCCTTCGTTTCAGACAAACTGCGCATTCGTGGCCCAGTGAGTGTCCCTCAAGAAGGGCTACCCGTCGGGTGATATCCTGAGCTAATCGTTCTCAGTTTGTTTTCTTTGCGAACATTTTTGGCATTGTGGGATACATTCTTCTCCTCACAGATACGCCTGAGGGTGTGAAGTTCTTCGCAACCTTTCTCTGTGCAGTCGCAGTCTACAACGGTCCTGGCTTGAACCTCACTTGGCTGAACGTCAACGTAGCACCCCACTACCGCCGTGCAACTGCCATTGGTTTCCAACAGACCATCGGAAATACTGCTGGTGTTGTTGCTGGTCAAATTTACAGGAAAGCTCCCTACAAATTGGGCAACGGGTGAGTCTGACATGCCCAACAGTTGGCACTTCTCCGCTGATCCAGCTTTATAGATTCTCCTTGGGCGCACTATGTGTGAGCCAACTCCTCATTATCGGCAAGTATCTCTATATCAGAAAATGCAACAACGAAAAGAAGAGAATCGCCAGCGGAGAGCTTGAAGACACTCGGACGGTTACAACAGGAGATCGTGCTCTTGACTTTGAGTACCATCTGTAGCAACTTTTGGCTTTAATGGCTTGTAATGATTTTGATAGATTCAAAGAATTGATAATGACTAGAACCCAACCTTTCTCCAGGAAATGGTACTCTCATTCGCGCTCACACTATGTTTAGACACTTCTCAGACGTTGTCACTCCTTCGATACGCTCTCTGAATCGGCTGAGCCATGTTCGTCATGACCCTCGCGTACTGGTTTTGAGTTTGCATTGGACGTAAGCAAATGCTTACAAATCTGTAAGGGTCAAGGCGAGGTGAGATGTTGAGAGTCGCAACTTGAGTATTTTGCTGGGCCTTGATGGATGTACCGGATGATTGGATCAGGAGCATGATTTGCAGACCCTTGTTCATCTTCAAGGACGGAGTGGAGCCAGTGCTTGCTTGCATGAGTCCTTGATCCTGGTCCAGCCTTTCTTGACTCGCGCTTTGCCGTTGGCCATGTCTTCCAAGAGGACCTCTCCGGTCCTGAAAGCATCAAACCCTTGAAGTCCCTATTTTGATACCTCGGACAGATGTATTGGAAGAAACTTGTGACCTGACCACTAATTTCACATTGGCTGTTTGCATTTGGAATGTCGCCTGTTGTTTTATGTGAACATTCTCCAGCCAGCTGAGATGCTTGGATCTCAAGTGCAGAGCTACATTTTGAGGAGCTTTGAAATGACTTGAGGAGGCAAGAAGGCTAGTGTGCAGCCAATTGGATGCCCATTGCCAAAGAAGACGAAAGCAGCCAGCTCGGCATAACCGTGCAGCAACCCCGCCATCTCAACCACAAACTTACCCCGCCGTTGATCCTACGACCAGGATCATCCTACTCTAACAGCTTATTGGTCATGTCCCCCATGCGCGTGTTCCTGCACTCTTTTTCAATGCCCGGCGGCTCGGCATGGCTTGCCGAAGGTGCTTATCAGATCGTATCACCCAGCCGATAGGCATGCAGTTGGCCGGGGTCGGGGCTCCACCTCCACCCCTCACTGGACCATCGCCTCTCCCAGAGTAGCTGTGGCAAGGCTAGTTTAGATGTTTCCAACAGTTCATATTACTTCCAACCTGGAGCATTTAACAAAAACCTCATAGCTAAGTGGAACCATCGCTATCATCGGGCCCGAAAACGCTACACCCATAACCACCACCATGGGCTCTCTTCCTACCCCTCCCGCAGACGCGTCGGCCTACCCAACGGGTCACTCGGCGCGTGTCGCCGCGCGTGCCAACGCCATCCTCTCGACGTCGGGCCTCGCGCCGGACTACCTCCAAGCGAACCTGATCGTGCTGCCCTCGCGCTACGCCGCCGATTTCCGGCTGCTCTGCAAGCGCAACCCGGTGCCGTGCCCGCTGCTCGCCGAATCGGCGAGCGTGGGCAGCTACTCGGCGCTGAAGTCTTGGATGGACGGCGTGGCCGACGACGCCGTAGCCAAGGGGATCGACATCCGGACGGACGCGCCGCGATATATGGTGTACAAGTAAGCACTGTACCTATGCCTTGACTCACTTTGACGCCCTCCTCCCTTCTTCCTTACACCTCTTCCTTGCACCTCTTCCTTCTCCTTCTCCTTCTCCTTCACCTCATCCAACCGCTAACCCCTCCACCCCCTAGCAACGGCACCCTCACCGCCTCCCACATCGCCGACGTCTCCGCGCACTGGGACGCCTCCGACCACGTCGCCTTCCTGATCGGCTGCTCCTACAGCTTCGAAGCGGCCCTCGCACGCCAAGGCCTCACCCCGCGACACACGCAGCTCAACCGCGTCGTGCCCATGTACCGCACGCGGCTGCCGCTCAGCCCGGCGGGCGTCTTCACCGGCGCCACGCACGTCGTCAGCATGCGGCCGTACCCGCGGCGGGCGGTGGCGGCCGTGCGCGCCGCGACGCGCCCCTTCGTCGCGGCGCACGGCGAGCCCGTGGCGTGGGGGTGGGACGCGGCGCGCGAGCTGCTGCGCGACGGCGCCGACGTCAACGCGCCCGACTGGGGCGAGCCGCCCGTCATGGCCGACGGCGTGAGCCCGCTGGTCGAGGGCGACGAGGAGAACGTGCCCGTGTTTTGGGGGTGCGGCGTCACGCCGCAGGAGGCGGTGGTGAGGGCGGGGCTGGAGGGGACGGTGTTGGGGCATGCGCCGGGGCATATGATTGTGTTGGATGTGAGGGATGAGGATGTTTTTGGGAAGGTGTAGGTGGGTTGGGATTTTTTTTTTCTTTTGTTGTTTATTCTCTTCTCCGTTGTTTGTTTAGTAGGGTCGTTGAGGGGAGGGATGTTATGCTTCTCCTCATTGACTGGGGAAAGCAACGAGATGCGGAAGGAAAGGGTTTTGAGAAAGAGATCGTAGGACTTGAAAACATCAACTTCTCGCACCTTTGCGTCAGAGATGAAAGCGGCCTTGATGCTTCAGGGCCTTGCCTAGCCTAGCGAGATGAGAAGATTGTGCCCATCGTGCTATCATCCCGAACTTTGAAGTGGAACGACCTGTTGTCTCTACACACGCGGCGGCAACGAATTGCTGACTGACGCCGCTTTCCAGTCTAGCTTGTTGTGTTGTGCCGTCCTTGCCGAGAGAGCAGGGGGCCAAGCATCGACAAGCTTTGCGCCCTACCCGCCCGGCGTCCAGGGGGCTCGAGTGGTCCGACCCGTCCACGCGAAAGCAAATACAAACGCATATCAACTTCACCAGATTTTCGCCGTTCTCCGTGGCCCTCCCGAGGAGAAAGCCGTGCATTTGCGGAGGATGGTACCGCATTGGGCACATCTTATCAGCGGCAAGGTCGGACCGCGCAAGCTTAGGGGCCCACCGATCCACAAAATGCTGCCGAAATTGCTCAGTAGTAGAGATTTTTGATGTTGTATTAGCGAGAGAGGTGACATTGAAGCGGGGGTTCCTCCGAGTATATAATGCCTTGCGCGAGGGAGCGGGAAAGACAAGGGAGAGCGTGAGATTCCAGCTTCAAGATGCAACCGCACATTGCTGTTTCGGAGAACCGTGACCCTACATCGGCAGAGCTCGACGAGAAGGCGCAAATCTCAGGCACAGTGGCGGGTGTTGACGACCCAAATAGCCCCTCTCTTGAAGATGCTAGCGTCGCGAGGAAAAGTGCACGCACAACAACCTTCTTCGCAGTAGCCGGCTGCGTAAGCTTTGCGCCCTGCCAACTCCAAAGCATTAAGCTGACTCTACCAAGACAGCAGCGAACTTCTCCGACGGCTACCAGCAACAGATCGCCAGCAACGTCAATGTCATCCTCAAGCACATGTACGGCTCAGCGTACACTGCGGCAGATCAAACGCGAATTTCGGACTCTCTCATTGTAGGACAAATCCTGGGCATCATCCTGTTAGGATTCATCACGGATGGCTGGTCCAGAAAGGCCGGTATGGTCTTTACCTCGTCCTTGGTCGTCGTTGGGAGTTTGATGGCGACGTTGGCGTTGAAGGTCCAACATCTTGGCGTGGATAACATGCTTTGGTACCTTACGATAGCCCGGGGCATCGCTGGCGTTGGAGTTGGAGGCGAGTTCCCTGCGGGAGCTACTGTAAGTCAACCACCAACCCTGCCAAGGCGATTTGGTACTGATACAGCGTGGCAAAGGCTGCTTGTGAAGGCATGGAAGATTACAACCCAGCAAAGCGCGGCCCCATCTTCGTCTGCGCGACCACCTTCATCACTTGCTGGGGAGGCCCGGTATGCATCTTTGTGTACCTGATGACGCTGATAGGGTCCAACAACGACCTCACGACGGCGTACATCTCGGTCAACACCATCTCGATCCTCCTGCCGTTTCTCGTTTTCCTCTTCCGCCTGCGCATGGAAGATTCCAAACTCTTCCGTCGTTCCAATTTCAAATCGACCAAGACGGTTTCGATTCCTTTGCGCCTCATCCTCAAGAGGTATTGGCTTCGGCTCGCAGGCACTGGCGGGGCCTTCTTCATCTACGACTTTGTAAACTTCCCCAACAGCATCATGAGCAGCACCATCATCAACTCTCTCGTTCCCGGCAAGGCGCTGCAGACCGTAGCCCTTTGGCAGCTGATCCTCGCCTTGATGACGCTTCCAGGTGTCTTCGTCGGCATCTTCCTTGTCAACCGCCTCGGCCGCCGCTGGACGGGCATCCTCGGCTTTGGCGGCTACCTGCTCATCGGACTGATCGTCGGCTGCTCATTCGCGGAGATCTCGAAGGTTATCCCCGCGTTCGTTGTCATGTATGGGCTAATGCAGAGCCTGGGCCACATGGGTCCCGGTGCGACACTCGGTTTGGTGTCGACGGAGTCGTACCCTACAGCCATTCGTGGCGTCTGCTACGCCATCTCAGCAGCTCTTGGCAAGGCTGGCGCGGCCGTGGGCACAGAAGTGTTTACGCCCATCAAAGAGAATCTTGGTCAGCGCTGGACCTTTTTCTTCGCTGCGATTTTTGGTGCCATCGGAATGGTGGTGTATTGGTGAGTTTTTGCGTTTCATTTGCGTTCGGTTTCGGCCGTCGACTGACTTGGAATGCAGGTTCTTGATCGAGGACATGACTGAAGCAGATCTCCTGGCTGAAGACAAGGCTTTCGAGTTGTATCTGCGAGAGAATGGGTGGGACGGCAAAATGCTGGAGAAGGCCCAAGAAACAGAATGATGACGGTCATCACGAAGACAATACGAGCATGCATGCTGCTAGGCGTAGAGGATGTCATGAATTCTTGATTGAATGGATATTGTCGTGAATCATTAACAAAGAGCGACTGACCAGACAAAGGCCGGCTTGCCGTCGACTTACTCGCCAGTATCTTTACGCGCCACCCTCCCTCTTGGCGTACTCGTCCTCCATCTTTGCCCGGTATGCGCGATCGGCATCGGAATCCTCGATCTCTTCAACACGTCCGCCGCCAGACTGCTGGATCGCGGGCCTGTTTGCGGCCTGGCCGCTGCCGAGCAGTTCGCGACCGTTTGCGTCGTAGTGGCGAGTTTCTTGGATGGTAGGCTCGCCGAGGTTCTGAGTGGTGGTTCTGGTGGAGGTGCCTTCAGGCGTGCTGTGGGCTTCCCTGCGATACGCCTGGCCGCTGCGCTGGCCGTTGATGTTTGAGCTGTACGAGAAGCTCGCGGAGGAGAAGCTAGTGAAGCTCGACATGGTTGCGGCGGTGGACTAGTGGTTTCAGATGCAGGGGTGTGTGGCTGGCCTGGAATGTCAAGGTGGTTGCAGGCGGAGCGGGGCGGGTGGCAGCTAAATAATAAGATTCGTGGCAGCCGCTGCTTTGGGGAGCCGTGATCGCGGGGTGACGTCACATCACGTGCCTGTGAGGGTTGCGAAACAGCAGATCGTCGCATTGTAACGCAGGCTGACTGCAGGCCAAGCTTTGCTCGCAGGCCCCCAGACCCCGGCGCCAGGTCTCGCGCGTGCCTGGGCGGCGCAACGCCTGTGTGCGGCGCGAGAAAACGGCACGCATCCGCCGCCAGTCATGGCATCGTGGCTTTTGTACCTAGCGTGCGAGGCTGGATACGAGCGTTATTGCGCGCGCCAGGGATCGATGCCTGTACGGCCACCCAGCCGATCTGCATGCGGCCCATCTGGCCTCCAGCTCATCAGCCTAACTCCTCGCTCCCGCAGCCCGCCCGCCCTTCGCACCCGACACGCTCTTCCCTTACCTTCCCCCACCGGCGCAATTGGTGTCCCCAACACCCCCAGCTTCACATGAGTTCGCCCGGTCTCCCTCCCGACCCGCGATGCCTCTCGCCCGACGATCAACCCTGACTGCAATCTCGCTGCTCGCCCTTTGCCTGGCCTTCTACTACCTTGCCTGGCAGCCCGCACTGCCGCACCTCCGCTCGTCCCGCCCGCGTCCGCCGCCGACCACCGCGCCCTACGACCAGACGGCATACCTGGACGATGGCGGGCTCAACCCTGCGAGGCCGTTTGCTGGCCCCGCCAGCTCCGCCGCAACTCCACTGCGCGCGCTGACTCCGGACGAAGATCCCTTCCGCCCCGGCATCCCGAAGCCCGACGGCAACTACTCGCGTGTGCTCGTCGTGCCCCGCATGAGAGATGAGGATGTATCGTGGATCGACGGCGTCCGTGAGGAGATGCCCGACCTGCAGACGGCCGTTTACGTCATGGATGATCCGTGGGCCGACTTCCACGTGCCCAAGAACAAGGGCCGCGAGAGCATGGCCTACCTGACCTACGTGATCGACCACTACGACGACCTGCCCGACGTCGTCCTGTTCTTCCACGCCCACAAGGTCGGATGGCACAATTTGTTGATCCTGGGCCAGGACTCGGCTGAGATGCTAAAGATGCTCCGCATGGAGCGCATCTGGCGGACGGGATGTATGTTGATCTCGGTCTCTCAAACGCGTCCCCTGTGGTTGCTAACAGCTCTGAAGACATGCCCTTTAGGTGCGACTCCAAACCTGGATGTCCGGACTGGTTGCACCTGGACCGGCCAGAGGTTGATTTCGACGAACATCTCCGCATGGAGGAGAAGTACTACACTCCGCAGATCTGGAGAGAGCTCCACCCTCCGGGCCTGGGCGGCATGGGCGAGATGCACCGCGTGCCGGGCGTCCTGAGCGCGCCTTGTTGCGCGCAGTTCGGAGTGTCCCGGGAGCGGATCCGGGCAAATCCGAAGGAAATGTACGAGCACTATCGGACCTGGTTGATGAAGACGAGCCTGGAAGACCAGTATGCGGGACGCATCATGGAGTACACCTGGCACTACATCTTCACCAGGCAGTACCAGTTTTGCCCGTCGCCGCACACCTGCTACTGCGATGGCTACGGCATCTGCTTCGGCTCTCAAATTGAGTACGAAAAGTACTCGGCGAAAGAGGAGCGCAAGTGGGAAATTTGGGACATTCTCAACGGCCAGCCCGATAAGGCTACGGAGAACGAGGTCATGAAGGAATTGCAGAACTTGGACACGGTCATGGACCGGATGAAAAAGGAGGCCATGGAACGGGGAAAGAGCGAAGAAGCTCGGCGGCTCGAGCGGGAACGGATTCCTTTGCGCTAGGTGTTCATGGTCGGCGTTCTTGGGGTTTCAGTGATTATTAGGAGTAAGGTCGGCGGGGCCAGACTGGCTTGAACCATCCACGGTTCAGCTGTGCTCTAGTCGGAGGGCGCATTGCAGACAGGACCGGGGCTGGCACCGCGCTGGTGTCGTCGGGCACGTCGGATCCAACAGCTGAGTCAGCTCTCGACATTTGCCGTTGGGCTATTCCATAAGTGGACAAGGTTATGCCGTAATGGGCACGATAGAATGGTCAATCTTCACGTGGCGATAGAGGAAAGTCTGCGCAGGATCGCTCGCTGGCGCAGGATTCGAATGCGGTTCTCGAATGGGCATGCGGCGGGAAAGTGGCATGCTTCCTGCAGGGGCAAATCTCGGTGGTTGCGGCGTTGAGGTGGGATGCTCCGCTGTGCCGGCTTGTCTAGTCGGGGCGCTTGGCTCAAACGGTGTGGGAGAAAGCATGGAGCAGACGGACAACGCCGATGAGGTGGCGCTCCGTCACAGGCAGCCACAGTAGCAGCAGAATGCCAGCCACGATAGCCATGTGGAACGCTGGCACGAGGGTGGCGTTTTCTTACAAGCGACATTAATAAGAACAGGAGTTGGAGTCGAGTATAGGGGCTCAGCGTGTACGATGGACCATCGCCGATGAGCAGCAGAGCCACGGCCAAGGGCATGGTTGTGCGCGGCGGACAAGATAAGGTTATTGACAGATGTCGAGCCCTACGCGCGCACGTCCTCTCGGGCGAGAGACGAGGATTGTCGCCGGGGTCGCCGGGGGTCCGCGCACATGCCGCCGTCTCTCTTGACTTTTTCCCGCCCATCTTCTCTTTGCACGCTCCGCTGTCGACTTCGATGCGCTGAAGCCCAGGATGGAGTCTCGTGGTGCGGCTCAGCCTTCAACCCTCGGCCAGCCCACTCGTCTCCGTGATCGGGCACGCGGAACCCATCAGCCTATCGACAGGCAGTTTTGGGGTGCAAACGCCGTTGCGGATTTCTCCTCGTGTCCGAGTGCGGCAGTGCGGATGCCAAAGCAAGCTAAATTTCCGACATGGCAGAGAAAGGCGGGTACCATCCTTCACCTCTATCCTACCCGCAGCTAGCCTATCGTGGACTGCCCTTTGCGGCAAGTCGCCGATGCGCTCGACCCGTCCTGGATGCGGCCGTCGGGCACGATGCGATGGACAGACCACATGGCGACGCTCGACGGCCAGACAATACCTCGCCTCCCCATCTCGCGGCCTGCTGCGCCGCTGGGCAGGGTTTGCGGCCAGTTTTTGGCGATGGCGTCGTGAGCGGGCGCTTGCAACTGGACCCTCACGCCACTTGGGTCCAAATCTCGCTTGGCGCCTTCGTCCCGGCAATTGAGCCCTTCTTGCCTTTTGCTTCTCCGCCCTGCTGCCTGCGCTTGCGCCAGGAACAGGAAAGGCTCACCATGCAGGACCATCTTATCGCCCACCCTCGGCCGTCCCCCGTGGCGCTTGTGCCTACTGCCCGCTGCCCCCCTACGGAGCCCACCATCAGCGTCGTCGTCTGCTACTGTTTGACTTGTCTGTGGAGCGCGAATGCTGCACCATGTCCACGTCAGCCGGCTTGGCAGCGTGGACTCGGTGGCTGCCAACGCTAAGCATGGCTGTGAAGTTGAGCCGAATGCGGATGAAGGAGCGGCAGAAGGTGGAGTCGGCTTTGATGAGAATCACTGTGCTCAGCACGCCGCTTCAGCCCTGGGACCGCGACCTCGCCCACCCCGAGCCGCACGGGCAGGTGTGCGCAGCGCCTCTCTTTTCCTCCCGCCTATATCATGCATCCGCTCCCTGTCCATCTGCCTCGTCTGCCAGGCCTCGCCTCTGTCAATCTCTATTCAGCACTGCTTGGCTGTTGCAGACTCGTTGTCTGCGTCCCTTCGTTGGCGACCACGGCCATTCCACTCTCTACCCCAGCTTCGGCTACCTGTCATTCTTTCCGATAATACTAATCCAGTAATACACCATGTCTGATTCCGTGGCCCTTCCGGAATGCCCGGTCACTTACCCGGCCCCTGCCTTCGATGCTCAAGCTCAAACCAACGTTGCCGTCTATTGGGTAGGTCCTCGCATCTAGCGCAGAGTCGGCGCTGGCAACACTGATGCATTGTTTTCCACAGGGCCAAGGAGCAAACCAGGGCCGCCTGGTAGACTTCTGTCAAAATGGCGCTTACGACATCATCAACATAGGCTTCATCAACAAGTTCCCTGACGCGAATGGATACCCTGGAGCCAACTTCGGCAACCAGTGTGGCTCCGAGACGTTCCTGGGCACAGACCTTCCCAGCAACTGTCCCTGGATTGGCCAGGATATCCAGACATGCCAGGATGTCTATGGGAAGAAGATCTTCTTGTCCATTGGTGGTGGCTCGCCAACCGACTACTACCTGACGGACAAAGACTATGCCGAGGACTTTGCTGAATTTCTCTGGAACGCCTTCGGCCCCCCGAAGGACGACGGAACCCCTAGGCCCTTTGGTGATGCCGTTGTCGACGGCTTCGACTTCGATATCGAGTCGGAGATGGCATCCGCCCCTGTTGATGCACCAGACTATCGGTCACAATATTACCCGGACATGCTCAACTACTTCCACGATGTTTTGTTCCCCGAAGACACGTCCAAGAGCTACTATCTCTCCGTTGCTCCTCAATGCTCGTTGCCCGATGCCCACTTCACCTATGACTTCTTCCTCGACACGTGGGTCGACTTCGTCTTTGTTCAGCTCTACAACACCCCCAGCTGCAATGCTCTGGCGACCTCCACATATCAGGACATTAGTTTCTACGATTACTTGGCTGGTATTGCCGCTACCCGCAATCCTGCAATCAAGTTTTTTGCTGGTCTGGTGAGTTTTGATGGACTGCATGGCCTGTCAGTACACGCGACTGACTTTCTCCACAGACTGCGGGTGTGGCTGGTGCGCCCAATGATCCTGATGCCTACTTGACACCGGCAGTGGTCGAGCCATGGATTCAGCTGCTTAAACCTTTTCCCGCGCTTGGTGGCGTGATGCTCTGGGAGGCTACGGTTGACCAGGAGAACACTCAAGACGACTACATGTACTCCGAGTACATCAAGGCAGCCTTCGTCAAATGCGGGGATGCATACACGCCGAACTCCGAGTGCAGCTTCCTGAACTACAAGCCCAACAAACTCCAGCTTTCCATCTCTCAGAACGGCCGGTGCGGTGCCTCGTATGGCACCTGCGAGGGTTCCACGTTTGGAAATTGCTGCAGCCAATACGGCAACTGCGGCACGACCGATGCCTTCTGTGCGGCGGCCAACAACTGTGATATCAGGTACGGCCTGTGCGGCGACGACGCCAATGCGGCTGCGACCTGCACGACCTCCACTTCAACCACTCCTACACCAACGCCCACGCCTGTTGACGATTCACCTGTGTTACTCACTCCTATTGTCTCGCCTGCGCTTGACACTCCTGTCGTCACTCCCGCCGCCACTCCTGTCGACACGCCGGTCCTGACCCCTGTCAACACCCCCGTGCTCACTCCTTCCGCGAGTACCCCGGATGTCTTCACTCCTGTCTTCACTCCTATCAACACCCCTATCAACGGTACCCCTATCAACACTCCTGTTGACGGAACTCCTGTCAACACCCCCGTTAATGGCACTTCTGTTTTCACTCCTATCAACACTCCTGTTTTTACTCCTGTCGACACGCCGGTCCTGACACCTGTGTTCACTCCTATCAATACGCCGGCCATCAACACTCCTGTTTTTGATACCCCAGTGTTCACGCCGTCCATTTACACTCCGCCTGTGTTCACGCCGAGTGGCAACCTGTCTATTCACTTGTCGGCTCCGACTGCGTCTGACCCTGTGGGAGCTCCTGACTCGGTTGTGCTCTCCAGCGCCGCCCAAGTGTCCGGTCCCAGTGGTTCTACCTCCGGCCCAGCTCCCGGTATCACCTCTGCACCGACGCTTTCTGGTTCTCTTTCGACACCCGGAGATGCAACGACGACCATCATCACCACCACGTATATTGACGTTTGCCCCACCGGCATCACCACAATCACCACGACATATACGACAACAATCTGCCCGACGCAGGCTCCCTCAGTCATCCCCGCCGGCTGGACCACCACTGTGACTGTCTGCAACAAATGCGGACCCGAGCCAACCACCCTCACCCTGACCAGGCCCATTTCCACCAACAGCGGTCCTGCCACGACTTCGGCATTCACGACGTCCACCATCTACGCAACCCAGCTCGTGACTATTACCGCATGCCCGCCTTCGGTGACTGATTGTCCTGCCAGCTCCAAGACGTACCTCTCGGTCGCCACCTCACTCGTTCCTATCTCAACCACCGTGTACGCTGTGCCGTCCGTCGTCGCCAGCTCATCGGCAACCACAGCGGCAGTGGGTGGTCAGACCGGTCAGGGCTCTCAGGCAGGCGGCCAGGACGGCAAAGCCAACAGCGGCAATGACTTCTCGACAAGCACTGTCTACGCGACCCAGCTCTTCACTGTCACAGCATGCCCCCCTTCTGTGACTGATTGCCCCGCCAGTGCGAAGACCCACGTCTCGGTTGCCACCTCGCTCGTCCCTGTCTCGACGACCGTGTACTCCGTGCCGTCCGTTGCCATCATCACCAGCTCGTCAGCAGCCACCACGGCGACAGTTAGCGGCCAGACCGGCCAGGGTTCTTCTTCCCAGGGCAGCCAGAACGGTAACAGCGGTAGCAGCAAGGCCGACACTAACGCTGGCTCCTTCTCGGTCAGCACCGTCTATCAGACTCAGCTTTTCACCGTCACCCAGTGCCCGCCTTCCGTCCCCAACTGCCCCGCCAGCGCGAAGACCACCGCCGTGCTTACTAGCGCGGTGCCGGCGTACACGACCATCGTCCCCGTCGTTGCTACCACCACGACTCGGGTCGGTGGCAATGGCAGCGGTTCTGCGTCCTCCGCTGTGGTTTCTGCCTCTAAGCAGGTGTATGGCAGCGGCAGCAGCAGCAGCAGCACTATCGTCTCTACCGCTCCCGTTCAGTCCGGCGTCCATGGCGGATCGGGCTCTGGCACCGGCACCGGCAGCTCCAGCTCGGCGTCATCGCCTTCGGCCGCTTCGTCGTTTGTCATCGCCACCGTGCCCGGCTCGAAGGCATCTTCCTCCTCCTCCTCCTCCTCCTCCTCCTCCTCCTCCTCCTCCTCCTCCTCCTTCTCCTCCGCAGTCGGTGGATCCGTCGGCAGCGGCAGCGGCAGTGGCAGCGGCAAGCCCAACACTCAAACAGCGGTGACCACCCAGCTCATGACCGTCTCCGTCGTGCCCATGCCCGCATCGTCGTCGTCGTCGTCGTCTGCGCACTCTTCCGCTCCTGCCGTCGTGTCGGCGCCCAGCCACTACGGCAACGGCAACGGCACCGTCGTGCACCTGAACACGCCTGCTGCTTCCTCCTCCCTTGCTCCTTACAGCGCTCCGACGCCAAGCGCCAGCGGAAGCAGCAACAGCAAGACGCAGAGCGCGTCTGTGCCGGTGTACACCGGTGGTGCGGCGGCGAGCGTGAGCGTGAGCGTGAGGGGTGTGGTCGTTGGCGGATTGGCGGCGGTTGTTGCGGCGGCGGTCTTGGTGGGTTAGACGGCTGTAGATGGGAAAAGATAGACTTTGAGCGCGGTAGCCTCTGTTATTATTTGATTTTTATTTTTCTCTCAGATGGCTTTGGTGTATGAGGTTGGATGGAAAGTGGGATGGAAAACTTAATTCACGGACTTATTCGATTCATGATATGGGGGATATGTCTTTTTTTATGAGGAGGGATTGACCTGTAAACATTCAACTACTACTAGGCTTTGATCTTGTCAATAGATTGTGCGATACATCTCAAACTAAAATGTGATTGACATGCTGTAGAGAGCCTCACCCTCAAAGGCTGATCGTGTTCTCTTGTTCTTACTTTCCGTGAGAGAGAGAGAGAAAAAAAAAAGGCAAGTACACCCTGGCATACATTTTGGAAACCTGAATTCGATCCAATTGCTCGATTGATTTCTCTATGCCAGCATTGAAAACGCTCTCCGCTGGGGTCGCCTGCCCTCCCCTTTCACGTCAAAAAAAATTCATATGGATTCGTAAACAACAGTGATCAAACAATTGACTCTCGCCTCCAAGCCGTCGACGCCATGTTCCAAGTTCGCTCTCCACCCTTTCTCTTATTTTCTCCCGATCCCTTCTGGTGATTCCTCCCGTCTACAAGACGGTGCCGAAGCCGAAAGTGGTCTTGATGCTCCTCATGTAGTACTCGCCCCAGTTGCGCTTGGTCACGTCCTCCTGGCCGACGGGGACGCCCTTCCACTCGACGCGCATGACGGTGACCTTGTCGACGTCGTTCTGGTCGAAGTGCATGTTGAGGGTGGAGAAGTGGCCCTGGGGCCACTGGGCGAGGCGCCACTTCTGCACAATGTTCTTGGGCTCGTCGAGCGTCACGAACTCGCCCGAGACGTTGCCGCCGAACAGCTCGAACTTGGCGCCCACCTGCGCGCCCTCCCACGTCTTGGGCGGGGCGCGCGTGAAGGCCGCGATGCGCTGCGGGTCTGTGAACGTCTGGTACAGCTCCGCGGCCGTCGTGCGGAACTCGTCGTTGTCCGTGAGCGTCGTGGTGTTGATCAGCGGGCCCTTGCCGTCCGAGGAGGTGGTGGTCGTGGTCGAGGCCGACTGGCCGCCCTTGTTGAGAGAGGAGCTCTCGTAGACCTTGGGGGTGGAGAAGCCGCTGGAGGGATTCGAGCCGGGCGCGTGCTGGATGTCCTTGCCGTGCTCGGCAACCAGGGCTTTGGTCAGGTTTGCGAAGCGTTCGCGGAGCTTGGGGGTGAGCTGGGAGCGGACGAGGTCCTTGACGGGCTGCTTGCTTGACGATTCGCTGTAAATGTCTATCTCAAAGACATACTCGTCCTCCTCGGTGTCGTGTGCGATCTCCGGGATGGTGATGGTGCCGCTTGCTGCCTCGCCCTCCTTGTTCTTGCCTGCAGAAGAGGTCAGGTACGTGGTCCAGCCTCGTGGTGCGGTGGGTGGGTTCAGCGCATACCTGAGTACTCCAGCTGCAGCTTCACGTCGTAGATGGTTATGACCTTGCCCTTGCGCTGGCTGACCTCGACATCGCCATCCATGCTGATGACACGATCGACCTGGGCGGTGACGCCGTCGGCCTCGGCAGAGATGCCCTGCAGATCCTTCTCCAAATATTCCCGCGCCCAGGTGCCAACATCCTTGTTGACCCAATGCCAGTTGTTGGGGTTGTGGAGGACCATTGTGATTGCGATGTACGGGTAAAGGCGTGGATTGGAGGTGATTTGGATGTCTTGAGGGTTCTGGAGCAATCGCGGCGGGTCAGCTTACGTCTAGACGACCCGTGGAGATTGGCGGTCCAAACAGAACGAACACAGCGGAGGCAACGACCGAGCCAATCTGGTCTTGAGCGGGGAAATGCACAGGCAGAATGGCGGGTCACCCTTGGTGTTGTCAAAGGTAGCTGGCGGGGGCGGACTCCAGGGCAGCTTACAGTCGGGGGCTGAGGGCTGGGCTGTCACGGTTCAGCAACGGGTATGCAGATGCGGCGGGCGGTTGTGCAGCGGCGGGCAAGGGACCGAGGGGTAGTTATGGATTCCAGCACGTATTGGACGCTGGAACATTCGAATAGCTTCTTAGAAGACGGCCGCACCACTCCCGCGGCGCCGGCCCGAAAACCTCCCGATCTGCCCGCCAGTGCGCCCCTCCGCCCACCGCCCCGCCTGCCGCCTGCTGTGCTGGTGCTGAAAACAGCCCCCGGCCCCCGTGCCTCCTTTCCTCGAGATCAGATCTGCTGCACTAATTCCGGCCGAATCTGCGACCATTCTGCGAACCTGGAACAAACCCCATCCAGCGAACCGGGTGGCTGTGTCGCCGCCTGTCGATATTCCGCAGCATGTTGCACCGCGCTACCGAGTGCCGGCAGCCCTGGTGTCGGTTGCCGCGGCGCCGCCTCGGACGTTTGGTGTAAACGAAGAGAGAAACAAGATTGCAACGCGTCATGCAGCCTTGGAATAATGTATCGTCGGCGACGAAAATAGGCGTTGACGTGGTGGGCGCCCGATGCTGCGGACGAGTCAGCGGGCAGCCTTGGGCAGTGGCCACGACTTCGGCTGATCGACGACCAAGGCAGCTCATCTGCGGAACATCTGCCCTGGCTCCCTTGCCTGACCTCCGCCCGCAAACATCGCGAAACCACCCCGGCCCTCCCCCTCAATATGTGATTCTTTTGCTGTTTGTTTAGCCAAGCATGCGCATACCCTTTTTTCGAATATGGTATTCGACTACCTACTCTATCGTCTTCCTCCTGCTGGTCATCCTCCTGGCCGCAACTCCCGGCGATCTCATCTACCAAGCTGTGCGCAATCGCGGATACCCGAATGCCTTCGCCGTCGGCGCCGTCTACGTCTTGACCTTGCTGATTACCGGCTGCGTCTACGCCACCCGCCTCTACACGAATCGCACCGCTCTCCTCGGCATCCCCAAGTCCTACATACCCATCGAGCAGGGCGAGGTCGGCAAGCATGTCCGGCGCATGATCATGAAGGGCTTCGAGCGCAGCGCGCTGATAGCATGGGATTCGCGGCCTCGGGACCTGCGGCCTGAGCTGCACGAGGAGCGTGCAGGGAGCACCACGCCGTCCCACGAGCGCAGTCACAGGAAGAAGGACCGCCCGCGTGACGCTACGGCCATCCCCGTCGACCCCGACTCGCCTCCTTGGGGACACATTTCGCACCCGGGATGGGCGTCGCCTGCCATGGATGGCGTGCCCACTCTGCAGTTCTGCAACATCATTGCCGAATTGCCCAATCTTATCGAGGCGAAAGCCGTGTCTTTGGCTCCTGCGGATCCCGCCTTCGCATTCCACATGTCACTGGATGGTGTCATCGTCATGCCGGATGCGCGCATTGTCGCCTTGCTGCAACGACCTCCCAACATGGGCCTGCGCGACTACCTGGGCCATCTCTCAACCTTCGGTCTCATCAACCCGCCAGAACTAGGGACCGACTTCCTCAAACGCTACGAACACGCGCGCTTCTCCACACAGGCCATTTCGGAAGTGCAGTTTCAGGAACTAATGGAAATGTTTGCCCAAATCCTGACCGGAATGACCGACCTCGCCCCCGACCTCGTTGCGGAGCTTCAGCGCGAAGCGTACAGTTCAAGCTCCGACACTGCGAGCCTTGCGCCGTCCCAGATATCTTCATTGTCCATGGGTTCCACCGGATCGGCCATCCACTACAAGACGCCGCGCACCGCGCCGTATGCGGAATCCGTGTACACGCGCAGCACAACCTCCACGGCAGACCTCAGCGAAAGCAACGGTACTCTGCGCACTGCGCCCACCCACTTCTACGACCATAGTTCTGAACATGCCACTGTACCGCGAACTCCCTCGATTGCGTCTAGAATCTCGTCGATGCAAACACCAGTGCCACGGAGAGCTGCTACATCCGTTACCCCACCGTCGACATCGAGTTCATCAACTGCGTCACTAAGATCGGCCAGGAGCGTCATCAGATTGACGCCTAATCCAAGCCCTGGACAGCTTCCCTACTATTTCGACATTCAGAATGGATGAACACTGGCTGCTCATCCCGCTAGCTCTGGATGATTTTCCCAATATTATACCCAAACGCGTCGACCAGACGTGAAAAATGTCTAATGCAATTAAAATCAAACTGCGCTCGGAGCTCCGACAGCATACCCAGCGTAGAAGACGTTCTAATCTATATATGCTCCAGTCTTTGGAGCTTGTTGAATGCAGCATATCTCTCAACCAGTTTCTCTCTAGACTGGCAAGCCTCTTCACCAACTGACCAACTGCCTTCCTCTATCGAAGCCTCCACGCAACTGCCTTTCCGGTTTCACGAGTTTCCCCTGCAATATGGTATACTTTACGATGTTCTCGCAGTCCTCGGGCCGCACCCGCGCCAGCCACATGCACTGCGCCGCCTCCCGGATCGGCGGCTTGCTCGGCGCTCTCGCCTCTCCACCGTTTCCATCCTCCTCCTCGACGGCCTCGCCGCCCGCGTGCCCATTGCTCTCTCCTCCTCCGCCGCCGCCGCCGTTCATGGCCTTTTCCTGCTCGACGACGGGCGGGGCCAGCACGCCGGCGCTGCCGACGCGGCGGTATATGATGACGTTGGCGGCGTACTTGTGGCCGCCGACGTGGTTGATGAAGTAGACGGCGCAGCCGCCGGGGCGCTCGTCGTGCAGGTCGCGGTACAGGCCGAGGGGCCGCAGGTGCCGCTCGAACTCGCGGCGCAGCAGCGGCGCCGACTGGCCGCAGCGGGCGTCGCGCGTCTTGTGGCTGCAGAGCATGATGAGGTAGTCGTGCGGGCAGTCGCGGGGTATCAGCGCGGAAGGGTCGGGCGCGGGGTGGGTGTTGTCGTTGTTGTTGCGATGGTGGTGGGATTTGTGCGACTTGTGCGAGCTAGCGGCGGAGTGGTTGGAGGGAGGGCGCTGCGGTGGGTCCGAGTGGATGAGGGGCGTCGTGTTGGTGGGGGAGAGGTCGACGTAGTTTTGGATGAGGGCGGGGACGAGCGAGGGCGTGACGTTGTCGAAGATGGTGAAGGAGGGGAGGAGGAGGACGGTGGTGGCGGCTTCGGCGCCTTGGGTGTGGTGCTCGTTCGGGACGGGCATGTCGGAGGCGGAGAGCATCATTTTCTGCGGGAGACTTCGGTGTCAATAACGCGTGGGGCTGGGCTTGGTATCTTCAAAGTAGCTATACTTACGCCATTCGAAGGCTTGATGCCGCATTTATCCACCGCCTCCATGATGGAGCCTTTCTCGTCGGCTACGTCCCTGACCTGCAAGTCAACACACGTCAATACGAGCGTCCGCTGGCCAAAGAAAAGAAAGGTACTGAACATACCCAATCCGACTTGCCCGTCGCGACCACCATGTGTGTGCTCCAGCCCTTGACGTGGCCGTACAAGTCGTCGTCCTCGTCGACGCTCCATTTGCGCGGATACTTGATGGTGCATGTCTCGCAGTCGCGCAGGCACTCCTCTCCGTCGACGGTCGGGTTCGTCTTGGGGAAGAGCTGGTCGCTGGCAGGCGCTTTGGAAAAGCCGTCCGGATGTTGCGACGCTGCCGCTCCACCGCCGACCTTGCCCCAGAGGCTCTTGAGCGCCGCCGCCATGGTTTCGGAGGGGGAAGGTTGGAGATTCGGACTATACGGGCGAGGGAGAGAGAGCGAAAGAGAGATCGAGGAGGGAGAGGAAACGCGGGGCCGGAAAAAAGAGCAGCAATGACGGTAGCTGCGGGACGTGTTGACGCGAATGGGAGCCGGCGTAATTTTAATCTGATGATCAGATAATCCCCGCGGCCGGAATTCCGCGCGGCGGTAGGTGGGGGAGGAGCGGCGTGGAACAATTGCCGTGCCGTACGTGGTTCGCTTGTCCGGCAGAGGGCTGCAGGGCTCGGGATTCGCCTCCTGCTCTGCTGGATGAAAGCGTGCTGCAGGGCGACGGCTGGCAAAGGGGTCCAAAGGGTGTCGTGGTAGGAAGGGAAGGCGCAAGGCAGCGGGCTTGGGAGGACAGGGCGGTATATATGCGACCGGTCGTACGCGGGCCTTTGCAGCGGCCTTCCATCGCGCCTTTGCGTTTCGTCCGTAATGTCCGCTGGAGGGCTTTTGGCTCTCGCTGCATCACGGCCTCGTGTCTTCTTCTCGAGGCTGCCTGCTGGGCTGATGCGTCGGTTATCCCCGAGGCCGAGGCGGCGAAGGAAGGATGGCCGCAATGCTTGAGCCGATCTCCCTTGCCCTACCTGCCAGCGTGCAGGGAAAAGGCATCCCCGCCACGGATACCGACACTGACACCGAACCCCAACTCCGAGCGCTGGGGCCTCCTCGTCGGGTGGTCCAGCAGCATGCGAAACCATCGGAATTGCGCCATGCCCACCTCTGCCGGCGACATGCGTCCTCCCGCCCATCCTGCTGACGGCGCAGCGACGCGGCCCGCGAAACGCGTCAAGCTCTTCGCCGGCGCCCCGGACCCTGCAGCCCTCGAATGGGACGAGAGCGCGCTGGTCAACGATTGGACGCCGCCCGTGCGCCGTTTCTTGAATAGGCAATTCGCGGGCGGCGGAGACGACGAGACTGCAGCCTCAAAGTGGCGCGCCGTCCCAACCTCGCGCCACGCTCACCTGCCCACCGGCTTCACGCAGGAGAGTCCATTGAGGAGAGACTTCCTGCCCGCACCCAACGCCGAGCGCTCGTTTTCTTTCAGCAGCCAGCCGTCCGACGATCAGGGAGCGCCATCGTCCCACAAAGATGCCGCCGTCACAGGGCGGAACCCTGCAGTCCACTCGTCCCCTCCACCACCACAAGACGACGACGACGACGACGACGACGACGACTTCATCGAGCACTCCATCGCCGTCCACGACGACACGCGCTCTTCGCAGCTCGCCCACGACGACGACCCTTCGACCGATCCGCTAATTGACATCGACTCCTCATTCAACACCACCACCACCTCCTCCTCCTCCTCCCTCCTCGGCGGCGTCGACGCCCCCCCGCTCCCAGACGCCCGCCTCCCCACCGGCCCGCGCGGCATCGCCGCCCTGCGCGACCTCCCCTCGGCCGCGCACCTGCAGCGCATCGTGCCGCAGACGGTCGTCGTGACGCTGCTCGTCGGCGTCGTCGCCGTGCTGCCGCCGCGCGCGGTGCGCACGCGCCGCGGCCGGTGGCGCGACCTGGTCGAGCTGCTGGTCGGCGACGAGACGGCGACGGGGCTGAAGATTTCGTGCTGGTTCGCGCACGATGACGGCGACGACGAGGACGATGAGGACGGGAACGAGGACGGGGACGGGGATGGGGGCGAGGAAAGTCGGGAGATCGGGACGGGGGCGAGGAGGAGGAGGAGTGGGAGAATTGCGGGGAGAGCAGGCGCGAAGGCGGTTGGGTTGCCGAAGGAGAAGAAGAAGAAGAAGAAGAAGAAAGAGAAGGAGAGGGATCCGTTGCGGGAGGCGTTGGGGAGCTTGAGGGTGCAGGACGTGGTGCTGGTCGAGAATGTGGCGCTGGATACCTTCAGGGACCGCGTCTTTGGCTACAGCCTGAGGAAAAGCATTCAAAAGAACCAGACGAGGATTGAGCTGCTGGCGAGGGGCGGGGTGGACAGGGCTGCGGGGTTGGCGGGCGTGGAGAAGGTGGAGAGAGTGAAGGATTGGGTGTGGAGGCTAGTGAACCCAGGGAGCGCTGGCCCACATGATGGGAGAGGGGGAGCAGACGCTGGTGCGGGTGCTAGGAGGGCGCAGGACGCGTATTTACCGCCAGATACCCAGGAGTAAAGTAAAGGCTTCTTTATGTCTTTCGCAATCTCTCCTCGCCTTCCATGCAGGGGCTTCCTTGAGTTCTGGGGGCGTTGTCGCATACCTCTGTGCGGATTTTCGTCTAGTAGTCTCATACATACTAAACAGGATTTGGACACTTTTCAGGCTTAATGAAGAGCGCAGGAAGGTAAGTCTGGATTTTTCTTTTTCCTGAACACTATAGTAGCCACCTATTCGGAACATTTTTGTGTACCCCATACATCCTGTTCCATTTTCCGTCCCTTCACTGAACCCCGCACCTTTTGGTTGTACAATATTTTTGAAGTCACACCTGACATCGTAACTTGACGTTGTATGTTATTCTTCAGGGTTCCCAAGGGCTGACCGCACGCTTTCCAGTAAGCAGTTCAGCCTCTCCGTCCGCAGTGACGGCGTAGATGTCCTCATGCCTGACACCGAACTTGTTTAGCATGTAAATGCCAGGTTCCGACGTGAAAGTCATGCCGGGTCTCAGAAGGACCTCGTGGTTGCCCTTGTTGAGATAAGGAGACTCATGAGCTACGGGCACGTCAGTACTGAGCATCTTCACCGCTTTCGAAGACTCTTCTCGCTTACCCTTGATACCAATGCCATGGCCCACACGATGGGTGAACATCTCGCCGTAGCCGGCATCAGAGATGACCTTCCTCGCCGCAATGTCGACGCTGGCGGCGCTGTTGTTGGGCTTGAACATCTTGGAGGACTCGGTCTGAGCCTCGAGCACGATATCCCACACCTTCAGTTTTTCGGCGTACAAATCAGAGTCGGTCTTTACCGAGGACGAACAGGGCTTGGAGAAGGTCACGATGGACATGGCCTTCTCCCAGAGCGACCATTCTTTCCAAGTGGGAATGAAGAAGCTGCGGCAGATGTCGGAAGAGTATCCGAGGTAGTGGGCTCTATGGTTCAAGTCAGTCGGGCTGGGCATTGGTGCACTGCGTGTTGCGGAAAGCTTACCCGACGTCAATAAGGACGACGGAGTCTTCTTTCAGGACCTTCCCGCCGGTCACGAAACCACCGTGCGGCAGGGCGCCGTTCTCCTCGAACAGCACGATGTCAAAGAAAAGCGAAAAGCCAACGGACAGCAACGAGTTGTCCAGGATTTCCATGACCTCATCTTCGATCAATCCGGGGACAAGGCCTGGCCAAAAACCACTGCATCAGCAAAATGACCACCAGTACAGTGTGACCCGGGTCCTTCAAAAAGAGGAGAAGAAAAAGAAAGAATGGACTCACAAGGCCTCATCGCCCTCACCGCCTCCACGGTCCCCGTGTTGACGGCCCTGAGCAGCTCGATCTCGGCGGGCGTCTTGATCTGGCGGACGGCCTCGACCTCGCCGGCCAAGCCCAGCGTCTCGAAGCCGTTGGCGCGCAGGCCGCGCACGATGTAGTCGCGCATCTCCTCGTCGACCATGAGCGTGACGTCCCCGGGGCGGTCGGCGAACAGGTGGCTCTCGCGCAGGGTGCGGTAGGGGTTCCAGTGCTCCTCCCACGGCACGATGACGAGGTCGTCGGCCGACTCGGCGGCGGGGATGCCCAGCATGCGCACGCGGCCCTCCTCGAAGGCGGGCGAGAGGAACGACGTCTTGGCGACGATGGCGCCCGTCGTCGAGTTGCGGACGGGCTCCACGATCATCAGCATCGGCCGCTCTTCCGGCTCCCATGGCTCCCAGTCTTGCTGGCTGATGTTGCCGTAGTACTGGAAGGTGTAGCCCGGCTCGAGGACAAAGCTGGAGCGGGTCTCTGATCAGTTTTGCCGTCTTTCTTTCTTTTTCACAAGACGGGGAATGAAAAGGATTGGGACGAAAGGGGTAAGACTGAAGCCGGGGCAAGACTAACGCATCTACTCCTTCGGCATGAAGCGCCTTCGCGAGGTTATCGCGGCGTGCGATGAACTCATCGGCGGCGATAGGTGAGACATCCAAAAAGGAAAGGTCGGCATGCAGGTTGGAAATGGAGCATTTCTGCACGCGGGCAACCTTGTGGGCGTGGCTGTGACGGGTCTGGTCCGAGGTCAGAGTCTGGCCATTCACCATTTCCAGTGCAGACTATACTGACATAGAAGAGGCGCGCATACAAGGCGGCAACAGCCAGGGCGGTAAACAGGTTGAGGTAAGATCTCCGGGTACGCGTGGTGCGTGGCGCGGCGGGATGCGGCTGATAGCCGTCGAGGATGCCACCCTTCATCTTGGTCCAATGGGCAATGCAAGCAGAGATCAACGAGACAGACGCCACGCGCACGCGGCTTGGAGAAAAGCGGCTCTGGCAGCGGATGTTATTGTACGTGGTAGCGCGAGGTTGCGGTCGGCAACGGTACTTCCCCGCCGAACGAGTCTAATCCGGCACACCCCCCGTCGGCTTATCTGCACGCCTGCCCCCATCTGCCCCCATCTGCCCCCACTTTCCCCTCGCCGTCGCCCGCGTGGATCGACGGCCTCCCGGAGAACATCCTGAACCGCTGCGACAACTTCGGGAGCCCGCATGGCAACCCGGCGAGTCGCGTCTGAGCCGCCTGCGGTACAAGCCGCCCTGGCGTCGAGAGATCAAGCAGCCAAGATGATAAAGCCGGGGCTTTTATCCAAGCTGCAGGCCGCTGATCTGCCTCTCTTTTCTAACCTCTTGGTCCAGCAGACCATACGCCCATTTCCGACAAGATGGCGCTGCCAAAGGACGCCGATGTCATCGCCACACCTCAAGACAAGAGCCTGGAAACTGGAGCGGAGGAGAAGCAGCAACATGCCGCTTCTGTGGCCGAGGTCGACGCCGAGACGGGCCATGTCGAGAAGGCCTACTACAGCAAAGTCTCGGTCTGGTTGATGATCCTGTATTCCGGTCTCGCCATAGGCTCGGACGGATAGTGAGTTCTCTTTGCCATTCATGTCTTTTCCCCTTGATACATGACCGTCCAACCCTCGTGCGTGTTCCCACTGATCAAACACTTGCTGACTCCTCCCCCAGCAATGCCGCCGTCATTGGCAACGTCGAACTGCTCCTTGCCGTCATCTACCCGAACTCTCTGACCAACGACATCTACACCCGTCTCAGCAACGCCTTCCTGATCGGCATGATCATCGGCATGCTCCTCTTCGGCGGCGTCGTCGACCAGTTCGGCCGCAAGACGGGCGCCGTCGCCACCACCATCCTGCTCGTGCTCGGCATCGCCCTCTCCGCCGGCGCGTCCGGCACGACGGAGAAGGGCATGTTCTGGATGCTCATCGTCGCCCGCGGCATCGCCGGCGTCGGCGCCGGCGGCGAGTACCCCGTGTCGGGCGCGGGCGCGACCGAGGCCACGGACGAGAACAAGGCGCTGCGCAAGCACCGCGGCTTCATGTTCGCCATGCTGGCCGACCTGTCGGCGTCGCTGGGCTACGTCTTCGGCGGCCTGGTGCCGCTGCTGCTGCTGCTCTGCACCCACCGCGAGGAGTCGCGCTACGGCGTCGTCTGGCGCGTCTCGTTCGCGCTGGGCCTCATCCCGCCCGTGTCCATCTTCTGGTTCCGCATCCGCATGGCCGTGTCGACGGCGTACCGGCGCAGCGCCATGCGCCGGCAGCGCGTCCCCTACGCGCTCGCCTTCCGCCGGTACTGGCGCGCCTTCGTCGGCTGCTCCGCGACGTGGTTCCTGTACAACTACGTCAGCATCCCCTTCGGCATCTTCTCCTCGACCGTCACCTCGCGCGTCAACGCGTCCGACTCGCTCGTCAAGAGCCTGGGCTGGGGCGTCGTCATCAACTGCTTCTACATCCCCGGGCCCTTCCTCGGCGGCTACCTGTCCGACAAGATCGGCCGCCGCCAGACCATGTGCCTGGGCTTCGCCCTGCAGGCCGGCCTGGGCTTCATCCTGGGCGGCGCCAACAAGCAGATCCAGACCGTGTTCCCGCTGTTCGTCGTCCTGTACGGGCTCTTCCTGACGCTGGGAGAAGTTGGTCCTGGAAGGTGAGTTGCTCCTCCCCCTTTTCTTTTTTTCCTCATCACTTTGTTTGCTTTTGCCTCCTGACTGACAAGAACAAAAAAATTTCAGCACCGTCGTCCTCACCGCATCCGAGTGCTTCCCCACCTCGATCCGCGGGCAGATGATGGGCCTCGTCGCCGCCTTCTCCAAGGCGGGCGCCGCCATCGGCACCCAGGTCTTCAGCGCCATCCTCAAGTCGTGGACCGACGAGTCCAAGGCCGACCAGGCCACATTCCTGATCGGCGCCGCCTTCGCCGCCCTCGGCGCCGTCATCGCCTGGTTCGTCATCCCCGACGTCAGCTCGCGCCTCGACGACGAGGACGAGGCGTGGCGCCGCTACCTGGCCGAGAACGGGTGGCAGGCCGAGTGGGGCGACGGCGCGACCAAAGATCCCGGCGCTGTGGTCATGGACAGGGTTGCTTCTTGAATTAGGGTCATTCTGAGATTGTGGCCAGCTTGGTGGTGGGAAGAGGCGGGAGGGTTATGACCGCAAACGATGATATGTGAGAGTAAAAGAGTAATATTAGCATGTTAAAGGGCCTGTAAACATTTCCGAATCCATCTTCTCTAGACGGTCTAGGAAGGAGAGAATGCCGTCGCCGAAAAGGGCAGTGAGAGAAAAGAAGAGAGGAACATCACGACAACAGTGCCCACTCCCCCATCTCTCCTTATCTACCATCCTTTGTCTCACTCCACTTCACTCCTCGTCGTCGTCGTCGTCCTTTTTCTTCTCCTTTTCCTCCGCCACACCCACTGCATACTCCTCCGAGTTCGCATTCTCCGCCTCAATGAACTCCGCCACATGCTCCGGGATCGTCTCGACCCCGCCCGGGGCCAAGTTGGTCACCGGCTTCCCGAAATGCTCCCACACGGGCACCACGCCTTGCCAGACCTTGCCGACCACGTTCGGGTCCTTGAGGTCCCTGCGCTCGGAGCTCGCGGGCGCGGCGCGCACCTTGGCCGTCGCCGAGGCGATGCGGACTTTGATGATGCGGGTTGACGTGAGCTCGGAGGCCGTCGGAGGGACACGAGTGTGTTGCCATCTGTGTTTGCGAGTGAGATTTTGTTTTTCTCTTTTCTCTCCTTTTTCCATACGTTGTCCTTGGGAAAGAAAAAAAGAAAGAAAGACAGTGGCTTAGAATGGAAGAGAAAAAGGGACAAGGTGGGTTGCGGAGAGATGATAATCACTTACCTCCCGGGCACCACAGAATCCGTGATGAGCTCCATGGCATAGAGCGTCTCCGGACTGTCGGACGACGGCAGCAACGCGGCATGGCCGAAGATGATGGCCGAGCGGTAGTTGTAGCTGTGGCTGAAAGGCGACAGGGCGAGCACGAGGCCGTCGACTTTGGTGGCGGTGACTGTCATGGGTAGACCTTGTGGTTCATCGTCCGACGACGACGTGACCTTCATGATCCGACTCGAGACGTAGCCGTGGAGGTAGAGGTGCGGCTCCGCATCCGCCTCGTACTGCCCGATCTGGCCGATCATGGGCAGCATGGTTGGGAAAGGCGAAGCTGGGTCCGTGAAGGAGACGTGCAGAACGCTGGTCGTGTTGACGATGTTGTGGATGGCTTCGGCATCGTAGGTACCTGGCAGAATCTGGTCAGCTCGGCTCCGGTTCGAGGTGAGTGAAGGTACCTCTCTCCTTGTGCCGATTGAACTTCGTGTACGACTCTTGGGTGTACGCTTCTCCCATGTTGAATAGCGGTCCCTAGGTTGTTCTTTGTGTCGACAGCACGCAGAGGTGGGTCAAACGAAAGCAGACCAGGTTGTTGGTGGTTTTGACGTCGACTTTATAGCAACACAACCACGTGAGCCAAAGTGTCAGAGCCGACGGGAAGGAGTCACAACATTCTAAGCCTCCTTCCGCAGTTGTCGCGGAAGGATCGAGGGACCTTACCCCACTCTGTGCCACCCCGCATCGAGTAGCCTAAAGCGGTAAGCTGATAAGCAAGCGGCAACCGCAACTGCTGCAAATGCACCTTCCCTGATTGGTTCGACATTGCTTGCAGGCAATCGCTGCGCTGCGCCGTTGACGCCCGCACTCGTTCCCGCATCTACTGGGAGGAGATCTGTGGCTCTGCGGCGACGACGGCGACTGCGGCGCCAAGGGCGCTGTTGCTTAAGGCTTGATGCAGCCGCAGAAGTGAGTCATTTGGATCCTTCCTCAACGTGACTGCATCAGGGGTGGGCATGATGTAACCATTGCATTCTTTGCGCTGTGCAAACTTGTGCAAACCCATGAACATCCTCCGCTCTATTTCAACACGCGCTCAACGAATTAGAAAATACCGTCCATGTATGACGCGGACGCCCGCTCAGAAATGTCCCAAAGCCTCAGGGCCACTGCCATAACTCGCTTGAAAGCAACTTGTTCACCACGGCCGGGAGAATGAGAAGGTGAGGGCCCCAACGACCTCTCGACCCGATTACGACAAATCGAACCCGGCTCCAGAGTTGACCGCGTAGAGCAGTTTCTCCCTCAACGTCCTTTCGTCCTTGTACAATGGAAGCTTCAACAGGTTCACGCAAGTGCTCGTGCTCGGCAGCCTGGTCATGTCGTGGCCGGCATCCCTGATGCTGAACCGGGGGTTCAAGCTTCCAAAGCCGAGCAACGGCGCCCGCGGCGTGCTCGTCACGAACTTGAGCACCGCCCGCCTGTCGTCATCGGATAGGCCCTCCATGACGCGCCAGAAGAGCTGGACGCTCGGGTGCTCCAGCCCATCGTCGCCGATGACGTAGAGGCCGCCGTACTGCGTGTTGCGTCGCAGGTCTGCCACGTCAATGCTGCTGGAAGTCCCGCCGATGAGCGTCTGGAGCTCCGACTGGTTGAACATGCTGAGCCAAGACGGGGATATCATGGCCGATAGGCCACGGAGGAATGCTCCTGTCTGCAGGGCCGGCTGAACCTGCAGACGATGACGCGCAACGAGAGAGATGTACACGAGCCGGTTTCTGTCCGTGACGGGGATGTTGGCACCGTCTTTCATGAGCTCTTTGGTGACCGTCACTTGTTTCCCCGTCAAGGGGTCGATGCGGACCACGTCAGTGATGGTGAAGTACAGAGATAGGTCTTCTTCGACGTTGCCAGGGTAGTTTTTCAACTTCAAAAGACCCTGGTAAAGATCCTCGTCAAGGTCACGAAGGTCGTTCAGATTCGCGCGGTAACCTGACTCTTTGGTGGCAGAGCTCGAACCACCGGTCAGAGCCCATTTGAGAAGGAAGAACGGGGCAAAGTTTATGTCCACGAGGATTCCCTCGTAAAGACATTTACCAACGATGCGCCCGAGGAACTCGTATCGATCGAGGAGGTTTCGTACTTTTTCGAGCCAGATACTGGAGCCCTCCCTTGCTCCTACCTCACGCAAGATCTCTTTCTGATGCTCCATCGCCGACGGGTTGGGGTATAGTAGATGCGACTCGTTCTCCACAAACAGATGAATGCCGTCTGGCGACGGTGAGAATGCCTGGCTCGTGACACTGGTCAAAAACTCTTTCGTGACGCCACCCCCATCGATACCCGCTTCAACCGTATCGAACTGATCCACAAAGGTGATTTGAATGGGCTCCTTTAATTGTTCGCCAAGTCCATAGAACTGCTCAAACGCATCGTCGAACTCGTGCTGACGTCTGATCTTGGCGTGATGCCTGTCGATATGATCGCGTGAGTGAAGTTCGTGAATCATAGCCATGCGCCACTGGTCTGGATCAATCCGGCCATGCCTTCTTTTGATCTGGTCCAGGCGCACGAATTCCCTAAAAATCTGGACCCGGGTGGTGAACGGAATGAAGAATGGCATGTTCTGCAGTATCTCCAACCGCGGTGCGACAAGTTGCAGGTACCTCTTTCGACTCGCTCTTCTCTGCTGCATCTGCAACCTGTCGAGGTGTCGAGCCTGCTGGGTTCTTCGGGTACCGATCAGATGACGTTCGCTGCTCATGTCGAGGCCGTCAATGTCCTGATCCATCTCTTGGCCTGCATCTTCATCGTCTTCTTCTTGAAGTCTGTTGCGATTCTCCTCCTCTTCAACCACGGCAGAAATGAAACCGCCCATGTCGAACCGAGACGTCATCAGCCAGTGATCCTTAGGTAGGAACTTGCGGCGCGAGTCCCTTTCGTACACCATCCGTAGCAGTCCGGTGACCAGTCCCTTGACATAATCGAGGCTCATTCCCGTTATACCACCTATCGAATGCTGTTCAGGCTTGCGCTCCTGCTCGGTGCTTTCTGCCCCCTCATCTTGGGCTGACGAGAGCCGGAAGAAATCCCGAATTCCTCCGGTAGATGATGTATCCCGTTGGTCGTCTCCAAGAATCTCTGACGCGTTGAAGTACATGGTGAAGCCGAGATTTTTGAGGAAAACGGTGAGGTCCCGTACATCAGTCAAAGGAAGAGCATTTTCCCGAGTCCTCGATGATCTTGATCCACTGTCAATATCCATGACGTTACCTCCTGAGAAGAACTCCTCATCATCCATAACTTTCAGAACGAATATGTAAAGCTCTAAGAAAATCAGAATAACCTGCCACTCCTTGGTGATTTTTGAGTTTATATCGTCAAGTATTGACGGCGCTTGCCAGGGATTGGTTGCAGGGGCGCTCTTCTTGTCTCTCAGCAAATCGATCGCAGCTCTTGAGTCTCGGGAGATCTTCTGCACCACACCAGTAGCGCGAACAGCCTGCCAGAAGTACTTGATGGCCGGGGTGCTTCGGACATCGCTGGAACCAAGGTAAAGCCACATGCGGATTTCATCACCCCTGCGAGGAAAGAAGCGGATGAGAGTCAGCGCGTAACTGGCCAGCTCTCTCGCCTCGTCGTCCAACGAATCGCTGGTCCTGTCCGCCAGAAGGCCACGAATGCTACTCTCATCGACCAACGATGTTATTTGCTCTTGCAAGAATGGCGCCAGAGTTGTGCGTTTGTAGGGTTGTTTCTTCCAGCTACTATCCTCGTCACCGTCTCCGATGCTGGCAATATCGAGCGTGACATCGTCGGCAACAGAAGACAGGAGGTTCGAGACTACGGAGACGAAGTCTTTTTGGGAAGAGAACATATGGGCGTTGCCGAAGTTGTGGGCGTGCCTGTGACAATAGACGAAGCAGCCCAACAGGCGCAAACGGCTCTCGGTGCTCAACTGATATTTATCGATCCGTGAGGTCCGCACAAGTTCGGCAGCAGAATGAGCAAGAAGTTTCACATTCAGGCTCGCTGCCAGCTGATCCAACCAGTTCTGCCCAGTTGTTCCGGCGCAGGCGTAGGCATCGCCAGCACTCAACGCCTCGGTGTGGAGATAGTGGCCAGCAAAGGCTTCGTATGCGTATTCGGTATTGGCGTGGATTTTTGTGAGAGGGACGAGGACTGCTCGGAACAAGGCTTGCTTTTGTACTTGCAGGTCGGAAGCTTCCGCTATCAACCAGGTCAGCACCCATTCATGAAAAGGCTTGTCCCAATCAAATTGTGTCAAGCAGTGCAACGTACCTGGTGTGGAGTCGACCACAAACGCTGCTGTGGTGACGCTAAACATGGATTGGTAATAGAGGTCGGAGAGCATTGCGGCCTCTTTGGGTATCAACTCGTTCAAAAAACACAGCGCTTCAAGCGATGGCAGAACAGCTGGAGCTTGGAGCACGGATAACGCGGGGCTCCTTTCGTACTTTCCGGACCCGTCCGGTTGCTTTGCCCTCTCAGATATAGCCTTCACCTGGCGGTTCAAAGTGCCCAGCACTGCCTGTTCCAAGCGCAAATAAGCCATGGGCCAAGGCCCCCCTGTGAACTCCGACTTCATGGCGCGGTTGCAGTAGCGGGTGAGTCTTCTGTGATCATCCTCGTTGCGCAGATTCATGAAGAGGAGAAGGCGTTGGATCTGGAGGAAGGCATCGGCCTCGGTGGGGTAGGGTGCATCGGCATGGGCTGCGTTGTCAGGCTGACGGCTACATTCTGTCCGGGCAGTATCCCACTTACACTGGCTTTCCAGGACATCCCAATCGCGCCTTATCTGGTCGTACAGGTCTCGGCGGCAGGCATGGCCGCGCCACACCTTCTGGATGACCCTGGCGGCGTGGAGGCGGTCACGCTCGCGCTGGCGCTGGGCTCGCTCCTGCTGGGCGCTTTGGACGGCGGATTGCGAGCCTTGGCCAGCGCCTAGTTGGGCGAAGGGGTTGGATACACGGCCGGAGAGGTTGACCTGACGCGGTCGGCGCGAAGAGCCGGTGAAGGTTTGGAACATGGCAGACGGCGATGGCGGGAGCTTGCGGGCAGGAGCTTGGGCGGGGCGCGCGGATGCGAGGAGACGCTGTTGTTGGGGGAGCGGCCGCGGAGGACGAGGCTCGAGGCAGGGCTACGGCATGCTCTGGGGGGGAGGATGCCGCTCGGACAGGGCCAGCTCAGGTGAGGAGGACGATTGCGACGTTGACGGGGACTCGGTAGGCATCCAGAGCTACAGGCCGTCACCCGTCATCGTTGCCACGCGTGCGGGCCATCTCCGGCCATCTTATCTATCACCGACGCCGGAGCCTAATTTCACAGCGTGTCACGGGAGCTTTCTTATTTGTCGCATGCGCATTACCTACTACTAATACAGCGTCCATTCTCTTCCACTCAGACTAGGTCCGGTTTACTCGTCTTGGTTTACGCCGCCTTCTTATATAATCCCGTACGGCGACCGACCGGCAGCTAAAACGTCTTCTGAATAGAACATGATTATGGGATAAACCCGGAAAAGAGAAGAGAACTATTCTATCTCGACAGCGTTATGGTAGAGCAACTATAGAAAGAAAAGGTGTTGAACGAAATAGTCCGGTCCAGACACGAGGACGGTACGGAGCCATGGTAAGAGTCTACAGACCAGAACCAACAATTGTGGTAAATCGGTCAATCAAGGAAGCGCATGTTGTGGGAATCAATCCTCAATCTATTGATTTTCTCGAAGAGCTTAGAAGAGAAGAGTCTGATAGATTCTCGATCTTCAGCAACCTTCTCAACCTGGTCACTCATGGAGAGTGGACAAGAAAGCACAGGCAGGATTACTTTTCCGGCCCAAAACCCCTCCAGCCACTAATGATCCAAAACAAGCGAAAAACTCCAGCCACTTCGGACTCGTGATTGGAATGAACAACAGGGGCTTGGAGGCTTAATCCTTCAAACGACAAGACTCATATGCTTCATGATCATCATGTCGTGAGATTCCGCCATGAAGCGAAGATAAGCAACAATAGGAGGAAAACAATACAGCCGCCAATGTTCCCAAGTCCCTTTTCGGTCAATGATGCTTGGACGCGGATTGCTCGTCGCCTGCCGTGTTGAGGAAGCGAGGAAAGAGCAGAAAAAGGAGCAACAATTTACAAACCGCCCAAGGCTCGTCGGTGGTATTGGTATCATGGAGTGCTTGCCGCTTGCTAGCCAAACCCTAGGCGGCACTGCTTTTTCCGAAGAGACAAAAGGGAAGATGAAATCAAGACAGACTCGTTGCGCCACCCAGTAAGCCCGAAGTACGAGACGAGGCGGAGAGAATGAGAATCGTGAATGCAGTCGTGAGAAGGTCATAAAGAGGTCGGTTGGTCGTGGAGAAAACAAATCTTGAGCGGCCGTCGATCGAGTCGTGAATAAAGTCGTTAAGGCGAACAACGTGGTAAGCAGGCAGATGGGGAAAGACGCCCGGCGGGGGGGTTCTTTTCGAAATTGCACAGGTGCGGAGAGCTCCTCGCGGATCTCGTCCTTTCTTTTTTTTTTTCTTTTTCCATGGCGCCGACGCATGAGGAGGCCCTTGGGATGATCCCCCGTGTGATCGACCTCTAGCGCCAGCACGTCGAGCATTTCTCATATGTCCCGCGGCCGCAATAACAGCTGCCGGACGCGCTCTTGCTGCTCCGCCTGCTCTCGGTCTCGAGGCCGTAATCGCTACTCCGGGGCGAGCTCCCGCCGCTGGCGCTGTCGTAGTCGTTGGACGAGGACGAGTAGGTGCTGCGGCGGCCAGTGCCAATGGCAACGGGCATGCCCTGGATGACGCCGCCCTGGCCCTGGCGCTGGCCGGGATACATGCCGTCGTTGACGGAGAAGTTGCGGCAGATCATGTAGGCGCGCGTGGCGGCAGCGTTGCGGGCGAGCTCGTCCGACTCGTACTCGGCATCGGTGGTGTACTCGCGGTTGTTGACGCGGACGGTGCAGGTGTAGCCATGGCGGGTGCGATAGCACTCATACAGCGGGTCGGGCCAGTGACGGCGTTGGCAGAGGCCTGGCGGGCGGGCGTCTGTCAGCCAATGCCTGGTGCGGGGGATGCGCAATGGGTCGAAAAGAAAACATTGCCGCCACGGGAGGGTTTAAGCTTACCGGTCAGGTACATTATGTAGAACATGGTTCCAGGAGGCCAATGAAGGGGTGGCTGGTGCAGCAGCGCTGTCCCGACTCGTCAATGGCAGCAGACGGCGTGGCTTGTCGGGCACGCTCTGGGCGGGCTAGTCGTGGTACAGCAGCAATTGGCGAGGCTCGCGATGGCGAACACAGGCGGGCTCGCAAGGCGGCAAGGGCGAGAGGCAATGGGGGGACGGGACTAGACAGGAGGGGCCTCTTCCAACGAGAGGCGGGACACACAGAGCTTTATTGCAGGAGGCGGGATGCAGCGGGCATGCGAGGACATGCACCGCCCAGGTTGCTCCGTAGAGGCGCGGGCACTGGCCGCTGAGGCTCTGTGGGCATTCGCGACCCATATTTGATGTGTTGGCGCGCGTTTTCGCCAGTAGAGCGGACAGTGGTAGGCTGTTTTGATAGAGGAGGCCTCGGGCTGGGGTGTCGCCACCGGGCTGCATGCGTAGCGTGATTCGCGAGGTACGTGAGGACTGCGATCGTCGAGCTCACTAATGCAGTGCACGAGAGCTGGCCGCTGCACTGAAGAAGCGAGCGCGCCGTTGATGGCAAGCAGGTGTTTGTGGCTTGTCAAGGCCCTCGAGTCGCACAGGGATGTTGGTTTGACAAGCAGGCGTCGGGTTGGTGGTACCGCTGGGAGAGCCTTGTCGCCCGCCGGCCGTGCTTCATGCACAGTGAGTTGGCAGGCGCTTGAGGGCGACGAGGTGGAACTCTATGCGCCCGCGTCCGCAACGGGCGAAGGGTCAGCGGCCCGGCATGAGTCGAGCCGTTGGAATCGGCACCGCGGCCATGCGCGCGAGCAGCTGGAGCCCGCCGAGCGCGAGCATGTGCGACCCGGCCGCGTTGCTGTGAGAGGCACGCTCGCGGCGACCCGTGGCGCTCGGCGCTGGCCGGCCGCAGCACGACGAGAGCCCTCGCCTGCTCGCCGCGCAGCTGCCGTGCGCCCGCCCAGCCTCCGTGGTGGCCCTCCGTGCCTCCGCTGCATGCAGCAGAGATGCGTTGAAGCTGTGTGGGCGGCCTGGATCGCCGGGTAATCCTGATCGCGCGCAGCGAACGCGGGGTCCCTGGGGCTGCCTGGGGCTGCGGGCACCGGGCCTGGCGCTTCGAGGGACTCTGCGCCCGCTGGCTGCCGGAAGCTGGACCACCGCCGGCCATGGGCCCAGCCAGCCGCGCTAGCAGCTGCGCCCAGCAGCGCGAGATTGCCGGCCCGGTGCCTGGATGTCCTGGATGTCCTGGGTGATGTCCTGGATGTCGTGCGCAGAAGCCCGAAGGGCGGTGAGGGGCCGTAGCTGAGATATGAGCTCCCGTCGCGGGGCCTTTTCGCGGCCGCGCGGGTAGCGACAGACAGCGCTCACAGCAGCGCCTCCCGTCGCGCCGCAGCAGAAGCAGCAGAAGCTGTCAGCCCCAATGACGTCCGCCAGCGCAACCCAGCTCCCTGCGCTCCCTGCGCAGGGCTGATGGCTGATGGCGCCCGCGGGCGAACCCACCCGCTGACCAAACTCCGACGCCCGCGGCGGGGTTCCGCGCTGTGAGACGCGTGCAGCGCCCCGCCATCCGAGGTGCGCGACGCCTATGTATTTCCGCAGCAGCGCAGCAGAGGCAATTGAAAGGCTCCAGGCTCGCCCGCTCCAGCAGCATCCAGCCCGCCGTCCGCGTCCGCGTCACCCCTGCCGTGTCCCGTCCAGCTTCAGAAGCCGTTGTGTCACCAGCTCCGCAGCACCCTCCACGCACCTCCACGCTCCTCCAAGCCCGCGCCCGCTCGCGCCCGCTCGCGCCCGCTCGCGCTTCCCGCTCCTCCTCCAGCACGGTTACACCACCATGTCGAAGCCCATCAATCGCATCACCCTGTTCAAGGTCCCGAACCCCGACGACATTCCCGCCATCCTGGAGAAATACACCACCCTCACCACCGACGCAAAGAAGGTATGACCCAAACCCGGCCCCTCGGGCAATGTCTCTCCCAGCATGCTGGAAAGACGAGCTTTCCAGCCCCCTCCCTGCGTCGCCTCCCGCGCCCTCTACAAGGACAACGCCACTTGTATTTCCCGCCCAAGCACATTCCTCCCCTCTCCACAATCAGCAAACCCCCCCTCCAATCTCCTCCACCCCCCGTTCATCTGCTGTCTCTGTGTGAAAACCGTTTGCCGGCTCGGGGGCTCACCAGCGTTTCGCCGTGTGCTCTTCGGGCGGCCGTGCAGGACTCCAAACCCTACATCACTTCGGCCAAGGCCAATGCCGTCATCCCGGATCCGGCCGGCCGCAACCAGGACTTCACCATCGCCGCAAACACCGTCTTTGCCTCGCTCGACGACATGAAGTTCTACGACGAGGACTGCGAGGCCCACAAGGCCATCAAGGCCTTCCTGAAGCCCAGGATCCAAGGCGTCATGACCGTGTACTATGAGGCCAACTGAGGTGGCATGTGGGAAGGAAGGGATGTTGGTAGTTAGCCGGGATGTCGGGTCAGCCGCGAACGTGGTGGGGAATGACGTCCCGAATGACTGCGCTCGAGAACCGGGTGCACGGCTCTTGTTTGTGAGACGAAGGCAAATGGCAGCCGTCGAACAGAAGGGGGGCCAGAAGAAAAAGAAATAAAAATAAAAAAAAGAGGAGGAAATCAATGAGAGAACGTGTTTGGGCCGGACGAACCTACGTAGTGTGAAGTTGCGGCTCGCCGCGGAACCACAATGACATGTCGATCTGCGGCACTTCGCTCCCGTCTTTTCTTTTTCCTCGCAGACTCAGATGATCGGCCTCTACATTCGCTCGCCTATCTACTACATCGTGCATATTCCCGCGCGTGCATGCTTTTCCCGTCCAGTCGTACAGCACACGAACCGGCATCTCAAACCACCTTTGCCCCTCACTTCTACCACTCACTTCAAACGCCCCCACACTAAGAGCTTAACCTCACATCAAGAACCTAGCCAACCGCTCTCTTCACCCATCAACCACCGACCAAATTTCCAAACAAGCCACAGCCTACTCGAAACGACACAAGAGTCCTTGGCATCGATTTTCTCCTCCACTCTCCTGCCCCGATGCTGCATTGAGCTCCCGCCGCTGTAACCCCCATTTCCGGACGGGACGGATCAAACATCTCAAAAGCCGGCCTTCTCCTCAAAGTATCTCCTCGCTGCCTCGGCCCTGCCCCATGGCAGGACGTAGACGGGGTTAATCTTACCGACACGATCCTCCTCATCCCAGACGCGGCGGTTGTGTTCGCCGTCCTGTGACGCATCCTCGGCCGCCCAATAAAAGCCATCGTTGAGCGGCGGCGAGAAGCTGTTTCCGTCACTGATAGAGGCAGTGCCGACGGATGTCCCGGGAGGAACGTAGCTGTAGTGGTACTGGCCGGCGCTGAGGCCGGACAGGTTATAGCAGCTGTGGTAACCATCGACGGGTCTGGTCGAGAGCGGAACATATTAGCTCTTTCGTCTCGATGATTTGTTCATTTCTTAACGACGGGGGTGATGTGCGTTTCGAAGTCATCCCGAGCTTGTGTTGATCATGAAGGAATTGACTCGGGGACTTGCTACTGGTTGCCCAAGAGCATGATAGCACGACACTTCTTGGCACCAGGAACGTGTAAGATGCTCGCGCCCGCTGGGATCTTACCCATAGCGATCACACGATACAATGGGAGAAGCTAGAAGGGCGAAAAGAAATAAAGAAGGGAAAAGACTTACTTCCCGGGCTTATCTCTCAAGCCGCCGCCCTTACCCTGGCATGCGCACAGGATGTACCGCACCATGCTTTCTCTGCTCCACAAGCCGTTCGCGACACTCCTGTCCGTCGTTCCAGGGACCTGCAGCGCCGCTTCTACCAATGCCCAGCAGCCGCCGACCCAGTGGTTGTAGCAGCCATCAACCAGCTTGTTGGCGCGCCCGGCGAAACCGCCCTCGGGCGCCTGCTGTCGCGACGACAGCCAGTGGATCAGCGCAGGCAGGTCAAGAGTCCGATTCAGCACGTCGAATGGTGCGCCTAAGATGCAGAGGCAAGCCAGCGCGCAAAAAGCGTAGGCGCCGTGAGCCTCATTGGTGGGGGCACCGCCGATGCCACCTTCAAAGGTCTGGCCTGTGAGGGATTGTCAGAGGCTTTCCCTTGTTGGTCTAAGATGATCTCCAAAGAAGGATGATGAAACAAGAAGTGATGGCGTCAAAGTCAGGAGAACTTACAGCTCGATATCCACTCGGGCAACCGGTCAGTGAAAGTCGTAAGGCCGGCGGCACGGGCAGGTGCGTCCTGAGGTAGCTCGATCGGGAGATTGAGCAGGGATATGATGACCATAGCACAATATGCGCCACTTTGCGGACCGGACAAGTCAGCATATACGCTCTGTTAAGTGACGGGGTTCTGGGGCTTCGGTTCGGCCGCTCACCGCACATCTTCCTCGCCCCCATCGGCGACGGTGAAACCGCCATCACTTTGCTTCATACGGCCAAGGAAGTGCCACCTGTGGCATGGGGTCAGTTCAATCACGGTTTACATAATAGGCCAAGGAACACTAACATGGCTTTGCGGTCTGTCAGGTCGTAGGCCTCTTCTCCCCCTACGATGATGAGAGCGAGGACACTGGCATATGATCCGATGACATGGGGCGATTGGCCGTGTCCTCCGCCATAGCCGCCAGTCGAGCTCTGAAGGGGCCGGTACATCTGAACAGCACTGGCAAAGCAAGTCAGAACTCTGAATGTATACTGATTGCCACAGGCGCGGCACAAATTTATGCCATCATGTCGAAAGCCAAAAGCAGGACATGTGAGTTTTGACTGCCGGGTGAAGATGCTGGAAATCAACTACTTCTAGAGAGTGGTTGTTGGAAGCACCAACGGACGAGTAGTGCCCAAAGTGTCGGAAACCGGAAAATAGATTAAACAAAAGCAAACTCACCCTTCACGGAATTCGGACGTATCTTCTCCCAGAATGGCAATTGCGAAGAGACTCCAGTAAGGAATCCAGGGGCGGCTGGCGTCCATGGCAACAAATTGAGCTGGATAATCGGACAATCCATCTACAGCGTACTCAAGATGTTCTTGACGGAGCAAATGCGGGATCCCGTGCGAGTTGAGCTTTAATTTGTAAGGATTCTCGACATGGAAAGGCAGGATCTTCTCCACCGTGTCCCGCTGGTCTTCCGAAGATTTCGTCTTCAGGTGGTCAAGCAACGGCGGCAGAGTCGAGTACAGAGCGGGAGCCTTTTGCTCGATGGAGAGGTCGACAAGGTCGGGCACAACCTCGCCCTGTGGCGAATCTTCCTCCATGTCTTCAAAGTCGTCGTCGTCGCTAAGTTCCTGCAGGCGCGAAGGGGGAGACAGCAGCTCGTCCAGACGGGCAGACGGCGACGCCTGGGCGGGGTCAGAAGCTTGCGGGTGGTGGCGTTGCGACATGGCGGAGGGTTTGAAGACGACCCGGCGTTTTCGCATGGATTGCAAGACAAAGAGGGCCCAAGAGTTGTCTTTGGGACCTCTTCCTGAAAGCATACAACGAGGGGTTCCGGGGCAGCGTTGGCGAGCTCTGGGGTTGTCACGAGCTCATTGTCAGCGCCCCGCGAATCGCTTTCGGCCAACGGGAAACACGCAAGCCGGGTACAGGAACGACCCTCAGAAGGCAGCGCGTTCGAGATGAAGCGGCAGGTTGGACTTGGGTGTGACTGCGGACATTTTCGCACGCGGTCGTGGAGCAATGATCTCACCGCGGGGCATCGGCAGCGGAGTCGCGCCGCCCAAGCTCGCTGGACGGCCGTGCTTTCCTTCTGAGCCTCTGCCCTTCACCCACCCGCGAAAGCAACAAAGAACCCCCCGCCTGCCGAGAGCTGTCTGCTAACGGCCCTGCCCAGAGCATTCCCCATCCAGCTCGTGCCGGCTTCTCCGCTGGCCCGCCTCGCGACAATGCCGTTCGACACCTGAAACACCTGTCTTCGTCCATACACTCGAGCATCGCTCCCGCCCTGCGGCACGTTTCCCAGTCCCGTCGGCCTTGCGGTCGTTGTCCCTGCGCCATCGCGCTCTCTTCCCATGGTCGATGCCTCGCACATGCCCGATGGTCGTCGCGCACCCGCCGTCGTCACAGGATCGACGTACCGTATGCCCGCCTGCATCCATACCAGTGATTTTGAAGCGATGCTGGGGAGGGATGATATTCATTGGCAGGGGACGGCAATCGCTGCAGCAGTCGACAATGGCGGCTCCGTTGGGTTACATGATTCACACGTCGGCCGCGATGCCTGGTGGAAGCCACCGCGGACGGCATGAATCTTGGCTCGCCTCCACGATCATGCGTGCCGGATGTCGATAACGCGATGCACGTTGCCGACATGACTCTGAATGCGCCTGATCCGGCGCGCGACGGGCGAGCGGTTTCAGCTTACCCGAAAACTCGCGGCTGAGAGCCTTCCCTCGAACTTCTACGCCCTCATATTCACTATGCTATTATGTCTGACAAGGACGGCCCGCGGTTTTCACTCAGCACCGATTTGTTGGCAGCGCGCCCGGAAATTATGGGGGGCCGGCCGTCTCTCGCGTACCACCGCATCGCCGGAAGCAAAGAGAATGCATATTGCAGTATACAGCTGCGTCGCTTCAGCTACAAGGGTCTTCCCTCGCTGCAGACAGAGTGCATCGACTGAATGCTGCAGGGTACGGCGTGACCTGATCTCAGGAACATGCTGCGCCTCCTGCTGAGATCAACCTCCGCACACGAGAATCCATGTTTGGCGTCTAGGTTCTTTCATGTCTGACAAAGACCTCAGCCGCACCGTAGCCCTTTGGACGAATTTCTTGATGTGTCTGAACTATTTTCAGGGTTCGCCGTATGCACTCCTAGGGGGCCACGCAGAGTAAGACTGTTCGACGTGTTCCGCTGCCGCGGTGGCAAATTACCGTGACCATTTAGAGTCAATCTCACTACACAAGAGGTCGAGGTGTAGTTGATCGCAAAATATTGGCCGTCCCCAAATTGTCTTGCTAAAGTATAGCACTGTACTTGCGTGGGCAGTTGAGGACTCCGCTTGGATGTTCTTCTGTGATATAAAGGCCTACATCTACACTTGGTATCCGCTGCAACTACTCATGAGACATGCAAGGGCATGATCGCCCGCAGTCTACTGTGGAGTCATACTATCTCAGGGCATGTCTCTTCGTTATTTCAGACATATGGTCGGGCTCGCCTTGAAGAAGCATCGTCACAGGATTAAAGCTTTCTCCAGATCAATTACGCAGACCATTCATCCGACCTATCTAAAGAGGAGCCCTAATGCAGTACGAGTCTTGCAAAGGAAGAGGTGAATAGGGATTGCCAATCGGCATTTCCCCGTGTTGGACATAATACTTGATCGGCTGACAAATAGGCTTACTGTGCATACTTGCCACTGAAGTTTAGTTGGCTGCGATATGCTTGCAGTCACCGACCGACCCGCGTTTCGCAACTTGATGCGGCCGATCTCGGACAAGGAAGAACAGTCATTCCTTACTCCACCTTTGTCATTACCCCACTTCATATACATCCAAAAACTACCTTTGAATCGCTTTTCTTATGTCTTCTTCATCGAGGTCTGGGGCTTACAGAGCACTTTTACGTTCAAAGTGTCCACTTCATCTACCCAACACTTTACCTGTGGCATCATGGCCAGCTTACGAAGCATAGAGGCCTGCCAGAGCCAGCTCACATGGCCTGGAGCGGCTGAAGAATCCATGCCGCCAGCAGAGCGACCAAACAACCGTCTCGAATCCCTCCAGATAGAGGAAGAGACGCCACAGCAGATTGATGGAGGCAAGGCGGCATGGCTCGTTCTGGCTGCTTGTTCAATGATACAGGTCCCAGTCTGGGGTACAGCTCACTGAATTCCAGCAGAGCCCTGTCGAATCAGGTCTGTGCTAACCGCGATTCTAGGCTTTTCCATAGCTTTTGGCATTTTCCAAGAATACTACTCCAGTGCTCCGGGCCTCCTTGGCGACAAGTCAAGTGTTGCCAATATTGGCACTACCTCAACTGTACGCTCTCACCCGGCGATATCCGGCAACTTTCCTACCTGCCTGTTTGCAGAAAAAGCAAAATCAAGTCCAGTCCGATGAGCAATCGAGAGAGACGTACAGCAGTACTGGCATCTTTTCCGCAATCATCCTATTCTACAGCCCGGCACTTTAAGGTCACATAAGAACAACACTTTCCGTATCCTCCTCTATCTGATAGGAAAATGCGAGAACTGACTCATCCCCCGTACTTGGGGGAAGAAAAGGGCATCCTCTACCTCTCCGCACCGCTAACCTTCACGCTACCGGCGCTGTACCCTTCGGTGCGCCGGTGGTTCGGTCCCATCGGCTTACTCGTGCTCGGCGGCGGCTTCCTGGCATCAGCGTTTGTGCGGCGGGTGTGGCAGCTAGTCGCACTGCAAGGCGTCGTCGTGGGCGTGGGCGCGGGCCTGCTCTTTGCGCAGTCGACGCTGTGCCTGGACGAGCGCTTCGCGCGGCGCAAAGGGCTGGCGTACGGCATCATGTGGGCGGGCAAGAGCGCGACGGGCGTCGGCTTGCCCTTTGCCATGTCGGCCGGCTTGGAGCGGTTTGGCTACCGCGCGACGATGCTAGCTTGGACGGTTGCTGTGGTAAGTTTGTGTGGATTTTAGTTTTCTTGGATGTTTTTCCGGTTGGTTTTTTTTTCTGTCTTCCTTTCACTCTCGATCTCTTCTGAGCCTATCACTTTGGTCATGTGTCTTTTGAGTTTTGAGCCGCTTAGTCTGCAGTCCGTCATTTTTCTTCTTCCAATTTCAAGTCACAAGTCATCGGGTGGTTATGCAGCGGTGAACGGGTTCGATCGGGCATCGACTATGGATTAGGCCCTTCTGACTCTTGTTAATCTACAGTTTTTCACTGTAGGATCGCTCAGATGCTTGTTCGCTGCGCCCAAAATACATGTTACTAACTGCACATGGCAAATGCCGGCAGATTGCCATCACGGCGCCACTGCTATTCGTCCTGCGCCCACCATCGAGTCCCTCATCGTCAACGGGATCCTCCATGCCGCCGTCGTCTCCCTCATCATCGACGCCAAGGGCCAACAACCCTACAACAACCAACAGCAGAAGAAGCACCGCCACCGCCACCACCTCAGGCGACCAGCATCGCCGCAGCAACAGCCGCAGCAGGAGGCCACGCCTCGACGCGCTGCCGCTGCTCCGTTCACGCAGCTTCTGGGCGCTTCAGACAGGAAACGTGCTGCAGTCGCTGGGCTACTTCCTTCCGGCGGCGTACCTGCCCAGCTACGCGACACAGGAGCTGGCGCTGCCGGCGCGGACGGGGGCCCTGCTCCTGGCGCTGCTCAACGCCACGTCCGTCCCCGGCGGCATCCTCATCGGCGCCCTGTGCGACCGCGTGCATGGCGACAACACTGCCCAGGGGATGCGCCGCGTGTTGCTGGTGTCGTCCCTTCCCTCGGCAGGAGCAGTGCTCCTGTTTTGGGGATTGGCGGGGCCCCGTGGTGGTGGTGGCGCTCACGACGCAGGTACGCACACATGCCGATTGTTTCCTCCCACTCTCCATCTTTTCCTTTTCTCCCTCTCTTTCCTTTCCTTATCTGGTGATGAGTCAAAGTACATACCATTAGCGTGGTGGCTTGCTGCCAACAATAGTAGCCGACCAGCAAGCGGGAAGTGCGTGATGCTAGGCACTGCTAGTTCGTCCAGTAGCTCGGTGGGGCCAATACTGTCCAGTTCACCAGCTAACCATAGAGGTATTTTTTTTTTCCTTCGTTCCGATCTGATCTGTTCTATAGGCAGATTCATGACTAGTGCTGTCAGCGCCAGCAACAGCATCAGCGAAGCCGGAGCCACCACCAACAACACACTATTACAAGCTGCTACCACTACGGCCGGCAGATCGACGCCATCATCTTCGTCTGTCGCGCTGCTAGTCATCTTCGCCCTCGCCTACGGCTTCTTCGCGGGTGGCTTCAGCAGCACATGGGGCGGCGTACTGCGCGAGCTCGAGCACGAAAACTCAACGCTGGATACGGGTTTCGCCTTTGGCTTGCTGGCGGGCGGACGCGGCGTCGGCAACGTGGTCAGCGGTCCGATCAGCGCCGCGCTCATCGCCTCGACTCGCGCAAGAAACGCCGCAGCGGCCGCCGCTGCTATGGTGAGTGGTGGTGATGGTGATCATGGGCAGATGATGGACAGCAGCGGCAGTAGTGCGAGTAGTGGGGGGAGTGGAGGTGGTCTCGCAACCGCCGCCGGTGCGTACGGCAGCGCGTACGGGCCCATGATCCTGTTCACGGGCATCTCGGCTCTGCTCGGAGCTTGGGGTTGGTTGTGCCAGCGCCCGCCCTCGTCTGCGCTCGCCTTCCTGCATCCCGCGTCATGGCGAGGGTGGTGCCAGCGCGCGGCGGTGCTGTGCCGTCTGGCTGTCCCCGCGGCGCACTGGCGACCGCGACGACGGCGACCGTGGAGCTGGGCCTGCGTCAGAGGTGGTGCGGGTGGAGGCGGCAGCACTGATGATGGTGCTGGTGGTGCTCGCGGCGCTCGCGGCGCCCGAGCACGCCAGCTCGACAGTGATCCTCGCCACCCGCCCACAACTTTTTGAGTCAAGTCCCCGCTTGTGAGGCTGAGCGAAGCATGGGGCACGCACTCGACAAGGCAGCAAGCCATCAAGGCGCAAAAGCAGTCTGAGCGCCCGCTGGTCGTCCGTCGTCGACGTCGACGTCGACGTCGCCCGCCTCACCACAGACTCGCGCTCGTACCCCAATGCTTTGACCCGCGCGTCCCCGAGCTTTCCTAGCCTTGCCGCGGACTGGCGCGCGCGCGTCCGCAGCGTCCGCAGCGTCCGCGCTGCACGCACCACCACGTCCACGCGCGTGACGCCAGCAGGACTGTGTGGGGAGCCAGACGGTGGCGAGCAAGCGTTTGTACGTGCGTAGACGGAAACGGCACGCACCTTTGGGCCGTCTGCGCCTCTGGCTGCTTGGTTCAGTCGCGTGGTGTGGGGACCGGGTAAGGGGAAGAAGGAGCGCAGCGACGAAGCCAGACGTCGTGGGTGGTGCACCGGTGGTGCTGTGCTCGTGGCAGTGGCCGGCTGGCGGCCGGGCGGCCGGCAAGATTTTTCCTCTTTTTTCCCTTTTGCTCAATTCTCCTATGCGAGGCAGGCAGCTAGAGGCGCTCACGCGCCACGCGAGGCGGAGAGACTTTCCTCGACGTCGTGTCTGGCGGCCGGATCATGCGTCGTGGTGGCGGCGGCGGCCACGGCGGCATCGGCTGGGGTCGGAGGTCGGAGCGAACGGCTGGAGGGAGGCCTTGCTGGTGAGAAAAAGTTGGGTTGGGCGCATCGCTGGCCGCCCACTGACAGGATCTCGCGCATGGCGAGAGGTCCTCGGCCCCGCAGTCAAGATTGACGGGCGTTCCTGATGGGCTTAGGTCAGGAGCGGTTCGGCCGGGCGATTGGACGCGCTGGTGCGGTGGGGCCCGCCGACTTGTCGTATGTAGCTAAGGCCACGAGCGCCGTCGCCCAAACACGTAGGTTCCTGGTCAGGCTTGCCCTGAAAAATAAATCCGACCCGCGTGCCTCGGGCTGAACTTCGGCGTCGAGGCCGACGATGCAAGTCCCGGCCAGAGCCGGGGACCTGATTCATCGCGTGCGTCGTCGCCCGGCAACCGCTAACCGCTGGCGATGGCGTGGACGCGGGCGCGCGAGACTGTGTGTCTGGGAGAACAGCATGGCAGGCATCCGTGCGTCCTGCGCAGTCAATCATCGGTGCCTCCCCCTCTCTCCCACATCGCGAGACCCTGATTGCACGGGAAGAGGGTCGACAGGAGTCATGGCGGGGCGCCGTTTCTACAACGCATCTCGTGGGTGCGGCTCCAGCGGAGTGGCAAAGGTGAGCTGTGTGTATCGAGGCCCTGAGCAGCAGACGGCTCGAGGATGCTGCAGGTTAAAAGGCTCCAGGCCCCGAGGGGGGTCTGTGGGGGGCGTGACTCCTGCATGTTGACGATGATTGACCAGGCGACGCATCATCGAACAACAGCGTGGACGACGAAGAAAAAAAAAGCGGGCTGCTCCGCCCGCTGCGGACGACCCCTCAGCGGGGCCACTGATGAAACGGATTTCTTCCAGAACAATTGACAGCTGGCCGGCGTCTCCACTAGGACCACCAATAACCCCGTCTCGGCGGCCGGCGAATCGCAGCGCAACGAAGGCCGCCGCCGTAACTCACACTAGATGTCCTTATTTTGGCATCATCTGATAATTGATACGTAGCCGCTAATTGCGCAATAATCCGCGGGCATACCCCGAGGACTTGACGGAGAATTGGACAGCCCGCGGCGCAGCAACAAGTCTGGTAGCAGCTACTGTCTGGTTGCAGCGAGGCCCAGGAATGCAGCCATCGCCGCCAGCACCTCACATGTGGGGATGCCAGTGAACTGGAGGGGATTATAGCGGCGCAAAGGCGGGGACCGGGTGATGTACGCTGGTGGCGCCGGCGCAAACTGTCAATCTGGCGTGCTTGCGTGCTTGCGAGCGAGTCGAGGCGGCCGTTGCCTTGGGGGCTGGCCGGCGAGCGGAGGAGGCCAAGGGATGTATCATCTTGAGACACTGGATTCTTTGTACTCTCCTCTCTCGACTTCTCAACGCTCTCGAGCAGCGGTCCCGGCGGTGTGTGAGGTACCTGAGGCACCAGCCCTCTCTGCGCTTGTGCCCTTATCCCTTATCGAGGAGCACTGGAATGCTACCCAGATAAGGGAGCGATGAGCTTATTGGGGAATGCTGGGGTGCTGCCTGGAATCGTGCTTACGGCTCGGGCTACACGGTCGAAGCGCCCGATTCCATTGGATTCTGTTGCAAGCAAACGTCACTGCAGGCGCGTGGCTCTCGTCTCTGTGGCCGTGCGAGGTACGGTACACAGTACCTCACGCTTTCCCGGCCTCATTTCACGCTCTCGTGCGAGCCATGAGCTGCGAGACTTGCAGTATGCTGTGCACGGCGAGAGCAGGACTTCTTCCGCGCGCTCTCGCCAGAGGGCAGCTAATGCAAGGGGATGCCGTCGGGAGAACCAGCGAGATGGAGGAGGGGCAGTCACGCGGCTCTCGTGGACATGAGGGGGGGGAGTGAAATGATGCGCAGCATGTCTCCGCCTTTGGTGTGGCCGCTGTTGCACGAAACGGGGGCCGCCGTGGAGAGAGCGTTGAGGGCGGCGGCGGGCTGCACGGCGGCAGGGGCACGCTGGACGCAGAATGGACGCGTCTGGCTGTTTTGCTCTGCAGCAGCGTGTGGAAAGCCGCAGCGCGATTCGCTGCGACTCAACGGCCATGGTGGATGGCCCGCCAAGCAAGGTGGTGGCACGCCCTCAGCCAACCACGCAGGGCGAGCCGCGGTGCCACATTGGGGGATACGAATGCACACAATCATCTACGCGCGCTGCTGTGTCCGGTGGCTGCGGGCCGCCAGAGTCGCGCAGCTTGTGCCGCGGACGTCGGTGTCGGTATCGCTCCGCTACCGGGCTGGCAGCGGCGCGGATTGGCAGGCAGGCAAGGCAGAGGCACGCACGCGGAGGCGCCGGCGACAAAGGGCGGTCTCGCGTGCTGCTGACGATGCGGCGGCGGCGGCGGTGCGTGGTGCTGGGCCTCTCTTCACGCATGCCTCGACGCTGCTCGCGCCCAGGGCGCCCGCACGCCAGTCATATATCTGAAGCCCGTGACTGCATGTCACGGTGCCATGGCGGGCGGCGCCATGGGAGTGAGCGTGCCTGAGCTGACGATCGGCGGGCGGTCGAGACGGATCGTGATGATGGGGTGGTGTCTGCAGGTGCAGGGAAGCGGCTGGTGAGGCTGTTCGCAGGCGTGGGTTGGATGGCGCGAGAGGGGCAGCAGCCGATCGGGCGCGGCAGGCGGGTAAAAACCACGGAGCGGTTCGCGACAGCGCCAATCACACGGCCGCCCCGCGCCATTCGCACGCTGCTCGGGCGGTTCATCGCCAACTCGACGGGCGCAAAAGGACCGGTCGGCGCTGGCGGGCGCTGGCGGGCGCTGGCGGGCGATCGCTAGGCCGCTCTGGGCCGCCGGAGCCGTTCCGTCGACGGCGTTTTTCGTAGCGTGAGACACAGGCCCAGTGGGTGGAGGTGCAAGTGGGGGACGGCTGGGCGTGGCAGAGACAGGGCCTTGCTGGCTGCTGACCGGCCGGCGCGCAGCGATAGAGGCTGGTGTGATAGCCGGGCCGCCGGCTGAGCGCAGCGCTGTGCTTTGCCGTCGCCGTCAGCCTGCTGCGCGCCACCCTCGCCCTCGTCGCCTCCCGCGCCGCTGCGCCGCTGCACCGCTGCACCGCGGAGGGGCTTCTTCAAGTCGGCGGGAGCCCTGCGCATCATCCGGCAGAAAAGCAAGCAGCCTGCACGTCAAAGAGCTTGCGCACGACTCGCGGAGCCGTCGGTGTCGCAGCGCCCGCGCGGCGTGACCAGACCAAGCGCACCGGACCCTCGCTCGCATCGCCGGCCAATCAGTGCGGGCGCGCCGCCAGGGTGTGTTCACCGCTTCTTTATCCAAGTCGCCAGCCCCGGCGCGCGGCTTCCTTTCAACCAGCGTCGCCCGTCCCCCAATCTCACAGCCAGACAAAGCCGCCAAAGTGCGGTGTGAGAGGTGATCTTTGCAATTTCGCTGCTCCGCTCAGCTGAGTCTGCTCTCAATAATCGCGATGGATCACCTCGACTTCACCTCCGACGGCTTCTACGCCTTCGAGAACACCCTCCAAGACCCGGCCCAGCACCGATACTCCGCGTATCTCCAGAACAGCACCTGGCCGCTGCCGCTCGAGCAAACGCAGTCGAATATGTCTCACAATGCGCCCCAGAGCGCACACTCGAGGAGGGCCACCACCACCGCCTCGAGTCAATCAACCACCTCGTCCGCTCCACTCCAGGCCTATCACCATGGCCACTCGCAGTCGCTGGACCCGCAGGCAATGCTCTCGACGGCCGCCCACGACTGGCAGTTCCAGATGCACCACCCGATGCACCACCACTCGTACTCGCACGACAGCGCCGCCATCGACACGGCCAACTTCACCAACTTCGGCGCGCCGCTGCAGACGTCGCCCGTCGAGTACAACATGCCCACCACCCAGGCGCCCCTCGGCATGAGCACCACGACGATGCCGCTGGACATGGGCAACAACTACATGGCCATGAGCGGTGCCGTCGAGCAGCCCATGAACACCATGGCCCCCTTCCAGATGAACGACTTCCAGAACGAGCTGCTGAACTATCCCATGAACTCGAACGAGCTGGTCGCCGCCAGCGTCGCCGGCAGCTCGCCGACCGAGAACTGGCTCGAGGTCCGCTCGCTGTCGAGTAGCGACAATGGCTGGAGCACCATCGACTTCCAGCAGCCCGGTCGCCAGTCGTTCGATTCGTACACTGCCGAGTCGCACAACGGAACCGTCTTCAACCCCATCCAGACCCTGCACATCCGCACCCACTCGGACTCGTCGCAATCCGATGTCCCGCAGTCGGCGCATTCCTTCGGTAGCTATGAGGACATTCCCCCTTTCCCCATGCACTCGCCTCAGTCCGAGGTCGATTTCGGCACCGGCATGGCGCACGGCCTCCCCCACCACCACGATCACGACCACGACCACTATCACTCCCCAAGCCACTCCATCTCCTCGGTCAGCCCTCCGACCGCCTCCGCCACCCCCTATCTCATCAAGCAGTCTGCCTCTTCCTCCTCGTCGCCCACTTCTTCTGGTATCAGCTCGCCCCCCGCCTCCAGGAGAAAAAAGAGCCCGACTGCCAGCCTCGGCCCTACTACTGCCAAGGTTCAAAAGACCATTGTCAAGAAGCCGGCCGGCTCGGCCAAGAAGGATGCCAGTGGCGAGAAGCGTGTCGGCAGGAGACGCGGCCCTCTGAGGCCCGACCAGAGGCAGCAGGCTCACGAGATCAGGAAGCTGCGTGCTTGTCTGCGTTGCAAGTTCCTCAAGAAGACCTGTGACAAGGGCGATCCTTGCGCCGGCTGCCAGCCGTCGCACGCTCGCCTTTGGCAGGTTCCTTGCACTCGTATCGACATCAAGGACATCGCTTACTTCATGAAGGACTGGAAGGCAGACTTTGAGCGTCACGTGAGCTTGGGCTTCTCGGTTGGCAACATCAAGGGCTTCTCGACCATGGAGCGCCCGCTGTACATCACGCACGGCTACGGCTACTACCTGCCCATCACTGCTCGCGAGGTCTACGTCCGCGATGAGAAGTGCTTCGGCATGGACTGGGTTGAGCAGCCTCCTAACGACAGGCCCAAGGAGTTCGAGATCGCCACCGCTAAGCTTTCGGCTGGCATGGAAGGCGTCTCGCACGCGCTTCTTTCCGAGTACATCGACCGCCACATCGACGGCGGCTTCGAGCGTTTCATCGATGACTACTTCGAGGGCACCTTCTTCCTGAGTGAGATGCTCAAGACGGCATACCGGTACTACCTCAAGTCCAAGCTGCCCGTCATTCGCAAGGCTCTGAAGCTTGTTGTCGCGTACAACCTCACGCTCCACGTCACCATGGTCGAGGGCCTTTCGGAGGAGGAGAGCCAGGTCGGCAAGATCGACACCAACGAGAGCAAGTTCTTCGGCAAGACCGTTGCCCCTGTCATGATCAACTTCCAAGTCAAGTGCGCTCTCGCCGACATGTGGCGTGAGCTGCAGAAGGATATCCTCGAGGAGCTGTCGTCCCTCTACTCGTCCGTCTACAGCGGAGAGAAGCTCAAGAACTGGCCGACCATCTTCATGCTGGCTGCCATTCTTCTTGCTGTCTGGGAGGAGATGCAGTTTGACTGCCACTACAGGGTGCCCGACCCCGCTGCCGTCCAGAAGTTCTGCAACGACATGGAGAGCACCCCGGTCGGCGTCATCGTCGGCCTCTTCTCTGCCATCTCGCAGAAGCTCCCCGGCTTCATGGAGTGGGACACCAGGAAGCATCACCACCTTCTCGCCTCGAACCAGGCGGTGTGTGATGCGATGACTGAAGTCAGAGGTCATGTCACCAAATATGGTACGTTGCATTCCAATGATGACTGTTTCGAGCAACAGCTAACGACATGTACAGAGCACTACTTGAAGAGCCGGGCAGAGGCCAAATTCGACAGGAACGACTTCGATTCCCTGTCGAACAAGTTCCTGTCGAGACTTGTGATCCGCGCGAACTGACGGTTAGCACAATCACAGTCTTCAATCCTCGTCTAGTGATTGTGTTTTCTCGTTTTACGGCGTTATGGGCCCTCTTGTACAGCTTTTCCTAGTTTGCGACGAACAAATCTTTCGGCTACGGCGGCACTTTTCACGACTGACGGTCTGATGACGAGCACGAGCGCAAGCAAGCATTCCGCTTGATATCCCGACGACCCACCAAAAAAGGGTTCCGTCACGTTTACCCACTGCAATTCCATCTCTAACGAATTTTGAACGGCGTTTCTGGTTACAATTTCTCACGCCCGCTTACGCCGATGATGAGACGATACCTCAACAGCGTGTGTTTGCAGTTCGCATTTCTATCGCCTCTGGAGTATCTCTTACGCGGCAGCGGATGGCTGTATGCCGACATGTTTCAGCGTTTTCAACTTTTTTTACCTGGTCTTTTCGAAGATTGGCCTCTTCTTTGCTTTTTTGGGATTGCATAGCCTGCGCGAGCAAACGAGGAACAAACGAAGACCCACGAAAGATGAAACGAAACCAAAACAAGTTGTTCAAGAGCAGAACGACGCTACTACTTTTGCAAGGCACCGAACTCGTATGCGAGCACTTGGCGCCGCACCTTCTGGGCGGCCCTTGTCTCTGGTACGGAGTATTCCCAGACCGGGGCGCATTGTATCCTGTATGGTGTTTAATCATCAACGAATGGCTGAACTTCTCAAAGCGTTTTGTGCTATCTATTTTCTTGTCTCCTATTTATCTTGAACGTCAATGGAAACGGTACCGGAACGGGAAATGGTTACGATTGGTCCTCTGCGCTTGCTTTTTGTAGACTTCTTATTTTGAGCTGTTCTGGACATTGGTGGGAGGAAGGAAAATACGTCTGGGTATGTAGAGAGCCGTCTTGCGGCTCTCTTTGGGTATATAGCTGTAGGCAGTTGGAAAAAAAGGGTACGATGGATGCCTCCCCCCAAAAAAAACTACGTTCCAGGTCCTGATGTTGTGATTGGTCCTGTGCTTTACACGATTTGGTGCCGCCACTCTCGTGTGAAGGCTCGATCATGGGATGCAGGGTGGCGTTCGTGAGGTGAGACGTGCAGGACGGTAGGGCTGAGATGTGGCGAAGAAGGTACGTCTCAGTAAGCAGCATATGCGATCGTGGAGTTGGGAATACTGATTCGTTACCAGAAACCGGGAACAACGGACGAGCGGGAGCCTACCGGAATGCGGGCTTGACGAGCCAATGAGCTTGCCATGTGGCCGAATGGTCTCGTTTTGCCGTGAACAGTCGAGTCGTGGGTTGAGGAAATGGTGGTGTTGTCTACCGCGATTGTCTGTCTGGCTTCTGGGAGGCAGGCAGCAAGCCACGAGCTCATGGCTAATGCGGCCATGGGGATGGATTCGCTTGCTGGCTGTGTGCGTGGCATATATCCAACAGTGACGACACCACCAGAGCTTCCTCTCACTCACCTTTCTCAACTGAACCCTTTCAACCGCCGCTTGCAGGCAGACAGTGCTCATCGCCACCCCAAAATCGCCGTCGTCTTCGTGCGCGCGCCTCAAGCACCATCCGTCACTGATCGCTGGCTTAGCTGGATCAAGAAGATCTTGGGGCGGGTGTCCAAAACACGACCGCCGCCGCCGCCGCCATCACTGCAACCACACCCTGCGCGACCTACAGTCATCGACACGATGCCTATCGCTCAGCTTCTCGCGGTTCGTCGATCTGGATCTGTCCACTTGCCAGCACTACCGCCTCTATCAAACCCTCACAGTGCAGTTGTCCATCCCCATCAGCGTCGCAGCTCGTCCGCGCCGTCGTTACTTCACCGCGCACGCGCCGGCGCTCCCCACCAGACGACGTACCCTCACCTTGAGAACTACTACAACGAAGCCCGTGCCGCGCAAGCAACGGCCGACAACAACAACACGATGCCAGTGGCCGCTGACGTTGACGTCGCACGTGACGAGGGCGATGACTCTGCCATGAGTGACGACGTATCGCGCGACGTATTCGGACCTGAAGCGACGACGACGACGACGACGACGACTATGACGACAACGACGGAGGATGACGAGCGCTGCTCCCGTCACTCGTCTCCCTCAGGCCCGCCCGCTGCCAGGACGTTGCGCACGCCGAGCCCTTCTCCGTCTTCTCTTCACTCTCCTGACTCTCCGCTGGCCGCCAGCCGCGGTTTCTGGACCAAGATGAGCGGAGTGCACGACAAGCACGGTGATGGAGAGGATCATGCGGTTGCCGGCTCTCTGCCGCCACGGTCGAGTCTGCGGACGAGTCTACGGACGAGGGGCGGAGAGAGCACGCGGAGACTGCGGTACACCGATTGCGGAAGCCCGACCCGCGCAGCGGCGGCGAGCACAGATGGGGAAGAGGACGATGGCATCGGCGGAGGGGCTTGCTTGATCGGCGAGGAAGAGGCGGCCGCGGTGTATCCGGAGTCCTGGGCGGTCATGGCGCAGGAGAAGGCTGCGCGGCGTCTGAATTTCATGGCTGTCGGCCCGCCGCAGACGCCTGCCGTGGGAACAATTCCCTTCTCAGGCTGCCATGAGCCGGAGCCGGGACCATCGGTACGCAACAGCAGAGCAATGCTTTTAGACGTCAGATAACGTGCCACAGACTCAGATCAGGAACCCCCGCATCACGACGCCGAACCGACTCGCCGCAGCGACGGGCACCAGCAAGCACTTCCGAAAGACGAGCCCCGACCAAGGCGGTGCCGTCTCCCCAACCGTCCGGACTCTTCCGGCCGGCGCGCTTCCGCTTTCCGACGGCTTTCAGATCACTCTCGGCGGCGAGCAAGACGCGGATCCGTTCGGCGCCGCAGCGCCGGTGCGCTCGCCCGCGCTGAACGACGACTCCAACATGGACGAGATCGACAGCTGTGTGACCCGGCTTTGGCACCTCTATGCCAACGGCACCGAGCACACCAAGCGCCTGTTGCTGCGCGATCTGCGCCGCACCATAGGCGTGCAGGAAGCACTCGGAGTACGTTCGACCGACGTCGAGTCCGACTGTTGATTGGATCGCGGGAGGGGGAGTATGGGTATCTCGATTCGTTGGTGCGTGGGGTCGGGTGTTGGCTAGATTCTTCTCTGTGAAGTCTTACTAGGCACCGGATACGGAACGTCATGGGCGAATGAAGCTACCCGAGCGGGATCAGATAGTTGCTTGGGGGGGGGTGACATGGTTGTCGAAGGCTTTCCGGAACTTCTTGATTTGGCAACACGGTGTTGGATGGCGCGATGACAAAGGGAGGTATTTAGTGCTTTCTCTCAGGTAGCTCAATCCAAGGCCCGTCACCTCCCCAGATTTCACGCCCTAAGCCTTTTAACGGTGCCGTGCATGAGTTGTAAATTCTTATGGAAATCGACCATCGTTCTAGGTCACCCAGCATTCCCGTTTCCGCATACGCGCCTACTTCGCTTCAAACTAGAGTGCCTTTCGTGACTAACTGGCCTACCTGGTATCAAATCTGTGGTGTAGTCTTTCAGTTTCGATCATCTACGCCTCCCGCCAGATACCGGCCAATCAAATGCCTGGACTTCCTTTCAAAGCAACATCGTACCATCCAGCAATCTCCTTGACTTCCCAGTTCAATCTAGAAGGCACCATCTACTTTTCCCCTCGGCCGTGCCCAGCTCCTTGCCGCCCGTCTAGTCGCGGGCTTCATAGATTCTGGTCCCAATCTGCACAATCTCCTCCATCTTCGCCCTCATGGCAGCACGTTGCGTCAGAGAACCCCTGACCCAGACCGTATGCCACCAGTTCAAGTCGCCGAGCATGTCGAAGAAGGCGTCCTCGAGCTCGAACACCAGCGGCTCCTTGGGCGTGGCGATTCCCGCACAGCTCGAGCTGTCCGGGGAGCTGCCGGCCCGCTGGCCGCACGACGCGGCCTCGTAAGCGCCGAAGTTGAGCTCCTCTTCCTTGCGGAGGAGGTGGGACGCGGATTTGGGGGCGCAGGCGCGCGTGCGCGGCGGCGTGAGCATGGCGCGGTAGAGATCGGCGTGGGTGCTCATGCCGGGAGCGGTGACGACGGGTTGGAAGAGGGGCTTCGGTGTGCCTGCATCTTTCTCGTAGGTCGCGGTGAGGTTGGGATTGTTCGCCTCACTCGTATGTTCCTTGGGCGCAAGATTCTTGGGTGCGCTCGTAGGCAAAGCGGTTTTGACTGCAATACGGCCTTTAGTAACTAAAGTTCCTTCTATAGAGTATGGTATCGGGGTATGCTTACCTGGAGTGTGCTTGCCCGGTGCGACGCCCGTCGTCGTGTTAAGCCTAACCTTCTTCAATCTCTCGTTGAGAAGGTCCAATTTCTTGTCACACTTGACCCTCGCCTTCTCGAACTCATCAAAAGTCGGGGCACGTGGGAGGTTGAAGGGCCTTCCAGTGACCTTGGAGGGGACGTTGTCTTTGAATAGCTTGTCGGCCCTCTTCAAAATCACGTCATTCGACTTGAGTGCCTCCTTGAACGTGGCCTTGGGCTGCTTCAACGGATCCTTCTTGACATGATCGGCGGCGTCCTCAGGGTTACGGCTCCCATCGAACAATCGGGAGTTACTAAGATTGGCGTGGTTAGGGTTGTCAATCCGGGTACTCTTTTGGATATGGTCACGCTTGAGCATGGGACTGCTCATGCCGAGTCGGGGCGCGGGTGTCTTGTCTTCAGCAGTGCAACTGGCGCCGAGCGGAGCGGCCTGAGTGCAAGGAGGGGATCCGCTCGTACCGTAGAGCATGTTCTGGTACGGGGGCATGAAGGTTGTCGGGGGCTGAGGGTAGACGTAGTTGTGCTGGCGCGGATAGGTATGGTTGTACGCCGGATGGTACTGGTACTGAGGCTGGGGACCGGGGGTGTACGTGTAGTAGCCAGCAGCGTACGGGCCATGCAGCAACGAAGCCGGAATGACCCTGGGTGACGGGTCAGGGCCCGGAGTGAAGGGAGGCACGGAAAGTTGACCAAGGTTGGCGTAGCCGTTGGGTGGCTGGAAAGGCTGCGGGACACGCTGGGTGCCAGAGCCGGCCGGGTGGTAGGCGTTCGGCATGCCGGAATTCTCCATGGTCAGTGTTGGGTGGAGCTCGTCAAAGAGTGGAGCGCAGATGGAGGAGGATGGTGTAGAAGAAAGAGGGACTAGGGTTTTATGTTGCCAGCAGGTAGTGACTACAGCTGCTCACCGGGCCCGAAAATCCGATGCCAAAATAAGAAGGTGCCAAGAGAAAGTGAGGGTGAGGCATAAGGTATTGATTCCAAGGTACTTCGCAACCGAGTATAAACTAGAAATACCGGGCGTCGTGCTCGCGTTAGAGCGTTATATGTACGTGTTCGCGCGCAATTCAATATGCGCACATAGTCGTTAGAGCTATAATCGCGCTTTATGTGTGTCTCCGCCCACGTGCTGAGAAGGTCCAGCTATAGAATAACGCTTCCGCGCTGCTAAACCCTGGACTTCCCCGCCTTTATCAATCCGTCGGGCTCCTAGGCCCTCCGCGCTGCCCGCCATGTATGATATGTCTACGGTAAGTCTGTGTCAGCTTTTCAAAGACCGCAGATAAGAAGGGCACATTGACGGAGACGGAGCATCATCCGAGAGACACCTCGGCCAACATGGACATCCTACGCACCCCGACACTTCCGACAGCCGGCTCGACACCCGAAATCTGAGCCTGGAGCAGTGGTATTTCGGATGTCGATGGGGCAATGGGGCACCATGAAACACCAGATAATCGCTGCATTCTTCACAAGTTCCAGAAATTGATCAATACCATTCATGTACCCTTACCCTTAATCGAAAGCCGCTCGAGAAAGCACCGGACCAACTCCCATCGATATCCGAACATCCTCGGGGCAGTTGCTACGTCTCCTGACCCGTAGCGCCACATTTGCGAAGGTGCGCGAGTTACAGCTCCTCCTTCTTGTCAGCCCCTTGACCGTCCTGCAGGGCGTATAAAGGCTGCGGATGGCCGCTGGCGTCGCAGCTGCTGAAGCGCCACCAGCCCCAGTTCCAGCTTCCAAACACGTTCACCATCATCCACCGGATGGGACCAGGCATCGGCGGCCACGTCGCCCACATGCCGTCCTCGTATGTCCTGTCCAAGTTCAGCAGGCAGAAGGGCACCACGTCCGTCATGCCCGCCTTCGTCAGCGTCGTTTTGCCCCACGCCTTGAAAGTGGCCGATGCGTTCGCAGCCTCCGGGCTGTCCGGCGCAGGCGCCGAGGGAAGATCGGCGAAGGTGGCGATCGTCCTGATCTCGGAGTGGAAGTGGTCGTTGAATGGCTCGCGGAATGTGTCCATGATGCGGACGAGCTCCCTGCCGTCGAAGGCTGCGGGCGAAGACAGGGATGTCAGGTAGGTGTTGTAGGCACCGAGGCCCTCCAGGAAGGACTCTGTGGGAGCAGTCCGTCAGTGCTTGGTCAATGTCTAGCTCAGGATGCTTGGCCTGCTCACCGTGTTCCTTGTGCGTCCCTTCCCAGATGCCCTTCTCGTTCAGCACTCCCTCAACCTTGGGGAAGAGCTCGGCCTCTTCGTCATCGTGGTGGCTCTTGACGAACCGGAACCACGCGAGACTGTAGCCGACAAAGTCGGTCTTATCGGCGTCCTTGATGTGTGGGGCTTGCAAGTAGACGGTGTTGAAGCCGCGGAGGATGGCATTGTGCAGGAGGGCCATGTGGGTGGCGCCCTTGGTCCAGATGTCGTCCTTCTTGGTCGCATACTGGGGCGTCTCAATGAGGGGGCAAGGGCCGTCAGCCCAGGGGGTGCCGGCGGGGATAGAGCTCGCCGAGGCAGACATGGTGGCAGGCAGCTGGGTGCAGAGGAGGGCAATTCCCAATGCTACGAGGGTGCGGAGTAGGCGGAATCTGGAGGCAAGCATGGCTGAAGCCGGATTGAAAGCGGGGATGCAGCCATGATGCAGCTTTTCAGCAGCTGTCGGTACATGGAGCTCGATAAGCAAGCTGCCCTAATCAGCCCATGGTCAACTGATGGGAGCTCTGGGAATGGCGGAGAATGGCGGGCCCGGAGCTCGGATGAGAAATCTAATCTCCGTGATTGGCTGGAGCTGTCGCACAGCTCCTGGACCGAAGGCCCAGATGTGCCCAGACGTGCCTTCATGTGCCTTCACCAAGCGTTAATAATGCCGCTAGCCAGGGCCGAAGCAGGCAGTTTAGCAGTCAATTGCAGGAGCAGCTCGACGCCCATGGCCGAGCGGCATGCCAGCTGTCTGTCATTCCTGACACAAGCTATCTCTTGTGACTTCCCTTTCCAGACACTCTCCGTTTCAACACTGGCCAAATCTCGCATTCCTGGCTTCTGGCCGTGCGAACCGCTTGCGAAGAAATAGATTGCACCTCAAAAAAGTCGGCTTAGGGCAGTGACAGGTGATTTCCTTGGTCGTTGATCTGCTGATGCTTGCAGGGCGAGTAGTCTCATCGGTCTGCGCGTCGTTCCGGTCAACTCGGTTCGGAAGATGAGGGTTGAGGTTGAAGCCCTTCGTTGAAGGTTGATGAATCTGGTGTCCATGGTGGTGGGCGCGGTGTCGGGTGGGCGCAGTGCAACACCGGCCCGCCTCTCGCAAAAACGCCTCCCGCTCTCGGCCAAGAGTTTGGCCATGTGACGCCCCCCCGCGTCTCCGCTCCACGCTCCGATCCTCCCGCTCCGCTGGAGTGCGTTTCGAGTTGCCTTCAATCCATCCGTGTCGAATCGAATGGCCGCAATGACTGCGATTCCGATGCCTGATGCATCTGCCAGCCGGGCATTGAACGTGTGGCTGCCAAAACGTCGCACAACATCCCTCCAAAGGAAAAAAAAAAAAAAAACCTCCCTCGGACCACACTGTTCCCGTTTCTGACGTGTACACGCGCCTCCTTGCGACACCACCCTGCTTGACAAGGTGCAAGTCTGCGGGGAAGGAATGCGGTGAGCGCCCCGTGGAGTCCCCGCTAGCGTGCCCTTTTCGAATTTCTTGTGCGTGTCGCGCGGCTGTGACCTGGTATGGGACGGCCTTCGTCTTCAACATTTGCAACGGAGTATTATTCAAGCCCGGCAAAAAGTTCACCGCAAATTTTGGGAAGCTGTTATCTCTGTGCCTAGGTGTCTGCCTTGTAATTCAGGCACCCGCATCTCTGAGGCGACGAGGAACAGCTGGCCAGGCAACTGTAACAGTGGTTAGTCAACAAGGCATGAAAACGAGTAGCTGAAAATGTATCGTCGAAGCCAAACCGCTGGTGTCAGTATAGTTTGAGACTCGACAAATGCCGGCAACCACTGTTTGTCAAGCTGCAGCCCTTCACAATTTATCGTCCCATCTCAACAGAGCAACGGCAAAAGCCTACCATCTCGGATTAATTTTTGGAACACGAGCCTGTTCCAAGGCACTGCGCTGGCAATGCCAGCAAGCAGAGGCTGACAACAGACAGACGGCGGCGCTGCAGCCTAACTACCTGCACCTCACACCGATGCCAGAACCTGCATGTGCGCCAGGTGGCTGTGCAAATCGACAGTGGCTTCAAGCGCAGGTGGGCGCTGGAGACGTGATGAAAATGGCGTGGGCGGACAAGAAGGGCCGTGAGCATGTTGGGCTGATGATGAGCTGCTGGGCTGATGAGCTCCTGGGCTGGGCTACCGGTTACCACCGCAGCCGGGCTGAGTAGTGGACCGCCTCGCCGCGACGAGAAGTTTCTTGAAGCTGCTGGCTGTGGGGCGGCTCTGACCCTGCCTTGTGTGCCTTGTGCTGGGTGCCCGACGAGGCTGTGAGGCAGCGAATCTAATCTTATCTGCATCGCACAGGATAATGCCACTAGCCACAATCTGGCGGGGCAGAAGCGCGTCATCGTTCCAGCCTTGCAAAGCGAGAGGAGAAACCGTTGAGGCCCACGCAGGCCCTGCAGCGGGTGCAATGGCCGCAAAAAGAAATCTGTGGCGACGGTGCGCGCGGGTTCCAGGATATTCCAGTTGCGTCGGAAAGCGGCTGCTGACATCACTGGTGGTGGCTGGCCCAGCGCGCGGTGTTGCTGTGGGCTGTGGCGTCAGATTTCCGCGATGCTTCTGCCAGATTCCAGCACCTTCTTTCGGCCTGCACTTTTCACTTAAGTACCATCCGCCCGCAAACGCTCAACCATACTTCTTCATCCTCCAGAATACTCTTGCGCATTCAATCGCACGAAGGCTTGAAGCTTTCTACCCGCAAACTTTTCACAGCCTTTCTTCTTCCTTTCCACCTTTTGATACCCGTCACCTAGATCCTTTCACCCTCACATCACAATGGCGCCCGCCATCGGTATCGATTTGGGTACTACCTACTCGTGCGTCGGCATCTTCAGAGATGACCGCATCGAGATTATCGCCAACGACCAGGGCAACCGTACCACGCCCTCGTTCGTTGCCTTCACTGGTAAGCCGCCTCACACTCCAGCCTGACCCCGTCGAGCATCTGCTAACTTTCGCATAGACACCGAGCGTCTGATCGGTGACTCGGCCAAGAACCAGGTCGCCATGAACCCCCACAACACCGTCTTCGACGCCAAGCGCTTGATCGGCCGCAAGTTCAACGACGCCGAGGTCCAGGCTGATATGAAGCACTTCCCCTTCAAGGTCATTGAGAAGGGTGGCAAGCCCATCATCCAGGTCGAGTTCAAGGGCGAGGAGAAGACCTTCACCCCTGAGGAGGTCTCGTCCATGGTCTTGACCAAGATGAGGGAGACCGCTGAGTCGTACCTTGGTGGCACCGTCAACAACGCTGTTGTTACCGTCCCTGCCTACTTCAACGACTCTCAGCGTCAGGCTACCAAGGACGCCGGTCTCATTGCCGGCCTGAACGTCCTCCGTATCATCAACGAGCCTACTGCCGCTGCCATCGCCTACGGTCTTGACAAGAAGGCCACCGGCGAGCGCAACGTCATGATCTTCGATCTTGGTGGTGGTACCTTCGATGTTTCCCTTCTTACCATTGAGGAGGGTATCTTCGAGGTCAAGTCCACTGCCGGTGACACTCACCTGGGTGGTGAGGACTTCGACAACCGTCTCGTCAACCACTTCGTTTCTGAATTCAAACGCAAGCATAAGAAGGCGAGTCGTCCATTTGAATGCTTCGTCTGACCATGAATTTGCTAACAATTAGCAGGATCTTACCGCCAACGCTCGTGCCCTCCGCCGTCTCCGCACTGCCTGCGAACGTGCCAAGCGCACCCTTTCCAGCTCTGCTCAGACCTCGATCGAGATCGACTCCCTGTTCGAGGGCATTGACTTCTACACCTCGATCACCCGTGCCCGTTTCGAGGAGCTTTGCCAGGACCTCTTCCGCTCCACCATGGAGCCCGTCGAGCGTGTCCTCCGTGACGCCAAGATCGACAAGTCGTCCGTCCACGAGATCGTCCTTGTCGGCGGCTCCACCCGTATCCCCAAGATCCAGAAGATGGTCTCCGACTTCTTCAACGGCAAGGAGCCCAACAAGTCCATCAACCCCGACGAGGCTGTTGCCTACGGTGCCGCTGTCCAGGCTGCTATCCTGTCTGGTGACACTTCTTCCAAGTCCACCAACGAGATCCTTCTGCTCGACGTCGCTCCTCTCTCCCTCGGTATCGAGACCGCTGGTGGTGTCATGACTCCTCTGATCAAGCGCAACACCACCATCCCCACCAAGAAGTCTGAGGTCTTCTCCACCTTCTCCGACAACCAGCCTGGTGTCCTCATTCAGGTCTTTGAGGGTGAGCGTGCTCGCACGAAGGACAACAACCTGCTCGGCAAGTTCGAGCTTACCGGTATTCCCCCGGCGCCCCGCGGTGTTCCCCAGATTGAGGTCACCTTCGACCTTGATGCCAACGGAATCATGAACGTCTCCGCCCTCGAGAAGGGTACCGGCAAGACCAACAAGATCGTCATCACCAACGACAAGGGTCGCCTTTCCAAGGAGGATATCGAGCGCATGCTTGCCGAGGCTGAGAAGTACAAGGCTGAGGATGAGGCCGAGGCTTCCCGCATCTCCGCCAAGAACGCTCTTGAGTCCTACGCTTACTCCCTCCGCAACACCCTCTCCGACCCCAAGGTCGACGAGAAGCTCGACGCTGGCGACAAGGAGAAGCTCAAGGCTGAGATCGACAAGGTTGTTGCTTGGTTGGACGACAGCCAGCAGGCCACCAAGGAGGAGTACGAGGAGCAGCAGAAGGAGCTTGAGGGTGTTGCCAACCCCATCATGATGAAGTTCTACGGCTCTGGTGGTGAGGGCGGTGCTCCCGGCGGCTTCCCTGGCGCGCCCGGCGGTGCCGCTCCCGGTGGCGCTGGCGGCGACGACGGCCCCACCGTCGAGGAGGTTGACTAAATTGGTGCGCATACCAGCCCTCTCTTTTCTTTAGCATAGATTCCCATCTATGATGGCGGTTCGGAGTTTTAGAGCCACTATAGGGTTTTGGGTTTGCATTGCTTGTGCTGGGTTCCTTTTCCTTTTTCATGATATCATGACGGCGGAATGAAAAGTTTGCTGTGCATGGGATTGCAGTTAATCTTTACCAATCATCACCAAGCATCCCCCTCAGGGGGGGGTGCCAAAAATATACTATTTACTACTACGTTTCGGTGCCTCTGCATTACAGCGTGAATACTGTAGAAAGGTGATGTCTTAAGTGGTCGTTTACTTCGCCAGACACTTGGAAAGCGGAAGTTTCAAAGCCAGATTAATCACATGACTCTTCATACACGGGCAGCTGAAGCAGATATGGAGTCGTAGACGTAATTTTAAATTGCATTTCTTCGTCAGTAGTCGAAGCACATAACCGGACGTAGATGTAATTCTAGGCGGGCTGCTTTTATGGGTACTCGAAGCAGACATCCGGACGTAGATGTGATTCTAAACGGGCTGCATTCATGGGTAGTTGGAGCAGACATCCGGACGTAAATGTGATTTCAAACGGACTGCCTTCATAGGTAGTCGAAGTAGATGTCCGGACGTAGATGTGTGTACACCTGTATAAGTGCATCCGGACATAGGATTCCACTACCCACGGAAGGTAGATATAGCTACGTTAGTTAACTTTATAATCCAACAGTGTTTTTCCCGTAGACATAGTGTTAAGAGATCCAATCGATGGCAGTGGAATACTAGATACATGTTGGCCAAGATGCGTTTCGGATAGATCGCTCACAGTTAAGTCGACTTTTAAGAGATGAGTATTCCTAGAATATCTACATATCCGTACACTAAACCCCGTTGCCTCATGGGAATCTCGGCCCGCTCTTATGTAGCGTTTTTGGGTATCATTTTCTCACTTCAACGCCTCAAAAACTTTCAACAACGCCAACCATATGCATTATTCATACTCCAGCGCCGGCTCGACAAGGTATGCACCTTTGGCCTCTCCCAAGTAAAGCCATCTATGCTCCCACCGACTACGCCGTTGTCTGCTTCCGCCTCTGGGGCAAGCCCGGAATCTCGATCTGATCCGGGTCCTTGGTGAAGGGATTGCGAAGCTCCTCACCGGGCTTACGCTCCTCCCACACGTCCTCGCTGCTGGGACCGCTGTGGTACTTGGCCTCCTTCTGCCGGTAGCGCTCCGAGACCACGCGCGCCTTCTCGGGGGCGCCGTAGGAGCGGGTGCGCATGCAGAACCAGAAGTCGGACCAGTTCTCGGAGCAGGAGCGCATCTCGCCGTAGCGGTAGATGTTCAGGGCCTGTCCTCCCAGTGACTGGCAGTAGAAGGCCCCATCGAAGGCCTGGCGGCAGCTCATGGTGGTGGGGAAGGTGGACAGCGTGGGGTCGGCGGGCGTGCTGGACTCAGCAGAGGCATCCGTGGTAGTGGGGCTCGTGCCGCGACGCTCCTCATCTTGCTTGATGGCGGCTTGGAACTCGGCGATGACGGATTGCAACTCTTGCTCTTCTTTCTGCTCGCGCGACAGAGCGGCCGGAAGGTTGTCTGTTACGACGGCAGGCTTGTCGGTGACATCGCGGGGGCTGGCGGGCGGTTGCGACGATGTTGGAACCGGGTCAGGCGTGGGGTCGGAGGGCTTTGTGACGGGAGTTTGGGGGTCTGAGCTCCACCACCAACCCATTGTGCTCGTGTGGGAAGAAGAAAAGTCGCGGGTGGGCGGTTCGGACACGGAAGTCTGCGGTACGGGTAGCGGGCCGGTTGCGGGAGATGGAGGGCGAGGTGGGCTTGTCGACGCGAGACAGATGAAGGCGGCTCTCGAGCAGGATGCGGAGCTAGGCGGGGGTGTAAGACGATTGCAGCACTCAATGTCTGGCAATTAAGGTTGCGAGCCGGAATGGACGCCGCGATCTGGGCTGGAGACGCGTGAGGAAATTCCATTGGCCGCGAGTCAGTGGGGGAATGCAGCGGTCACGTGGCACCAACAGCTGCAGCCTGAGACGAAGAAATGATCGACGTCATCCTGGCGCATGAGCAGGAAAGATGGGAAAGCCACAGAGACGAGCGCGTGCATTAGGTGCTGCGTGTCTCCAGTGCAACAGCATCCGCATCGTTGCACGCGTCCTCGACTCATACCTCCACCAGTGTCGAATTTTTGCGGCTCAGGGCGCATCTCGTCGCATCGCGCTCCCCGCTCTGTGCTGGCAAGCCTGGCAGCTTCCATCAGCTGGCGCGCGCCGCTTGTGTCGGTGTCAGTGGGGTCGCTCTACTCACAACAACTTTCCCTCCGCCGCACCACCCAATCCCTCGACGCTTCCGCGCCACCTAACGACGTCACGTCTGCCTGCTTGATACCCACTCTGCTTATGGATTGATGATAGAACGCTTTTCTGCCTTCACTCAAATACCCTACAAACCTTGTACTATATCCATCCCAGGCCCGGGTAACGGCCACCTCTGCCCGCCATGCTTGAGGGTCTCGTCGCCAACCTGCTCAACCGCTTCCTGGGCATGTATGTCCAGAACTTCGATCCGAAACAATTGAACGTCGGCATCTGGTCTGGAGACGTCAAGCTCCGCGATCTCGAACTTCGCCGCGAAGCCCTCGATCAGCTCCACCTCCCACTCAACGTCGTCCAGGGCCATCTCGGCTCGCTCACACTTTCTATACCATGGTCGAACCTCAGAGGCAAGCCGGTGCGGGTGAGCATCGAAGATGTGTTCCTGCTGGCTGCGCCGAGGGAGGATGCGGACTACGACGCAGACGAGCAGGACCGGCGCGATCACGCGGTGAAGATGGAGAAGCTGGACAGCGCAGAGATGCTCAAGGAAAGGAACACCGATGGCATGTCTCAGGAGGAGCAGCAAAAGAACCAGAGTTTCACTGCGAGCTTGGTCACTGCCATCGTGGACAACGTCCAGGTGAGCGTGAAGAATGTGCACATTCGCTACGAGGATTCTCTGTCCGATCCCGGCCACCCGTTCGCGCTCGGCATCACCCTCGACGAGCTCAGCGCCGTTAGCACCGATGAGAACTGGAAGCCCACCTTCATCCAGAGCGCTTCCACCTCGGCTCACAAGCTCGCCACGCTCGGCTCTTTGGCGGTATACTGGGACACGGATGCGAAGCTGCTATGTTCGGGCACGGGCGCGACACAGCCATTGGACCATGCCGACTTTGTGGAGAAGCTCCGCAGCATGATCGTCAAGGGCGACAGCTCTACGATTGCTGAGCATCAGTTCATCCTCAAGCCTGTCAGCGGCAGGGCAGGCCTTGAGATGGACAAGACCGGCAAGACCGACCGACCCAAGATCAAGGCCCGTCTTCTCTTCGACGAACTCGGATTCGTCATCGATGAGGACCAGTACCGCGACGGCTTGATGCTGGTGGACCTCTTCCACTACTTCATCAGACACCAAGAATACAAGAGGCTGCAACCCAAGAGCCGGCCAAAGGAAGATCCTCGGGCGTGGCTTGAGTTTGCTGGAAAGGCAGTGCTGGACAAGATCCACGAAAGGAACCGTAAATGGTCCTGGGATTACTTCCGAGAAAGGCGCGATGACCGGAAACGGTACATCGAGCTTTTCAAGAAGAGGAAGAGAGAAGAGCAGCTCGCGCAGGATGAAACAAAGGAAATCGACCAGCTGGAGCGCAAGTTATCCTACGACGACTTGCGCTTCTGGCGTTCACTTGCCCGCAACCAGTTGCGCAAGGAGAACGTTGGCGTGAAGAAGCAGCCCCAGAAGCAGTCATGGTCGTCATGGATTTGGGGAGGCGCTGAGCAGGATTCTTCCGACGACAGTGAGATGTCAGAGAAGCAGCGAAAGGAGCTGTATGATGCCATCGATTGGGACGAGAAGAAGCAAATCACCGAAGCTGTTGATATGCCGCGGGAGTACGTGAAGATGCAGGTGGAGATGAGTCTTCGGACTGGTAGCTTCACGCTCAAGCGAGACCCCCATGGCAAGGCTACGGAGATTCTTCGTCTGCTGTTCGATTCTTTCAGCACCAAGGTCCTACAGAGAACCGATTCCATGCTTGCAGAACTCAGTCTTGATGGCATGCGGTTGTACGACGGCACCACGGAAGGCAGTTTGTTCCCTCAGATTGTCACCGTCAAAGATGCTCCTCCCGTGCCAGATGAGAAGCGCATCACAGAACTCAACGACGACGAAACCTCAAAAGAAGATGCCGACGAGGAGGTTGCCGATCCTTTCTTCCAGTTATCCTTCGAGAACAAGCCGCTGGACGGCAGCGCAGACACTGCTCTGACCGTGAAGCTGAAGGGTATGGAAGTCATCTATAACCCCAGATTCGTAGTCGAGGTGGTCAAGTTTTTCAAGCCGCCGGAGAGCCGCATGGAGTCGATTGGAGCGCTCATGGAGACTGCTGGTGCCACCGTCGAGGGCCTTCGACAGCAGACTCGTGCTGGTCTGGAGTTCGCTCTTGAGGAGCACAAGACCATCAACGCTCAGCTTGACTTGCAGGCCCCTCTCATCATTGTTCCCGACTCCGTTACCAAGGAAAGCAGCATTTGTCTTATTCTGGATGCTGGTCATGCCAAGGTCAGCAGTGAGCTCATCGACAAGGACACGCTGAAGGACATTCAATCAAAACAAAAGGGCCAGTTCTCTGAGGACGACCTCAAGCGCCTTCAGGGTCTGATGTACGACAAGTTCCTGTTGAAGCTCGACTCCACCCAAGTTTTGATCGGCCCCTCGATAGAGGAGACAAAGGCGCAACTGGTAGAGAATGATGGCTCGAAGAACCTCCACCTTGTTGAGCGTATCAACGTCGACTTCACTATCGAAACCTGTATCGTTCCCAAAGCCTCTGATCTGACCAAGTTCCGCATCTCGGGTAATCTCCCCGTTCTGCACGCTTCAATCTCAGACGCCAAGTACAAGAACCTCATGAAGCTGATCGAGGTTGCTATACCAAAATTCGAGGACCCACCTGCGCCTGATAAGCAAGTGGCGCAAGGCGCCACTGGACCTTCGAACCTAAAGCCCACCGACAATGCCAATAATGACCAGCTCACGAGGACGAGATCTAAATCATTCCAGTTCGCTGCGCAACAACGCGAGCTTGTCGTGTCAGACGCGGGTAGCGAGTTTGACGATGCCGAGTTCGAGGATGCAACTGACGGCCACAAATCCGATGTGCCTGTTCATCAGCGGAATTTTGAATTCAAGTTCACTGTGGACAAGTTGCAAGGATCCTTGTACCAATCCGACCCGGAAGGCAAGAAGCCAGATCAGCTTTTGGTCGAACTCGTTGCAGAGCATTTCTACCTCGAGTTCTTCCAAAGGCCGTTCGACATAGCGGCTGAGGTCCGCCTGAAGAGCATGGCGGTCGTGGACCATGTTGATCCAAACCCGCTACCAGAATTCAGGAATCTGATCTCGTCGGATGACGCTGGAGATAGGGATCTCTTCCAACTCAAGTTCGTCAAGGTCAACAAGGATTCGCCCGAGTTCATGCCCAAGTACGAAGGCATTGCGACAAATCTGGACGTCCATGTCTCCACCATCAACTTGATAGTAACGCGGGCGACGCTATTGACGTTGTTGGATTTCGTGCTGAACACCTTCACCAGCCCTGGACCATCTGAAGATAAAGATAAGAAGAAGATTGAGGACAGTCCTGAGGATGACGAAGAAGTCGCAGTCGCAGCTGTGAATCCCGACCCGGACAAGATTCGCATTAGAGCCAACCTCAAGGGAATATCGGTCATTCTAAACAACGATGGCATGCGCCTTGCAACCTTGAACTTGAGCACTGCAGATGTCGGTGTCTTCATTATGGGCAAGGCTATGCGCGTCGGTGGCAAGTTGGGTAGTCTCTCTTTGACTGACGACGTCAATCAAGGCGTCTCCAAGGAATCTTCCTTGCGTCAGCTTGTCACCATTGAAGGTGACGAGTTACTGGACTTTGCCTACGAGACCTTTGATGCGGACTCGAAGGCGTACCCTGGCTATGATACTTCCATCTACTTGCGCTCGGGCTCCATCAAGGTCAACTTTGTCACGGAGCCGTTCCGGAAGATTATGGAGTTCGGAGTCAAGTTCGGCAAGATGCAGGCCATCTTCAATGCTGCTCGTCAAGCCGCTGCAGAGCAGGCTAGTCAGGTGCAAGAGCGTGCCAACAAGATGCACTTCGACATCCTAATCCGTACGCCAATCGTCGTCTTCCCCCGCATGGTCGCCCCCGAAGGCCAGGCTGAGCGTGACAGGCTTACGGCACACCTGGGAGAAATCTACGCGAACAACAAGTTTGTGCCTCTTGACGACTCTAAGAACGCAGACACCGCCAACAAACTGTCTGCCGGTCTCCGGAACATTCGCCTGACCTCAGTCTTCCACTACGAAGAAGAGAAGTCGGAGGAGCTGGAGTTAATCGACAAGGTTGACCTGGGTTTCGACATCACCTATGTGGAGCACAAGCCTGAATACAAACGCCCAGACCTCGAGATCGAAGGCTCCATGTCTAACATCAACCTCAAACTGACACAGGAGCAAATGAGGTTCATGCTCGAGCTTTCCAGGTCCATTCCAGCTGCTTTTGCCACAGACCCTGAAGCAGCTATGAATGAGGATGTTGAGAGACAGGTGCCCGACTCGACGCTCAAACGCGCCAACACCATGAAGAGCATCGAGCAGGAGCCATCTAATGACAAGCAGATTGCCACCAGCCAGGGCCCAGAACTGGGCTCTCAGGAGGAGGCTTGGACGAAGCTCGACCTTGTTTTCAAGGTTGGCGCCATTGCTCTTGAGCTGATCAATGCGAAGGAGACGGAGCCTGTCGGGGACCTCGAGGCAGCAAGTCTGTCCAAATTCGCATTGAACGAGACCAGCGTGAAGATGCGCATGCTCAGCGACGGCTCGCTAGAATCGGAGCTTCTCATTCAGTCCTTCATGATCCGAGATACCCGAACTCAGGAGACGAACAAGTTCCGCAAGGTCATGTCCCTGATCAACAACGATGTCAAGCAACAGTTCATGGCCAGCGTCTCCATTTCTGGAGGCAAGGACCGCCACATGATCGTTCTCCTGACTGTCGACAGCCCTCGCGTCATCCTCGCTTTGGATTACCTCTTCGCCATCCAAGCTTTTGTCAACGCCGGTCTTTCTGTTGATGAGCCACTGGAGATCGAGAGCGAAGAAGATGATACCGCTACTGAGGACATCGATCATTCGACCAGCGACCTCTCCAGTGCCTTTACCAAGACGGGTGCTCAGACATCAGAAGCCAAGAAGCCTGAGGAGGAATCGACAATGGAGATGTCGTTCCGCATCAACGTTGTCGAGGCCCAGGCCGTCCTTATTGCGAACCCCGCGATGACCAACTCCGAGGCCATCGTGCTTGGCACAAAGCAAGTGCTCATCTCTAAGCAACACGCCACTACATTGCAGGTTGACAGAGTTGGAATGTTCCTCTGCCGCATGGACCAGTGGGAAACCACAAAGCTCCGTATCCTAGACGACTTCAGCATTCAGACTTCCCTCGATATGCGTTCGCAAGGCCCACAGTCATCTATGACAAGCATCCAAGTCGACATTGACCCGCTGGTGCTGCGTGTTTCGCTGCGCGATATCATGTTGGCCATGCAAATCTTCAACAAGGCCTCGGCTATGAACAGTAATGGAGATGCAACTCTGCAAGGCCAGGAACCCAAGAAGATTAAGGACGCCAAGACCAGTACCAAGAGCGCCCATGCCAAGTCCGCCGTCGGCGCGTCCACCAAGAACAAGCAGACTGCGAAGACGGTTTCAACTCACCGTTCGACGGCAGGAAAGGAGCTGGCCAAGGTACAAGATTCGACGGCAGTCAAGAAGGAGGAGATGAGGGTTTCAATGCGGGGCATTCGTGTCGTCATCATCGGCGATAAGCATGAGTTGCCTATGCTGGACTGGAGCGTGAAGAAGTTCGACGTCGAAGTTCGGGACTGGTCTGGCGCTATGGTCGCTGACACCAGCATCGACATGTTCTTCAACATCTACAACTTCTCCAAGTCTGCATGGGAACCACTCATTGAGCCCTGGCAGCTCGGCTTCCATATGGCCAAAGAGCAAAACCCCGACAAGCTAGCGGTTGAGCTCTACTCGCGGAAGTCGTTGGATCTGACGGTCACTGCTGCCACAATCGCATTGGCCTCAAAGTCGGCGGACTTCCTGTCGAGTGATGAAGACGTGCTCTCGAAGCCGCGCGGCACTGACGCCCCGTACCGCATTCGCAATTACACAGGCTTTGACATGAACGTCTGGGCTGTCCACGAAAACACCGATGATGGCTCTGCTGCCAAACTGGCCGATGGCCAGGAAGCACCATGGAGGTTTGAGGACCCGACGACCACCAGAGAAACTCTCGCACCAGAGGGTGCAACGGGTATTGTCGGCATCAAGCTGGAAGGCAGCGGCTTTGATAGTATCAACCGCATTCCGGTCACCCGGGAGGGCGAGTACATCTACAACCTTCAGCCTCGCAAGGATCGTATCCTCCACCGCATTTGTGTTGAGGTCTCGCTTGGCCAGGATAACGTCAAGTACATCACCTTCCGTTCCCCTCTCGTCGTTGAGAACAACACTCAGATTCCCGTCGAGATTGGTGTCTTCAGCCCCGAAGATGGAAACCTGCTCAAGATCGAGAAGGTTGCTCCTGGAGATGCCAGGCCTGCTCCCGTAGGCGCTGCTTTCATGCATTCGCTGATCATTCGCCCTGATCAAGGCTTTGGCTATACCTGGTCTAACGAGAGATTGTTCTGGAAGGACCTTCTAAAACGGCCCACGAGGATCATCTCGTGCAAAGGCGAGAGCGACAACGACTCTCCGGCTTTCTATTTCCAACTGCACGCAGCCTACGATAAGAAGGACCCGCTCACACAAGTGTACCCGTGCATGCGCCTCAAGCTGCATGCGCCCGTTGAAGTCGTGAACCTTCTGCCGTATGACTTCAAGTACAGGATCTACGATGACAACACGAAGAAGGATTGGACCAATTTCTTGCGCAAGGGAGGCGTCAGCCCCGTGCACGTCGTTGAACTTTCCCACCTGCTGCTCATGAGCGTTGATATGCAAGACACGCCGTTCAAGCCCAGCAAGTTCTCTGTCATCAACTCATCTGACAAGGAGAACTTCCGGCGTGAGAAGACGGTGGAAGTCAAGGACAACCAGGATCTGACATTACGTCTGAAGCTCCACTACTACAACATTCCGGACAGTGGAGGCGCTTTCAAGGTCGCGGTGTACAGCCCTTACGTTTTGCTCAACAGGACTGGCCTTGAGCTCGACGTGCGCAGCAAGGCATTCCTGGGTCAAGCGAAGGCTGCTGCAGGCGCCAGCGTGTTTGCAAACACGCAGGGCGATTCAACTAGGGCCCAGCCGTTCATGTTCTCCTTCCCTACCGACGACCACAAGAACCGTGCGCTCATCAAGGTCGGCGACACGAATTGGAGCAAGCCTCAGAGTTTCGACGCAATTGGTAGCACGTACGATGTCGCGCTTCCGAGTGTCCAAGGAAGATCAGAGATGCACGTGGGCGTCACTGTTGAAGAGGGAGAGGGCAAGGTAAGATTGACCTTTTGTTTGGGGACGAACAGTGCTAATGATGTGTAGTACAACCTGAGCAAGGTCGTGACCATTGCTCCGCGGTACATCATCAAGAACAAGATGAGCGAGGACATCAACATCCGTGAGCCTGGCTCCTCAAACATCTTGACCTTGAAGAACAGCGACCTTCTTCCCCTTCGTTATCTGCGCTCTGGTGAGCGGCAACAGCTTTGCCTGTGCTTCCCTGGCGTCAACAACCAGTGGTCGGCGCCTTTCGACATTGCAAATGTTGGAAGTGTCCATGTCAAGCTCGCCAAGGCTGGTCAACGCCAGAAGCTGATCCGCGTTGAGATTCTCATGGAGGGCGCGACGATTTTCTTGCACGTCAGTGTTGAGACCAAGCACTGGCCCTTCTCCATGCGCAACGAGAGCGATACGGAGTTCTTGTTCTGGCAGACTAATCCCAACGTTGATGAGGATGAGGAAGACAACGGATCCGGGTGGCGCCCTGTCCGGTACCGTCTCCCACCCAAGAGCATCATGCCGTACGCTTGGGACTACCCCGCCGCCAAGAACAAGGAGATTGTGCTCAAGGCCAACAACAAGGAACGGCACATCAAGCTCGCCGAGATTGGCAATCTGGTCCCGTTGAAGCTCCCGCCGCCCCAGAACACTAACCGCGGCAAGATCATCGACCTCAGTGTCGTAGCTGATGGGCCGACGCAGACGCTTGTCATTTCTAATTGGAAGCCCTCGAAGAGTTTGTACAAGCAGAAGTCAGCCACAGCGTCCAGGTCTACCACGGATGGCTTCGAGGTCAAGGACATGGACATGGACGTTACGTTCAAGGCTAAGCTGCGTATTGCTGGCATCGGCGTCTCTCTCGTCAACAGACAGCTTCGCGAGCTTGTCTACATCACGCTGCGTGACATCGAGCTCAACTATGGCGACTCGGCGTTGTACCAGCAGTTCTCGAGCACCATCAAATGGATCCAGATCGACAACCAGCTCTACGGTGGTATATTCCCCATCCTATTCTACCCCAGTGTCGTTCCCAAGACGGGCAAGGAGATGGAGGCGCACCCGATTCTCCAGGCCTCCATCACGAGGGTCAAGGATGATTCGTACGGCGTGCTTTACATCAAGTACTTCTCTTTCCTGTTGCAGCAGATGACGCTCGAGATCGACGAGGACTTCATCTTCGCGCTGCTTGATTTCGCCAAGATTCCTGGTGCGTCGTGGTCCGAGGTCAAGGAGGGTAAGCTCTGCGAGGAGGAGCTCGATATCCCGGAGCCGAAGCAGGAACAGGGTGGCCAGGATGTCTACTTTGAGCTTCTACACCTGCAGCCGATGCAGTTCGATCTGTCCTTCGTCCGCACCGAGCGTATCAACGCCGAAGACACGATGACGTCCTCGAACCCCTTCATGTTCGCCGTCAATGTCCTCACCATGTCTATCGGTAATGTCAACGATGCTCCTCTGCGGTACAATGCTCTCATCCTAGAGAACGCCCGTGTGTCCGTCGCAGCTCTCGTCAACAGCATCAAGAACCACTATGTCCAAGAGAGTTTGCGGCAGGTCCATCTCATCCTTGGTTCCGCCGACTTCCTCGGCAATCCTGTCGGCTTGTTCCAGAACGTATCTTCTGGTGTCACGGATATCTTCTACGAGCCTTACAAGGGTCTCGTCATGACGGACAGGCCTCAAGATCTTGGAATCGGCATCGCCAAGGGTGCATCTAGCTTTGTCAAGAAATCAGTCTTCGGTTTCTCCGACAGTATGGCGAAGTTCACCGGCAGCTTGTCAAAGGGTCTTGCCGTTGCCACTATGGACCAGGAGTTCCAGAACTCCCGTCGCATGAAGCGTTCGAGGAACAGACCGAAGCACGCTCTGTACGGTATCACCTCCGGCGGCAACGCATTCGCAGAGAGTCTGGCCAGCGGCATCGGCGGCCTCGCCCGCCACCCACTTCAGGGTGCGGAAAAGGAAGGTGCACTTGGCCTTGTCAAGGGCATTGGCAAGGGCTTGCTAGGTGTTCCGACCAAGGCTGCCATCGGCGCCTTCGATCTCGCGTCCAACATGGCCGAAGGCGTACGCAACACGACCACTGTCTTCGACCAAGAAGGCCTCGACCGGGTCCGTCTCTCCCGGTTCATCGGGCAGGACGGCATCGTGCGGCCGTACAGCCAGCGCGAGGCGCTCGGCCAGTTCTGGCTCAAGACGCTGGACAACGGCCGCTACTTCAACGAGGACTACATCGCGCACCTGGAGCTGCCCGGCAAGGACCTGCTGGTCATGTTGACGTACAACGGCATTATGCTCGTGAAGACGCGCAAGCTGACGACGGAGTGGGACGTTCCGCTCAAGGACATCCAGACCATCAGCAAGGAGCGCACTGGCATGAGCATCACGCTCAAGGGCGGCACCAACGGACCATTCATCCCCGTCGCGGACGAGCAGAGTAGAAACTGGCTGTACAGACAGGTCGCGGTTGCGGTGAACGCGTACAACGACAAGTGGAATGCGAAGGGTTAATTGAGAGAGGGGAGTTTGAGTCGTAGCCTTGGGATGGGGATAGGTGGTGAGCGTACGTACACCCGGTGGATTTCGTGATTGCTCCTATTGTTTGTTCCTGTTAGTTTTCTCTTTGTTTGTACGAATCATTAGAGTAGGGGTTGCATGGACTGGAGAAGGCGGATTAGCGAAAATCGTATGTTCAGTGTGGGATGGTAGGCAGTTCTGGCTAGATTGAACATTGTTTCTCCTCTCCTCTCTTCTCTTCTCTTCAACTTTGGATCCTGCTATGGGGAGTACATGACCTCATCTGCAGAAAACCGCAATCTCTTCCCCTCCCTTATTTAAACCTCTCAATGAGGTACCAAGATCAAGTCTTTTCCCATCATATTTGGCGGGATTCAATACGATTTATTTGAGTAGTAGTCGCAGTCGAAATCGGCGCTTTGACTTGTATGCGTTGTATTTTTTCTTATTTTTTTTTTGGAAAAGCATTCATGTCTAAGTGTTTGCTGTAATTGCGGCACTCTTGGGGCAGAACAGGTCGATCCCAATTCGCCGCTTTCAATAGCACATCCACCTCTTTGCTTCGTTAGTGTACTTCCATAGAGATCATGCACGAGTTAGAATGGTGGCCCAGGCTGGAGAATGGCAGAGCTCTTGCCGTATCTTCGTTCCAGTCTTTGTAGTAATGTTGAAGACGGCCTGAAGTTGCCGCCTTGAGTATCCAGTACCTGGTGAAGCCACACAGAGGGGGCCCATGGAACTTTCTCAGGGCCCAATAGCGCCGGACGTCGCGGATGACATAATAGACAATCACCGCGATGGCAATGATGCCAGCTACGAAGACCATGGTGATCTGTCGAAGGAGAGGGGGATTTCGCACGCTCAAACGCGCAACGCAGAGGTTCAATGGGATTATATCAGTTTCCAAGCCGGCAAGGTATCCTGGCGAGCAGATCGGAGATCAGGCTCGAACAAGACTCGGTCGAAAGAATGCTGGGAAGACTTGCATATTGACCCCGCAGCTTGGTAGCCATCCTTTTCGCCTGCATAATGGGCTGAGACAGGAAGTGGTTCGCCGACAAGTGTGACGATGCGTCTTCGCGGTGGGGTGGGCAAGGGAAAGCGTGCCTCAGGCATGGGGTGCGGCGCCAAGGAGCCACGGGAGCCGGCCGGTTCACCCCGCAAACAAAGAGTGGCGACAGTGGCGCTGCACCCGGTCCGCCCGAGCTGCCCGAGCTGCCCGAAGATAAGCCCGCTGCATCGCCACGGCTGCGGCCACCGGACAGTGGCGAGCCTGCTCGAATCTTCACGCTTGGCTATCGGGCAAGCTGCCACACTGCCGCCGTGATGACCTGCGCCTGCGGGAGCCCGCGGGCCGGGGGGCGGCCAGCTCCCCGTCTTTGACTCATTGGGCCGATAAGGGCCTGGCCGTGAACGTCATCGTATGAGCACGCCCCAGGAGCTCTTCAGGAGATGGTGCTGGCGACGGCGGCGGCGGCGGCGACGGGCACGAGGATAGAGGTTCAGATAACTTCAGAGTAATGGCGGCCGTGTTGCTGTCGCTGCTGCACGCCACGTGCGGCGTCGCGGCTTCCAGAAGCTGCTGGCACTGGCTGCGCCTGTGGTTGCCTTGCTCAGGTCGGCAGGCGGTACTGGTGCCGCTGGGTAAGCAAGCAAGCACCTGCGCGCCGATGCCCGCCCGCCACTCCTCCTGCCGCCGCGCCTACTTAAGCCCCAACGCCCCCAGCTCTGCTGCCTCTCCTACCAACCCAACACCCGCCACCCGCTCCATCTGCCTTTGCGCTCCACTTGCCGTCGCATTCTCATCAACACACCCTCTCAGACCGACACAACCACACCACCATGCAGATCTTCGTGAAGACCCGTACGTTCCCCTCACCGCCGCTGCTGCTGTCGCCTTCAGCCTGCTGACATGTCGCGCAGTCACCGGCAAGACCATCACCCTTGAGGTCGAGTCGTCCGACACCATCGACAACGTCAAGAGCAAGATCCAGGACAAGGAAGGCATTCCCCCGGATCAACAGCGCCTGATCTTCGCTGGCAAGCAGCTGGAGGATGGTCGCACCTTGTCCGACTACAACATCCAGAAGGAGTCCACCCTCCACCTCGTCCTCCGCCTGCGCGGTGGTATGCAGATCTTCGTCAAGACTCGTACGTGCCCGCTCGCCCCCAACCCCATCCATCGCAATATGCTGACGTCATCACAGTGACTGGCAAGACCATCACCCTTGAGGTCGAGTCCTCGGACACGATCGACAATGTCAAGTCGAAGATCCAGGACAAGGAGGGTATCCCCCCGGACCAGCAGCGCCTGATCTTCGCTGGTAAGCAGCTTGAGGACGGCCGCACCTTGTCCGACTACAACATCCAGAAGGAGAGCACTCTCCACCTCGTCCTCCGCCTCCGTGGTGGTATGCAAATCTTTGTCAAGACTCTCACCGGCAAGACCATCACCTTGGAAGTTGAGTCCTCGGATACCATCGACAACGTAAAGTCCAAGATCCAGGACAAGGAGGGCATCCCTCCGGATCAGCAGCGTCTCATCTTCGCGGGCAAGCAGCTGGAGGACGGCCGCACGCTTTCGGACTACAACATTCAGAAGGAGTCGACTCTGCACTTGGTGCTGCGTCTGCGCGGTGGTATGCAGATTTTCGTCAAGACCCTGACTGGCAAGACTATCACGCTCGAGGTCGAGTCTTCGGACACCATCGACAACGTGAAGAGCAAGATTCAGGACAAGGAGGGCATCCCCCCGGACCAGCAGCGTCTCATCTTTGCTGGTAAGCAGCTGGAGGACGGCCGTACGCTCTCCGACTACAACATCCAAAAGGAGTCTACTCTGCACTTGGTGCTTCGTCTGCGTGGCGGCCAGTAGACGGTTGGAAGAGGATTGCGTTTCTCGACACGGGCACGGCGTTTGGGCATAGGCACTGAAGCATGGCCCGGTGCCTTTTTAGATAATGTTATGAAAGTATGAGCCTACGGGCTTGGCCTGCGGGCCACATTTCCACGTTCAAAAGTGCTTTCCTGTTGGGTGCGTGCGTGCGTGACATGGAGTGGTGATGACGACTTTGTTGAGAGGGGGAAAACCCCGCTTGCGTGTTCACATGTTCCTAAGACGCATGCGGCCAAGCGACGCCGCAAATCCAATTCAACCACACACTACTGGACTTGGTCCACCGACTCTCGTAGCCGACACGCTGTGCTGTGACCAGCTGCCGAGTGTCGACTCCGGTCGGCATGGGCGACCTCGGTGACGAGGGCAGATCGGTGTAATAAGCTCGGGCTCGTGCCGCCCCGCCCTGCTAAGCAACTGTGGAGACCAAGCTGAGTTGCTGAGTCATCACTACTTCGTCCACAGACGACCAAGTACATAAGAATTGTTATTTCCGACGCTCACGGAGAACGCGGAGACAACAAAGTGTTAGCTCCGACTCTATTGTACTATGCTGTCACGGGTCAGCACACTAGTTTCTAACAAGTGGCGGGGAACACCATGATGGCGGGACGTACAGACTGAATGGCCACTCAATCGGCCGCCCTTGTTGCCTGATATTCAGACCCAGTGGGGGCGGGTAAATATGCGGGGCGCTGATTACTCGAATAGAGCGGAGTTTAGCGGCGGTGATAGGACGGAGAAAGCACAGCAGCAAGAAAGATAAAAGGCCATACGGCCACGCTCGACGCTTGTCACCCATTGTTACCACCCGACAAAAGGCCCCCACTCACAAGAACGAAACCACGATAAACAATGGCTGCCGAGTCGAAGATGCAATACGTCAAGTACGTTCTACCAACACCCTTCCGGTTGAAGAGCTGCTGCCTCCTTTGTGCTTTTTTCCTTGGGGCACGCAGCTTCGGCGTGAGTGTGGGAGTTTTCGAGCTCTTGGGTCATAATTGCGGATAACCGCGGCATGCGGTGGCAATTTGGGGTGACAGTGCTTGATTGGCGGGGATGAGAGAATGAGCGTGTTGGACTGACCTGTCAAACAGCCTGGGCAAGTCTGGCCTCAAGGTCAGCAAGGTCATCCTCGGCGCCATGTCGTACGGCTCGAGCGAGTGGCAGGAGTGGGTGCTGAACGAAGCCGACGCGCTGCCCCTCCTGAAACACGCCTACGACAACGGCATCAACACGTGGGATACCGTGAGTTCCGATTCACAAAAGACACCCCGCGTACAAAAGCGCTCAAACGACTGACTGACTGACTGACTGCCTCCAGGCGGACATATACTCGCACGGCCGCAGCGAGGAGATCGTCGGCAAGGCGCTCAAGCAGTACTCGATCCCGCGCGAAAAGGTGGTGATCCTGTCCAAGTGCTACTTCGGCGTGGCCGAGGACGGCACGCAGCCGCCCATCGCGGCGACGGGCGCCAACGACGGGGCCGAGTACGTCAACCGCGTGGGCCTGTCGCGCAAGCACATCCTCGACGCCGTCGATAAGAGCGTCGCGCGCCTGGGCACCTACATCGACGTGCTGCAGATCCACCGCCTCGACCGCGACACCCCCAAGGAGGAGATCATGCGTGCCCTGAACGACGTCGTCGAGAGCGGCAAGGTGCGGTACATTGGTGCGAGCTCGGTAGGTGTAGTAGTACTTTTCTCTCTCTCTCTCTTTTTCCTTCCTTATATATATATGTTCCCCCTCCCCAGCTCCCCCATCACCAAAAGAAGGAAAACAAAAAGGAAAGACGAAAAGAAGAGAGAGAAAAACTAACACACCCCGATCAAACATGAATAGATGGCAGCATGGGAATTCCAGCTCCTCCAGTCCATCGCCGCGACGCACCACTGGCACCGGTTCATCTCGATGCAAAACTACCACAACCTGCTCTACCGCGAGGAGGAGCGCGAGATGATACCCTACTGCCGCGCCACGGGCGTCGGCCTCGTGCCGTGGTCGCCCGTCGCGCGCGGCGCCCTCGCCCGCCCCTTCGCCTCGCGCGGCGCCACCCTGCGCGACCGCACCGACAACTTCCTCAACGCCATGGTGCGCGGCCGCGAGGGCGAGGCCGACGCCGACGCCGCCATCGTGGGCCGCGTCGAGGAGCTCGCCGGCAAGCGCGGCGTGAGCATGGCCGCCGTCGCCACCGCCTGGGTGCTGGCCAAGGGCGAGTGCCCCATCCTGGGCCTGTCCACCAAGGAGCGCATCGAAGAGGCGGTGAGGAACAGCAACTTCGTGCTGAGCGACGACGAGATCAGGTATCTCGAGGAGCCGTATAGGCCAAAGGCCATCGTGGGCTACTGAACAGAGGGTGGGGGGAAAACTTGAGACGTCGTCTTTACCTGTCAGATATTGCGTAAGTAGATTAACACAACGATTCGCATGAACGCCTGTTTGGTCGATTAATCGTTGAGTTATGTACGTGCAAACTCCAAAGCAAGTAGAAATAATGATGATGAAGTATAGGTGCCAAGCACGAGCAAAAAGCCTTGGCATGAGGGTTTTTTGGTCGACCATTAAGGCATAATATTAAGAGTGGTATCAACGATAGATGTCAATGCAAATAACTCCACAAGCCCCTTTACTTCTTCTCTGCGTTTCGGAAGTGATCATTTGAATCACGCCTTGGGATGATCCGTCTCAGAAACCTTGTCCGTGGGTCCAGCCTCCAGCGAACTCGAGGACCGATGCGTACCATCAACGACGCCCTCTCCCTCATCCCGGCGCCAAAAGTCCTTCTTGCCCCTAGCGGCACGCATGAGCCACGGAGGGAAGATGCCACCCTCGATCTTGTACGTCCAGGGGTCCTTGACATCCTTGTCGGCGGGCTGAAGACGGCCGCCTGAAGCCAGCCCAATGAGCCAAACAAGAGTGTTGATGAGGATGTAGGAGCAGATGCCGGCAATCAGACCATCGGCGATGGAGTAGGTGAAAGGCATGATGGCAATCGTCAGGAAAGCAGGCACGGCATCGCCGAGGTAACCCCAGTTGATATCCTTGGCAGCCTTGGCCATGAGCGAACCCACGATGATCAGCGTGCATCCAGTAGCCCAGGGAGGGATCGACGCGAAGATCGGGGCGAAGAAGATGGAAATGAAGAAGCAGAGACCCGTGACCATGGCAGTGAGGCCCGTCGCACCACCTTCGGAGATACCAGCACCGGATTCGATATAAGCAGTGACGGGGGAGGTGCCGAAAAGGGCACCAATCGAGACACCGAAAGCGTCGATCAAGTAGGCAATCGCGCTGCCCTCAAAATCTTGAGTCCTCTCGTCGATGGCGCCGCAGAAGCGAGCCATGGAGTACATGGTACCAGTGCAGTCGAGAATGTCGACATAGAGGAAGGTAATGAAGGCAAGGCCAAATTGACCACCGTACTGGGAAATGTCCCACTCCTGCACGTCAAGCACGCGCTTGATGGGGTGGAAAGTGACGACTTTCTTGAAGAAATCAAAGGAGCTGTTTCCGGTCGCGGTATACGGGAAGTACGTAACGGGAGTGGGCCTGGGCCAGCTGATGATGGAAACAAGCAGGATGCCAATGATGATGGCGCCCTTGACGCGGTACATCATCAGAATGACCGTCATGAAGCCGCTCAAGAATATGCCGATCCACATGGCAGGGTTGCGCATCTTTTCCGACGAAGGGCAGAGTCCAGTGTCCGGGTCCTGAAATTGGGACTCGCAGCCAGCAAGCTCCAGGGGCGTAGATGTCGCACCAACGACTGCGCCAATACCGGCAGAGTATGTCAAGCCAATCAGAGTCAGGTATAGACCAATTCCGACCCCGGTAGCGAGCTTAATGGAGGCGGGGATGGCACGGGCAAGCCATTGGCGGAGACCGAAGATTGTGAGGCCCACGAAGACGAAACCTTCGACGAAGACGGCGGTAAGCGCTACCTTGTAGGGAACGAGGCCGGAGCCGTGGTAGCCGACGACGGTGTAGGCGAAATAGGCATTAAGCTGCTTGAATCAGCATCCACGAAACTTCCCGCTGCGGAAACATGTGTGCTTACACCCATGCCGGGAGCCAGGGCGATTGGCATATTGGCGAAGAGACCCATGCAGAAGCTGCACAGGGCGGAGATTGCAGCAGTGGCAGTGACGAGATCGCGCTTGACCTCCTGCACACACAGCATGTATTCGTCGTTGGTCTCGCACAAATCGGCCATGCTCTCTGCCGGACACACACAGGTGCCGCCAGTCTCGGAAATAATGGTGGAGTTGACGGAGATGATGTAGGCCATGGCGAAGAAGGTGGCTAGACCGGCGCGGATTTCGGTGAAGAAGTACGAGTTCTTGCGCTCCTTGGGCTGTGGGAGCGGTCAGCAGCTGGGCGGGATGCAAGAGAGGTTGGACTTGCATGGCCGCTGTTGGCGAGGCGGAAGTACCTGCCAACAGGACTCTGCGCAATGCGCAGGTTGGCGTTGTGGATCCAGGTCATGGTGTGGACGTGGTTGCAGTGCGCGATGACGGGCGCGCCAAAGGCCTTGGAGGCTTCAAAGTCTGAGTTGGAGTCTGGGTGAGGCGAGCATCAGGCGGTGCAGTTGCAAAATTCGAGCCTCGGGTGTTATAAAGAGCCGGATCCATTTATCAAAGGTAGCACCAGCCGCGTGCTTCACAGATAAGGATCCTCTTGGCAGCTTGGCCTGGCTTGCGGCGAGACCAGCGTGTGGCGACATCCTGCCAATCGAGAGTCATGAAAGACGCGAGCCTCGGAGCGCCAAGTGGGCTGACGACTCGGCGCCAAGCTGGCTCGCGATGTGCCGGTACCGGCCGGCACTGTGGTGGCTTTGGCGTGGGTGAAACGCGGCTGACAGCCGTTTAGAAATGAGAATGCTAATGACGCGGAGATATCGCCTTGGCTCTCACTGGCCAGCTACCGTGAGCCTGGTGGAGGGCGCCGCCGCGGCGGCGCGGAGAGGGTGCGTATCTGCTGTGGCGGGCAGCGGGCGTCCTGGGGGCCGCCGCCGCACAACACCAAAGCGCAAGCGAGGCATTGCTCCGCGACGTGGTTGTGGAGCATCTGCGCCGCTGTTGTCGAAGGATGAGTGCTGATCCAATGCTACTCGTCAGGCCAGAAGCGTGGCCTGCAGGGCGCCGTGAGCCCCTGTTTGCGCGTAAAAGTAGACGACATGGCGACTCGTCGTTTCGGCGGCGGCGTCGAGGCCCGTGTCGCAGGATCGCACTCGCGGCGGCGGCGGCGGTCTGGATGAGGAAGGACGTCGTGTGGAACGTCGAGGAGCGTCGAGGTTCGACGCGGCGGCGGGCCTGTCCTCAGGGCAGGCGGGCAGCGCTGGGCTAGCCGCTTTGGGGAGCGGCCTTGGGGAGCCGCAGCGCGGGGCACGGGGGACTGTTCAGGACTGCTGCCCCGCAATTTTTCTTCAAGACAGCTCCAAGTTATACATACACCATCGTGGGTGCTGGTTTTGCTCGCCCGCCGCGACACGGCCCGGGCGGCGAATGAGCGAGCGCACGCAAGCCGTCGGTGGGTTCGTCCACGGCGCCGCATCACTGCTAGTTTCGTCGGAACGGGAAACCTTTGCCCGCGCGCCCGCGCACTTGCGGAAATCTTAACACGACCGCCTTCTCGCCACGTGACTTCACCCTCAACCACCGTCGTCCATCGTGGCTGCTGCCGGGCCTGCCTTGCCCCAGCCAGCTTCCGCTTAACAGCTCTGCAATGCCCGCAGTCACCCGAGGCCGCCCATATAAGCTGCTGGCGCTGCCGGCGCTGTCGTGAACCCGCAAGCATCCGAGTCTCAAATGCCCCGCTCAGCCGTCGCCACCTCAATACGCTACAGACCCTCGCTGAAGCCGGCATATCCCTCGCTCTGCTCCAACTTCCGCTTCAAACCCCTCGCGAGACCCATCATGGCGAGCTTCCACACCACCCCCGCTGCCGCCACCAACGGCTCTGCAAAGCGGTCCATCCAGCCGCGCGCCTGGTCGCTGGACGAGTCCATCTCGGTGAAGGACTTCGCCGGCCTCTGCGAGCAGACCGCCACCACCGACGACTACCCGCTCGCAGCCGCCGTGGAGAAGAACATCCCCGTCTACGATCTCGCCTCCTTCTCGCTCGACGACCAGGCCGCCATCGACCGGCTGCAGGACGAGTGGAACCATGTCCTGCTCTCCGGCCCGGGCGTCTTTGCCGTCAAGAACCTCTACACCGACCACTCTGCCATCAACGCCGCCAACAAGGCCTACGATGACATCATCGCCGCCGAAGCCTCGGGCGCCAAGGGCGACCACTTCGCCGCCTCGTCGGCCAACTCGCGCATCTGGAACTCCTTCAGCAAGCACGGCCTGGCCGACCCGAGCTCCTTCGTCGCCTACTACTCGAACCCGTGGCTGTCCCACATCTGCGCCGCCTGGCTGGGCCCCGCCTACCGCATCACCGCCCAGCTCAACATCGTGCGCCCGGGCGGCGCCCCGCAGGTCTCGCACCGCGACTACCACCTGGGCTTCCAGACCGCCGACGCCTGCGCCCGCTTCCCCAAGGCTATGCAGGTTGCGAGCCAGCTGCTGACGCTGCAGGGCGCCGTCGCCCACAGCGACATGCCCCTGTCCTCGGGCCCGACGCGCTTCCTGCCCTTCAGCCAGCAGTTCCCCCAGGGCTACATGGCCTACCGCCGCCCCGAGTTCAACGAATACTTCCTCTCGCGCTGGGTCAGCCTGCCGCTATCCAAGGGAGACGGCGTCTTCTTCAACCCCGCCCTCTTCCACGCCGCCGGCGCCAACGAGAGCTCCGACATCGACCGCAGCGCCAACCTCGTCCAGATCAGCTCCGCCTTCGGCAAGCCCATGGAGACGGTCGACGCCCTGCCCCTGGTAGAGCGCTGCTGGGAGGATATCAAGGCGTTGAAGAAGCAGGGAGACGCCAAGGCGCGTGAGGTCCGGGCGCTGATCGCCGCCGTGGGCGAAGGCTACCCCTTCCCGACGAACCTGGACAAGAGGCCGCCCGCGCCGGGTGGAATGGCCCCTGAGAGCGAGCAGGAGCTGCTGCTGAGAGGGCTGGACGAAGGATGGAGCACCGAAGAGGTTGTGGCGAACTTGAAGCAGATGAGGGAGGACTCGAAAGCTTGAATGCAGGTTGCTGGTGATGAACGGTAAGCGTTTGCCAATTTGGACTTGAAGCGTTTTCACATATCGCATACTTAATGAGTTAACCACACTATCACGGATGAAGAAGGCACAGAGGTACAAAAAAGATTTTATCAAGCTACGGTTTTCCTTGAATAAGACATGAGTAGAGATAGATAGACACATAGACCGAACTCCATACCCGCCCTTTGACCAACCCATATCCATAGCCTAGACCCCCCCAAGGAAATTGAGAAACGAAAAATTCACTCCCTCACTCCCTCCCTCCTTTCCTTTCCTTCCTTCACAACTCCAGCTCCGCCTCCCCCCTATCCTCCTCCACTCGCCTCCACACCGCACCCACCCTGCTCAACACGCTCCCCCAAACGCTCTCATCCAACTCGCCCGACAAGCCCACAAACGCCCACCTGGCCCCATCCCTCGGCGGCTCCTGCCTCACGCACACCATCCCCTCCGGCAACTCCTGCGTCGTCCCCATCCCCGTCCCCGTCCCGGACGACGTAGCAGCAGCAGCACCGCTCCCCGCTCCCGCCCCCGCTCCCCCTTCCCTCGCATCCACCTCCCACTGCCGCCACGCCAGCCGCTCGACCCGCTTCCCCGCAAACTCGTCCCAAAACGCCAGCCCCGCGATGCGGTGGCTGCGCGGCGCGTAAAAGACGTCGACGCGGACGACGTCGACGGCCGGGCGACCGCCGCCGGCGGCGTGCGGCGCCAGTTCGAGCGCGCGCCAGGAGGGCCCGCCGGTGGAGGAGAGGGTGTGGAAGGAGGGGGAGCCGGCGTGGTGGGTGCAGCCGTCTTGTTTTTCGGGGAAGGTCTTGGACGGTGATTTGGCGGTGGTAGTGAAGCGGAAGCCGATGGCGCCGATGGCGTGGGAGGAGGCTTTGGAGAAGGAGGACAGGGAGAGGGCGTGGTGGTGGTACGAGTGCAGGCTGAGGCGGGCGAGGCGCGGCGGGGCGTCGTTTTCGAGGTCTGCGTTCTCCTCGGCCGCTGCGGACGACGACGACGACGACGCCACGCCGTCGGCGGGAGTGGTCGCCGCCGTCGAGGGCGCCATGGCGAGCGAGGTGAAGGGCTTGACGGTGCGGTTCGGGTTGGGCTCGTCGCCGACCAGGATGCAGTGCAGCTCGTCGCCGCGGGCAAAGGCCTGCGTGAGCCGCGCCGCCGCCGACGAGGGAAAGGCCGTGGGCAGGGCGTCGTTGCGCAGGGGCACGGGCAGGCGGGCCGCCAGGACTTCCGGGTAGGCGTAGTTGGGCCGCTTGAGCTTGGTGCGTTGCGTCTTGAGGCTGAAGTCGGCGTATGCGAGCTCCGGGTGGGAGACGAGGCGGGCGGCCTCCTCCGTGATCAGCGTCATGGCCTGGCGGCAGAGCAGCCGGGCTTCGTTGAGGGCGACGGGGTCGACCGGGATGGGATCGTGCGTCGCGTTCAGCTCCTTGAGGCTGCGGCCTTCGAGGATCAGGGGGTCGTCGATGTCGAATGTGTGCTTGCGCTCCTGGATGTTTGTCGACGTCGAGATGGACGCCAGAGTGGTGGGAGAATCAGGAGCGGAGTCCGAGGCCTTGCGCGTCTTGGTTGGCGACTCGTACAACAGGTCGTGGCCATCGTGCAGCGCGCTGATCCTGGCCACGGGCTTCCTGGCCTGCCATCTGGACGGGTCCTTGAGCACTGTTGTGGTGCAAGTCAGCAAGGAGCAATCTCTCGGAAAACTTGGGGAACGGGGCGCCTACTTCCACCAACCCTCTTCCACAACTTTTTATACGACATGAGCGCGTCGAACAGCTCTGCCGTGTACAGCGAGCACGGCGTGTAGTTCAGCTGCTGCAGCCTCTCCACCCACCCCTTCTCCTTGGCCTCCATCCTCCACTTCCAGGCCTGGAAGCCGCGCAAGCTCTCGTACCGCGTCAGCACCGCCGCCGTCTTCGAGCTGCTCCGCGCCACCATGGACGGGAAGGCGTTGGCCACGGCGACGACCGTGTTCAGCGACCACGGCACCTCGGGCTTCTTGATGTCGCCGCCGCCCGTCCAGTTGACCGAGATGGTCATCTCCGTGTCCTGCATCACTTCAGAGTGGTCCTTGTTGACGGCCTCCTGCGCGCCGATCGAGACGGGCGACGGCCCGACGGCCAGCGCGAGGTCGACCGCCTGCTTGACACGCCGCAGCCGCGACCTGTCGGCCACCTGGATGGAGATGACGGCCGAGAACTCGCCGCCCTCGAGGAAGCCCGAGATGAAGGCGTCGCCGTAGACGTCGGTGAAGTGCTCTGGCGGCATGTCGTCGACCGGGTTGAACACCATGTCCCCGCTGTGCATGTGCGTGTGGCTGGAGGACAGGCAGTTCTCGTTGTTGACTTTGACGCTGACGATGTAGTTGAGTTGCGAGTCGAGCACCTTGTTTTCGTTCACGAACCCAGCAGACGCGTTGCCGTGGATCGTTCCGTATTTGATGGACATGGCCGTCGAGATGTTGAGTGCGTCCATGATGTCGCTGACGTTGTCGATGGCGCGCGTGCTGTACGTCACTGTCTGGTTCGGGGGAGCGCCGTCAATGTCTGGCAACGAGAAAACTGCTGTCTCGACCGAGTCATCCACTTCCATTATGGAGGCTGCGGGAGACGGCATGCCGCGATCCTGTAACGTTTCCATGGTTGGAAGCTCGGCCAAATTCCCGGCATCTGCGGCAGACCTCTTTGGCGCAGGAGTCGGTGTTGACGGCTCACTTCTGCTCTGTGACTTGTTTGCCGGAGGAGGGGTAACTGGAGGCGTCACGATTGAAGGTGTGCCCTTCGCTGGGACTGCAAGCGTCCCATTCTTGATTGCCTTGGGAGCCACAACTTGGGTCGCTGTGGCTGGTGCCTTTGGCTTGATGGTAACGGCGTTCTCTATACGGATCTCCTGAGTGTATGTGTTGAAGCCTTGGCCTGCGCTGCCGTCAGTGAAGAATGATCAAGCCGAGATTGGGGCATACAGGAGGCGAGATGGGTATATGAGAACGGTGGGTGCTCACCAAGGCGCATGGCATTATCATAGGGAGCTGTGAGCGACATGACTGGTCGTGAAAACAAAGGCAAGAAGGGGTGAAATGTCAGTCAAATGATGGAGCGACGACCAAAAAGGAGAGAAGAGTGAAACTGAAAAGAGAATCTGTCCAGAAAGGCGCTCTGAGATCCGTCCCAGGCCTCCTCATATACCACTCCTTGCAAACCAGACGGCTGTTACACCAACCGTAGCGAACAATAACCACCCTCCACCACCAGCACTTGCATGCATAACCCTCAAACGACCCACCCACACCTTAGTCGCCTGAAACCTCACTTCAGCGGCCCACGCACCCTGCCCTGCCCCAAATTAGCATACAAAAAGAGGCACAGTGGACAGCCAGCCAGTCACGCCGAGGCAGACAAGGTTGCCTCTCACTCGCCTACGGTGAGACTCCCCTAAGTGAGGAAGAAGGGCAGCCCTAGGCTAACCCCGTACGACATGCAGCAAGCAAGTGCATCCTACTCCCGGCTCCCTCATCGTATTTCTTTTTTCTTTTCGTCATCTACAGGCTCCGTGTTTGCCTTGGCCGCCCGCAGCAGCAGAAGCCCCGTCCCACGCAAGGCTACAGAGCCCCTGCACGCGCAGCATGTGTGACGGGGATTGAGGCGCTTGTTTCTGCTGCGCCGCAGAGCCGCGCGAGGATGGGATGCGCTGAGTGGACAGCGTTAGATGGGCAGCACTTGTGTAGCCGCTGTGCGAGGGGGACCAACGCCGCACTCGTGCATGTGCTTGCTTGCTGAAGGTAGCCTTGTGAAGCCGTTGCGGTGTTCTGTTCCGGGTATGCCTTGGAAGAAAACATGTTGGCTAAGTAAAACAGACCACAGCGCAATACGGTCTCTAGCTCGAGGCCCGCAGAGCCGCATGTGCCTGGTTAAAGCGAGCGCATGAGGGTGGCGTGCGTGACTGGCTATAATCTGCAAGAATTGAGTAGGTGACATTGGGCGGGGATTTGTGTGGGGACTCTGCAGGGTGCTGGCTGATGTGAGACTATCGGGATCGGAGCCTGACGAGATCAGGAGTGGCTGTCTTTCCACGTACCGGAAGAGGACAGATAGCCGGTACATCAGACCCCATCCGTGACACTGGGGAGGCCAAGCACACTGTTATCAGTGAAGAAACTCGAGGAAATAAAGTTGTCGCGGCAATCAACGACGTGAAGACTGCCAGCGGCTCGCAAGCCAATCGCCAACCGGTAGAAAGATGCCGAGCAATGTTAGGCGCCGGCATTCAATCGAGTGCGGCTGGGATTCGGGTGCGGCGTAGTCCTAGGCGGCGGTTGTTGAGGCGCTGCAAGACTTGGCACGCCTCCAAGCAAGGCTGAGCCGTTACTCAGCTCTTGCGGTACCCCTCCAGATTGCGTCATGGAAGGATGAAGGAGCCTCAATCACGAGGGAGAAAGATGGTCGAGTGATCAGACGTGCCGGCATGTAGATGAAATGGTGGAGATCGCCTTCGGAAGTTGAACAAATGCGGATAATGGTGAAATCGACATTAGAAGAAAGTCAGTGAAAGTTGGCCCCCAAAGGCGATCAAGGCCCCAGTGAAAGAGGATGCAAGCAATCATATTGAATTGGCCTCCACCCAAAGGATCTGTCAATACTATGACCCCTGTGGCGACGAGGGGCTGAGCGAACCCGAGCAGTATGCTATTTCCTATCACCAACAGATGAGGACGGTCAGCCACCCGAGAAAGAAACAGCGATTGAATTGCTGCTGTCAAGTGAAACGATGCTCTAGATGATATCCTCTTTAGTACATCCAGGCCGCCGTCGGGGAATGCTTACCGCGCGCTGGGCCTCCTCAGCCACGCCCTACCTGGGCCCCTCCGCCAAACTGCCCCGCCAGCATCCCACCAAGCGTACCCCTCCTCCTCGCCTCGCCGTCCGCCTGCGCACCGTCACCGGCACCGCCCTCCCTACCCGTGGTGGCGGCCCCGTGCTCCCGCTCCATCCGCTGCCTCAAGCCCTCAAACTCGCGTCTGCCCCCACCGCCCTCGGCCTTCCTCTCGCCAACGACCCAGCCGGGGACCCGCCAGCCGCTCGCTAACGGCAACATCTCATTCCGCCACGCGTATCCCACGCACCAGCCGACCGCCGCGCCGACCGCGGAGCCGGGAAGCGCCGACAGCGCGAGTTGCACCGGCAGCAGGTAGTGCAGCGTCTTCGACGAGAGCGTTACCGACGCGTCGAAACCGCCTGCGCGTCGCTGTTCCTGCTGTCGGTGTCCCACCGCGTTGGCGGCTGTCGCGTCGCTGTTATTGGTGTTGGTGGCTGGTGATGACGGCGCCTTGGTCGTGAGCTTGTATCGGTAGATGCGCGGTATGGATGCGTGGTACTGGGCCAGGATGGCGAAGAGCAGCGGCATCGGCCCTGCAGGCAAGTAGTTCGCGTGGTTGAAGGTGAGCGGCCGCACGACGAGGGCGAGGATGAGCGGGGGGAGTAGCGTCGTGTAGGGAAGCGTGGAGACGATGAAGGACTGCGTGGGAGACGGGCGTGTTAGCATCCAAGTTGGTTGTCCGGGCATCCCGCAATGTATTGTGAAGGAGGTCTTGGAGAATGGCATTCGAGAGGGAGAACTCACGGCGAACTTGCGCGAACCCCAGAGCCGCTCAATGACGCGTAAGTTGTAGAAAGTCATGGCGGCGAAGAGTACCTCAGTGGAATTGGCGAAACAGGCCTGTGCGCTTGCGTGAGCTCTACCTACTTGAACTTGCCATGGGGTCATCACTCTGGTCTACACATGCGTACCTGCCATGTCAGAAGGCGCCAGAACTGGCGGTGCACCCAGAGGTGCGGGACGACTTGGATGTAGAGGAGATACTGCGAGTCGGTTATGCTGGCGAGAAAGGCGGCAGCAACCGTGTAGAAGACGAGGAACTTGGTGACGGGCGCATTGGTGAAACCGGAGGTGAGCATTGTTGCTCGCGCCGAAGCATTGCTGGGGTGTGTGGGAAGCGGGCGGTTGAGAGCTACGTAGCGTGTTGGAGCTGCGATCGTTTGACCGGGGGGGGGGTTCGCAGATCACTGTGCACGTGCGCAACACCAACGCCCCGCCACTGCGGCACAGTGCGTGATGGAAGAAATCGACCTACGACGGCGCTTGGTGTGGGCAGTTGAGGCAAGTGTGCTGTCGTGAATGCAGGTTTAATTGACCTTTTTCCATAGGTAGCTGAAGCAGACATCCGGGTGTAGATACGAATATCAAAGCTGTATGTGTACATACAAATGCATCTAGATACGGGATCCCGCTGCCCATGTGTGTGGGTCAGTTATCTCGTCATCTACTGTGGCGGGGAGCTTGTAAGTAGAGGTGGTCGTATTCCAAAACTCGCAATATTAGTCTATCGTAATTGTCGCTTGGTGCGATCATAAAGAGCACCCAGGAAGCCGCTTTTTCCTTTGCGCAGCAAACTCCGTATCCCAGTCTATAACCATTTTCCCATCCACGCTATTCCCACCAAAACAGAAACAAAACAATAGGGTATAGAAAATAGGAACCCGGTTACGGTCTGCGAACAGTGTGATTGTTCGAGTGCTCCCACCCGAACCACAACCATTACGCCGTGCTTAATCACAGCCCATGTCTGCCCCATGCGGCTTTGCTAAACCCCTCACCGTTGAAGAACAAGTTCCGGCCAAGCGCGTACTTGCCACTGGTACCCGGCCATCGCGGATACTGGCCAGATTGGAACTCAGAAGAGATTGTTGGTGCCTCGCTTGCCGTAGGTGTCGTAAGGTCTTCATCTTCGAACTGCGTCATATCGCTTTTCGTGTCTCTGCCGTCGTCATGAATGACAGTCCCTTCTGCTTGGTCCGAGCCTGCAATGCTTCGAATACCCCTAAGATAACGACATGGGCCCAGCAGAGACGGAGAAGCTGGGCATTGTGAGTGATCACCGAGTAGTCTAGCTCCATTTGCTGGACGATACGGGGATACGTCGAGATCCGAACCGGTTGTCGCGTCCGAAGGGGCATGGATGCTCTCGGAAAATGCTGGTGAGCCTCCGTCTCGTTCGCCGTCAAGGTAGACGCCACGTAGACTATGGGAATTGTTCGAGCTGGATGCTTTGCTCGAGGCACGATCCACGTTGGGGCTCCCCGATGCACGGCGAAGCGTGCGTCTGCGTTGAGCTGGAGAGGAACGGCGGGAATCGCCTTCATCGATAGCGCAGTCTCCTACGTTCGCAGTGGATGCACGCTCTCGGAGATCATGAAGTCGCATGTCCCCAGCAGACATTGTTCGAACAAGTCTGCTGTACCGTTGACTGAGCGGACGGGACAAAGTGAGGCGGACGGCCGTGTCGCGATGTTCGGGAGATGTGGGCGCACTGTCAAAGCCGTCCCTTTGACCTCCAAGCTGAGAAGACGCGGATTCGCCGGCCTCCCCGGTGGACTTGATCCCAGCCGAGTCAGGGCCGGTGCTGAAGTACGACGAGTCGCGCCGGCGAGGCGCAGGGCGATACTTGGCAAGCTCCGCTTCTAGTTCTTGTGCCTGATGCTCGGAGTGCAAGTACATGTCGAGAGCTTCTTTGATGGCAGCGTCGCGCTTCTCAAGCTCGGCAAACACCTCGCCGTTCATTTTCCAGGAGTCCCGCAGCTTCTGTTCGCAAGCATCGTGAGACCCACGGAGCTCCTCGACAAGATCGCGTAGAGCGGTATTCTCCTCCTGCAGGTCGTCTCTTTCTTCCTCGACAACGCTCATGCGTTCGAGCTTTTCCAATGTGTCTTCCAGTTCAGTCGAGAGACGGCGGCTGCGCTCTTCGACCAGAGTGAGTCTCAACTTGAGGTCGAAGTTTTCTTTGCACATCTTGTCCATGCTCGCCTGCTGCTCGCGTGTGCCCTTGGCAGCGACCTGGGTCCGCTGTGTCGAAAGGCCAGTTTGTTGCGAGGTAGCGCTCGAGATGCGGCTCGTCTGAGCGCGCGCTCTACGACGATCCTTCTTCAGCTCCTCGTCGGTGGCGAAGATGTAATCGTCCATTGCTCGCGCGGGCTGTGGATCGGATAGACTTAGCGACCTGGAAGACTGGTCGGTCATTCCGAGGTGGTGGCGTCGTTCGCGAAGCTTCTGGCGAAGGTAGTCTGACTTTGGCTCGGCGGTGATGGGGCTTGAAAGGAGAGGGGAGCGTTTCGGAGTTTGCAGCGCAGCGCGAGGCTCGCGGGTGAAAGGGCGGCCGTGATCCATGCTCAGAGACGGGGTCGGGGGGCAGCTTGGTTGTCGCAGTGCGGAAAGAGCGAGGCGGAGAGGCGACAACGAATTTGAGGTGAGACACGCCTGCAGTTCTGGGCGGTGGGGTCAGCAAGACAGGCACGGGTGCGACGGTGGTTGGACAGGGCGAATGCCGGGCAGCTGCTGCAATGCGCTGCTTTGTTGGACGACTTACAAGGCTGGGGATCACGGCGCAGCGAGGCGGGCGACGGTGGTTGGCCGGGGGGAGCATCCGCGTCGGCATTCCTGACAGCGCGCAGGTGCATGAAGGGGGGGGATGCGTGTACAAAAGAAAAGAAGAGCGGTTGAGGTTCTGCGGGAACTAAAGGGCGAGGGGAACCGTGGTTGCGACCGACGCGGGGCGAAGGGGAATGCCCGATCAGCCGCCCTCGCCAACGCTATACAGGCGATCTTGGGCATCCGCGACGCCGCCTAGTAGCAGGGCGGGAAGTCGCTCGCAAGCACCTCGGACGGCTTGGACGGCTCCATTGCGACGAGAGGGGGTGCGGAGAGCTGGCGCGGCGGTGCGTGCAGATGAGAGAGCGGCGCAGACAAAGACGGGCGGGCGTGGAACGCGGCGGGAACGAGACACAAAGGCTTGTCTTTTGCGAAGGGAGAGAGCAGCGCGGCGACTCTTGCTTTTGAAGAGGAGCGGTCGCAAAAATAATCGCGGTGGGAGCTAAATATTATTTCAGCGGGGCCAGATGCAGATTGTTCAGCTCTCGCCCCTTTCCGGCACTCCACAGCCTCCGCAGAAATCTCCCATGATCGGCCATTTGCTGGACACGGCCCACCCGGTTGCCCGGGCGCCCGCGATTCCCTTCCTCTCGTTCGGATCCACAGGGGACCCGGGAGCTTGCGCGGACTGCCGCTGCCTAGCGCCGTGGCGGCGACGCTGCTCTCCCGACTGCCCGCCATCCATAGTGCCACACCATTGCCTGGCTCGCCCACGATCCATTCGAGCATCCCTCTGCAGCGTCCTCGCAGCCCTCCTTGGAGCCGCCAGGAGCGGAACACCAGCCCTCCCTCCCCCGCGCGCTGCTTACCGCTGCTCCAGCGTCTGAACCACGATGCTACCCCAACCTCGTACCGCATTCCACGTCAGCCGTGCTATGCCTGTCGTGCCACTGCTGGGCCAAAACTCCCAGGACAGAGTTCGGTACCTCTTCTATCCCCATCGTCCAGCAGCGGGCCTCCCGAAAACGGCGCCTCCACGCTCCTCCGCCGCGTCTGGAACGCACCAAGCCCTCGGTGCAGATGTTATACGCAGACACCCCCGCGTCTTGATCCCACCAGAACCCGGCTGGGCTTCCTAGCACCGCTGCAATGTCAGCTTGAGAGTTGTGCGGGGAGCGGCTCCTGCTGACCACGCGAGTGTGCTGACAAGCCAACGAACGGTCGAGAACCGACCACCCTGGCTGATGCAAAACCTGTTGAAACTTGCGACCACCGTCCTGCCAAGTATCGTGGGTTTAGCCTTCCGGATGATCCTTGGGTCGGCCGGCCCGGCCTGCATTAGGCTATCTCGATGAGGAATGCGGAGAATCATTGTGTCTATCTTTACATGCAGCGTGGGGTGTATTATTGGTGCGTCACATCGAAGCTCAAGCTGCATTTCCGACCCTCCCTTCCCATTGTTCCCTCAATTCCTCCATCTCCTTCCAACACGCCCTTCCCAGCTCCTCAAACCCCTCCCTGTCTCCCTCCTTCAGGTCTACAGCACCCCGTCTCCGTCCTTTCCTGCCAGTGGCCTCCCCTACGATGCCACCCCAGCCCCATCCCTCGACTTCAGTGCGCGCCACCCTTTCGTGGCCTGCGCGGTCGGTCGAGCTTCCCCACTTACCCTTCCCTTCCCGCTCTTCTGCGTCATCCAGCATCTCCTGCGAGGCTAGGGCAAGCCAGACCGGAGCAACCGCCGCAGGGTACGGCCGCGTGGGGTGCCAGGGGCTGCCCAGCCAACGCGAGATGTAAGCCGCAAGCATCCACAGGTACGTCATCAACCAGGGGAACGGCAACGGGAAGATGCCCGTCACAACGATTCCCGGATGCGACAGATACATGCGCGGTCTCTTCTCGTCGGAAACGTCGTGTGTGGCCTGGCCATCTGCCGCAATGTATCGCGAGGTCCACGGACGCGTGGACGCGCAGTCGTAGGTCAAAGCAAGAAGGTCGGTCAAGCGCTTCGAGGCTTCGTACGGCTGGTCTGATTTGAGCCCCTGAAAGTCGGCGAGGGAGAACTCGGAGGCATACGCCTCGAGACTCGAGATCCAAACGATGCGGCCGCTAGACGGGCGAGCAGCCGAAAGCAGGGGAGCGCAATAGTGACCCAGGAGGTAATGGCCGAAGACGTTTGCGCAAAAGACCTCGCCAAGCGGCGGCTCTGCAGCGCCACCATCGACGGCCTGTGGCTTGGAGACCAGGCCAATGGCGGCCTTCTTGAAGCCAACGGGCCAGGTGGTGGAGACGACCCAGTCGGTGAGGATCTTGTAGATGGCCCAGGGCCAGTTGACGCCAGTCCACCCGCCTATGCCCGCGTTGAATATGGTAGCGTCCAGCTTCGGGATCGAGCGCTTCAGGCGGCGGGCACACTGTTGCACCGAGGCGATGGAGCACAGGTCGAGGATCTCGGGCTGGACACGGACGCGGGCCTGCAGGATCATGCTGATGCCGGGGATGGACTGGTCGGCCTTGCTCGAGGCCTTCTGGAGGTGAGCCTTCAGCAGGGCGGCGGTATCATCGCACTTGCGGCGGCTTCGCGTGGTGGGGATCAGGACGAGGGAGTGAGACTGCGGACGGGTTTGCAGGAACTCGTCGATCAGGCGGCAGCAGACGGCAAAGCCGATACCGCTGCAGGGCGCGTCAATACAAGGGCCATTGAGTGCATGCGCTGTACACACCTGTTCGCACCAGTCACGAGCACGTAGAAGGCGTCGTCCATGACAGCTGTTGCAACAAAGGGGGAAGGCGAAGCGACCGGGGAATTTTCTGCGCCCGCTCTAGCGCCTAGCGGGTGCCCCACGCTTCACCACCCACACCACCGATTCCACCAATGCTGCCTTGACTCGCCCGCAACCCACTCTGCCCCAACAACATGTCCGCCGTCTCACGCCCCGCGCGCCAATCGGAGGCTGCCCGCGCCGTCCCAGGCGGAGCTGCACACCCCGCAGGCTGCGATATGCAGGCAATCAGCTGCCATTCCTTCTGTTGAAGCTTATCGCCTCGCCCGCTCACCACCGCGCAAACCCCCCCGCTTGGGCCTCACTGCGCTCACCCGTGCTATCGTGTCAAATGCACGCCTACCCAGCGCACACCGCATGTGTCCAGCCAACTTCCCATGCTGTCGGATGGAAACGATGGCTTTGGCGACGATCCTGGCGCCCCATCTTTCATGTCTCGGGTGCCTGGCAAGGAACCCGGCCAGATGTCGATGCTGCCCGAACGCAGAGCGTAGCCGAGCAGCGGAATTCCTTTTTCGTCCGCGTGAACATGTGCGAGCAAGAGACGGGTTCTGCCAACCGAAGCCATGTTCCTGGTCCATTGCCCAAATCACGCTAGGCAGACCCCATATCAACCTCGTTTAGACGATGGGGGTTTTGGTGGCTTGATTCGTGGTGTTGTGCCATGAGTTGGAATGGTACTCTAGTCATGCTGGATTTTAGACTGCTTGGTGTCTCAGTTGGCATTATTGCCGGACAAGCATCTTCCCATCACTCCTCGCGCGTCCGCATAGCATAGGATAGCAAAATAAAATATTGCCCATCACAGGGTTCATTGGCATGAGCACTTCAAGCAGCCGCCTGCCGGCAGGGGACCCCAGAACATCAGAGTTCGATGCCATGCAGGGTGGGAACAACGACATCGGCCATGGAATACGTTCAAGTGGTCACTCACTGGCGCAACCCTTTCACCGTTCCCCTTCACCACCGTGTCACGGGAACGGATTTCGAAACACAAACTCAGCGGTCCTGTATGCGGTGAGCGAGAAGATGTGGTAGAGTAAGGTGAAATCAGGTGGCTGCACGCCTTTTTCTCCCTTACTGCCGGCCGACGTGTCGAATCCCTCCGTGTACTATCACCGACGAGGGGAGATATATCTCGATGACCCGGTCTCCACCAGCACCGGGTCGCAGTCAGAAGGCATGAGTGCATGAATCTGTGTAACATGCCCATCTCGTAATTGTCCAAGTTGCACCCGCTCCCCCTTCCCTGGCCTTCTCCCGCAACGCCGAAAGCTGAATTACATGTCCGAATCAGGGATGGATGGACCCAAAGCCAAAAAGTAAAGGGCGAAAAAGCAAAGAAGAAAACAAACAAGCTAAGATCCATAACGGACAGCAGGGGGAAGTTAGGAATACACCCCGGTTCACCGAGACGTCAAATTCACTTCACCTCCAGTAATTGCCCTTTCTCCTGCGGATCTCCACGGATCCTGACGAAACAGACGACATTAGTTCCGGCTCCTTCCCGCCTGGGTTCGTGTAACAGAAAGCGATGACGCGGGCGGCTGCCTGGGAAGCATCCGCTGTTCCCTCAACGCGCGGCTTGAAACTGTTGACGCCCAAGCCGTTGATCATGTTGTCGCTGCTGCTGCTGCCGCCGTCTGTTTTTGCTGAATTGTTACCTCCGTTGCTGATGTGACTCACGTCGGTTCAATCGAGGTCGGCAGTGATTTAGCTTTTGGGCGAAGGAAACTTTAATTCTGAATTTGGCTTCCGTTACTGACCGTGTCCCGGTAACGCCAGACTAGATTGTATGCACTGCTCCATCCAGTAAACTCCCTCTTTTCTTCCATACGCTTCAGAGTATCTACCGTATCCCAGTCAAAAACAGGTTCTTCTCCTCAGTGGACGATGAGAGATCCCAACCAGCGCCATCTGCTGCTAGGCTATCATCTACAAATCACTCTATTCTTTTTCTGACATAGACAGATGGCAGAGCTCACTGGTTTCTCTCATTGGCCTGGCGTCGTCAACACTGGGCGCAAAACATAGCTTTAGTGAGGAATATCTTTACTTCAACTAGTTGTCTCTCCGGCCCTTTGTGCTTCCAAGACTTCTACGCTGTCGAATCAAGCGCAGCCACGTAGTTCTCTTCCTTGCAAACCAAGTACGTGAAAAGGAAATCACATATTTGTTTTGCTATATTTACGAGCAAATTTGATTTGAGAAAGAAAAAAAGAAACCAAGACAGAGCAAGGGTCCTTCCTTCTCAGCGTGTGACGTTTGAGAATCCTTGGAGTGAGGGTCTCTTGACGTATGCAGACATTTGATGCGCCTTGACTCGCCTCGTCACCTTCGCATTCGGGATCACCAGTGACGCGCGGAGGACGAGAGGCAGTGGCAGTGAGAAAACCCGGGCGGGCGGGGAAGCGAGCAATGCCGGGGGGCAGGATGGCCGATCTTTGATGGCAACAACGATGATGATGATGAATGATGCATGTATTGCGTGCATAGCACCGGCGGTGCATGCGCCTACACATGCATGCACGCACCCATCCATCCATGTTGCTGCCACCATCCAGGCTTCGGCCTTCCGGATGAATGAGGACGACATCCTTTCCTTTGACCGCCCATTTAGAGAAGATGCTGAGTCCAAAGGGAATCGATACCGTCATTCCTGCTTGGTACTGATGCGTTGGCGCGGTAGAATCCATGTTCAACATGATACAGGAGAAGTAGGGCTCGACACTGTGTCGCGATGCGGGGAGCAGAAACAGAACTAGAAGAGGCGGAGAGAGCCGCCGTCCTCCCCGTGTACCACGCTACACACAAACGTCAAGGGAAGGGGTGGGGTGGCAGAGATCGAAAGATGTGTTGAGGAGATGGCTTCTGAAGCCAAAGGGTCAAAGATACCGATTGAACGGACAGGCGGGATCCAGAAGGAAGTTGAAAAGCATTTTGACTCACCACATTGCAGGGACCCGTCGAAGTGTATACTCGACGATGAGCACCTTTCTCTTCCTCCATCTTCTAGAACATGTTCGGTAACCTCCGGCGTCGATCTACATGCTCTCTAGAGTAACGACACAATGTATGTCCTACCCCCGCCATGACCCACCGCAGACCCAGCTTTTCAAACAGTCGGTGAGGGCCAGAAAAGGCAGAATGGAAGGAACAAAAAAGAAAAGATCCGGGAAAGAACAGGGAAAATGGCGCGCTCGGTAGTACACTCCGTTGATCGAAAGGTGAGGGGAGCGGGACGGGGACACGGTACGTACGACGGTGATACAAAGATGCTGCAGGAAGCCTTACGGCAAAGCCGTTTCCGTACCTCCAGTGCCGTGTCTTGCCATCCTTTAGGTCTCCATGCACCTCTGGGTGGAGAGGTGTCGAGGAATGACACCTTCCTAAGAAGCCCAAGAGGGAGGATGAGCAGAGAGCATGTGGTTTTGCGGATGATGGAGGTCAAGCTCTTTTCGTGGCTCGGAACAACCCTCCATCGACGATCTGCTACGATCATCCGCAGATGTTCAATCAGGCAGACGGAACAGCCTGAAGGGGCCGCGGACGGGAAGCTGAAACGGCCGCTGCCGTCAGCCGCCTGCAACTCCCCTCGCCGGTGCGAACCACAACAAGGCAACGGATGCGTGCAGGGCCCATGGATGCATGTGCACATCATGATCATCCACGGGCTCGCCGTCGGTGACAGGATCTGCGGACCGGCACATGAGCACGCAACAAATGAGAAGGGGCGTTCAAAAGAAACATGGCCTCCCATACACAACGCACAAGCGCATGTACATACATAGCAACGGCAACACCAGATCTCCCGCTAGTGGGGGATCCACGCCGAGATCGGCGGGCCGAAGGCTGGTTGCACGGTAGGTGAGCTGGACAACAAGCATGTACTCAGACGCGTGGCGCATGGGCTACAGACCAAGGACTCAGCTTGTCCGTTCCCGGCCCCCCTCCGTTCCCGCGCTCCTGGAGCGATCACAGCCTCGAAGCGGTGTGCGTCTGTAACGTATGTTCATGTATGCGAGACTAACGCGCGCATGGAAAGCGGAAGACGTGTAGCTCGGGGTGCAGCGTGGGACCAGTCCAATGCAAACAGGACAAGGTACGCGCCTGGTTTCCCGGAAGCCGACCCCCGTTGCCCTGGACGCGCCTGAGCACATCGGGACGGGTGGGGGAACCCAGGCGGAGAGGAGGGCACCCTCTCGGGCGAAACATCATGGCCGAACAGGGAAGGACGCAGCTGTGATGATGCTGAAGCCGGCCGCTTTCGAGTGTTCAATGTTGCAGTTCGCCACGATTCCCAATTGCCCCCAGCCACTTCCCGCAGCAGGTCGGAGAGTTGAGAGCGTTGCCAACCCTTGCACGCCACCGCATCCCGCCACCGAATCCTGTCCCCGGCACGGCGCATATTGGCTCCCACTTGGGCAAATGGGGCTAGTTGGACGTTGCCCGTCCTCAGCCCGTTTCCAACAACGGTCGTCGTACTTGGCCGGCCGTTGTGTATGTGATGCGTTAGCTGCTGCTGCTGCACGGCCTAGCCGCGAATGGCCATCTGAGGAGGCGACTAAACCCACCCGCCGTTGGGCCTGCATCAGCCAGCGACCAGGGGAGGGGGCAACGGGGCCCCGGCCGAACGACGATGGCACTGTGCCGGTGGGGTTGTATGCGTGAAGCGGATCGTGTTCTCTCTGCTCTCGAAACGGAGCCGTTTTGTGAGCAGTCGTATTCGTCCGGCCGGTACGGTACCTCTTTCGATCCTCGGGCATTTCTCGCAGCATGTCGGTACCCCTGTATGTCAGTCGCAATGGAGCGCTTCTGGAAAGCGTCAAGGAAGGGGTCAGAGTGGAAAGAGGTTCCGAGACAACAAGGGAGGGGGCTGGTAGGGCTGGCCCATCCCTGCTTTTGCTTTGGTTGCGCTATGTGACATGATATTGGTAGCATGCCTGCCTCCAACGAGTGGGATGGTGCGTCAACGCGGTGT